TAAGTTGCAGTCGGAATTATTTGAAACCGACAAGATCCGATCGGGCGTGATTGATCTGGGTAGATTATTTGAAATGATATATATCCATATATTACATAAGGTATTATATGAACTGATTCGAATATTCGTCATAGGACGAAAGAAAATTTTGTTGAACAGCCTCTATATACACACTAACTAAAAGAAGAGAATGTGTATAATAGTCATTTCAAATATTTATTATAATAAACATTTTGTTTTTCGAATAAAACATGAAAAGAAACTCTAATCCACAAATAAAACATCCTAAACGAGACTCACAACAGCAATCAAAAAAGATAAAAAGAAGAAAAAAAATTCTAGTAAGTTTTCATTACGTAAAAAACTACACAAAATAGTAATAATTTAGTTTCTATTTAGTATAATTTGGACAACTGATCGAAAGATCATTATGGGTTTTGTATTTATTATTTCATCAGTTACTTTGCTTATTCAATTGACAATGATTGAAGATCTAAATACATTTAAAAAATGCCTACAAAAAATACGTCTTTCTTTATTATATACGTTGCTATAGGAACAACGTTCATTAGTTTATATGCTTTTGGTCCACCATATGGACCATTAGTCGTGACATTTTTAACTTTAATTATAATGCTTTGTGTTAAAACAACATATCCTGGTTTAATATTAGTACTCGCAGAAATAATGATCACTGGTATATTTTTCAGCTTGTCTTTGGAATTTTTTATTGTTGGAATAAGTTTCTCAGAAAATGATTAATACACTTCTTTATTGTTTTGTGTTTTTTCATTAACGTTTTATTTTTATTTCATCATGGTTCTCTACAGAAGTTGATATTCAAAATAAATATCTTCTTCTATATTTACTGATTTTAGACTCAACATATAATTGTGCTACTCAATATAAAACTTGTTTTTATCATTTTCATAGCTCAATAGATTATAAAATGATATCGGAAATTTTTGACAAAATTCAAATTCAAGAAAATATTCACATGTCAATGGATATTTGACATTTGAGAGTTCAAATATATTCAACATATGGCATAGTATGAAAGTCATTAGATAAAATAGTGTAATATAGTTTATCTCTTTTTCAAGAATTGCAATTTCCTTATGAAAAGATCATGTTAAGCTAGATTGGGGTTTGTTAATGAATATACTTTTAATAATAATGTCAATATAAATTCTTTTCAATGGAAACTAATTAATTAATATTGCTTTATTTAGTAAAATAGAATCATATTTAGATTTGACTTTTTGTTAAACAGCATATACATAAGCTTTATTTATATAATGAAGGATTCTAAAAAATATATGTGACTCATAATTAACATAGAATTATGGAATTCTTCAACAGACAAAATCATTTTCATTTAACTGAAATAAATTTCAAAATAAAATATTAATGAAATTCTTTCTTTTATGAATGTTTTATTTTATTTGACATAAAACATCGTTTAATTGTTTAACAAATACTGATGAAAAGTTAACAATATGACATACGGTACATAGAATATCTTCATTTATTATACATAAATGTTAATGACAGATAATATTCTCTATTAACCGGATATTGTGTACCAATAGCTGAACAACATGTTTCAAATGTTGTTACAATAGGAGATTTTCATGTTAAAATACTCTATTGTTTCATAGCTTCATTAATTTGTATACGATCTTATAATCAAACATCGAAATCAAAATTTATCTTTTCTTAAAGATTCATTTGTTTCTTTTATCTTATCAAACTAATCAATTAAACAAACATCACGATTACTCTCAAATAAAATAATCTCCTTAATAAGAGAATAATTTATTAAACTTCCAAATACGAATGAACTAGCTTCCTGTCTTCATTTTGTAATAGCTTCATTTTATTGTACATAAACAATTAAATGAATAGGTGATGTATCTTTTTCACTTGTAAATACCGGTTGATGCACTATTTTTTTCAATACGCTTTAAAAATCGAGATTTAGTTGCTGATGGTTCTTCACATAATAATACATAAACATCATCACAAACTGGATGTTTTTCATCTTTAATATAAGAAAAAAAAAGAATCTTTTATTTCATTTATTTTAGACATAAGGTGCACGCATAGCAAGGTTCTAGCAAAATTTGTTTTTCGACGCTTTATACACTACTCAATAGAGAATTTCAAGGCGAGCAAGAATATGCGTTCTCTGAATTTTTTCGAGACTTCCTTCCATTCGAAAAATAAAATAACTGAAACTGTGTAAAAAAAACTCGATTTTTCGTCTATTTCTTATAAAGTTAAGTTTTCCAAGTTCCATGCCAACTTGGATTATTCAAACTGTCATATTTTTGTTCAGTTTTGAAAACTGAATAAGAGAATGAACTGATAATTATTTTAGACCTAATCGTCTATTTGTCAAGGCTGTCCAAATTGAAGCGTCTAAAAGCTCCTAACCTATTTTGGCAAATTTTTTACAGGATTCGAATCGCTGGATGCTTCTCTACAAATAGTATACGTGCAGTTTTTTGCGATTTTTTTGCCTTCGATGAGAGAAGTCAATTTTACAAAGTACTGTGCTAAAACGACCAGGTCCTTTTCGAGGTTTTTGCAAGTTTCGCTCAGAATACACCTATGAGAACACCAAGTAGATCAGAAACGATGGAGAATTCGATGGAAATACTACCGAGGTCTTCAGGATTTCTGGGAGATTTTCAGAAATCTAGAAGAGAAAAGCGGTTCTAGTCTGCTGTCTTTGATTTGGGAGGTGCTTCTATGACTAAGATTATCTATTTTCTCTGCGTGCAGTTATGTTCGAGACATAGTAAATGCTAGTTTAGGTAGAGAAAAACTTTCTTCTAATAATCCGAAACAGAGAAGAAGAATTAGATTAGACAGTAAAGAGGGAAAGGTGATCATCATACCAAAACATTTACGGTTCTCTAAATTTTTTTATAAAACCTGATAAAAACCTCCAGAAAACTCTGAAACCCTTCCAGAAATCTTCTGAAGATCTCGATAGCATCTCCATCGAATTCTTCATCGTTTCTAACCTACTTTCGTGTTTTCACAGATGTATTCTGAGAGAAAGTTGCAAAAAGATGGAAAAGAACTTGACCGTTTTAGCACAGTGCTTAATAAAATTCACCTTTCTCATCGAAGACAAAAAATATAAAAAAAACTGCACTTATACTATTTGTAGAGAAGCATCCAGCAATTCGAATCTTGTAAAACGTTTGACAGAATAGGGTGTGGATATATCGTTTATCTATCCACACCCACCCACCCACACCCCACACCCTCATTATAAACTTTATTGATTCGTTCATACCCGGAAAACCACAGTCAGCAAGATTTAAAAACAAAATTCGTCAGAATTTCACAATGTTACAAAGTTATTTGTTCTCACAGGGATTATAGGAAGAATAAATCAAATTTTTGTGTTCAAATATTCTTTTCTTAAATAAGGAAATAAATTGCAGCATCGAATGTTCTAAAATATATCTAAATTGGCAAAATAATGATCTGAATGATCATTAGATTTTGGCACATCTTTTATAAGTATTATTCATTTGAATTTGAAAGTAACTACAAAAACTTGTTTAAACTAGTTATAGATAATTAAAAAGCTATATATTATTATCTATTTTTTTATGTACGAATCCAACTAGCATCAATTAAACAGTATTTCGATTTCAACGAGTATATTCAGAGTTAAAGGATTTGCATTGAAAAAAAATGATTTTTTTCGTCTTTTTCATCGCTCCTTATTTACTCTTCCTTTAAGTGTTTGACTGTTGCTATGTACAGTCCTTTTCGGACGTGTGCGCATGTAGGAAAAAAAGCAGGTTGCAAAGCAAACAGAAATGGATTTTATAATGCTGCTATACAGCAAAATGTAAAAAAAAAATCATTCAGACAAAACAACAAGGAAGCATAGCCAGCCGTAAAAGATATTATTTTCATCAATTAAAAACCGATTATTGATTTTAAATGATTAGTCCGGGTGAGTAAATTGTTAAGAAGAGTTTTAAAAGCAAAATAATCTATCAGGAATGTTGTATGGTGAGCAGCAAACTACTATGAATCGACTATTCTTTTTTTTTCCCCCTTTGACTTCAAGGGTTTCAGTTAATAAATAGTTAACTGATCAAAATGAATATAATGAAGCCTGAGGAAGTTGGCCTGAGTATAACTGAACGTAGTACATGGCATGGGACGCAAAATACTGTTGCGAAAAGTCTGAGTCGTCACGAAGAATACTCTTAATAATCTGTCCTTCGCCCACACGTTGAATGATCAATACTCTGGTACATCTGATAAGTTTTGTGATTTAATAATTTATTCCTCTAGATGAATTTCAGCTAAATCTTTGAGAACGAGTATGAGTCTGATATGAACAATCCTGACAGTCACACGCATATAGGGATGCAGTAGCGTTCGTAAACAATGCCAGTACTACGATCACACACCTTCGCTCTTATTCCTTAGTCTTCATCGTTCGTCGACATAGAAATCGCTTCAGCTACCTTAAGTCTTGGTAACATATGGGTGAACTTTTACAGACGAAGAATTCTGAAACCATTGAAAAAAATAACAAGGGCCTTATTGTATCATGAAATTAGTCTCACAGTAAGCGTGATCGTATCCCCTACAGTCTGCCACCGAATTCGGTTGGTCTAGTACAATCTCACGCTTGAGGTCTATGGTGAGTTTTTTCGATTAGTGGTAAAAGTTTTCGACTCATTGAAATATGCGTTAGATGGGCAGTAACATTTTTTAAAGAAACTAATTCACTTATGTGATCAGTTGTGATTTTATTCTATATATTTAATGATGGTGTTCGAGAGGGTGAGCGAAGATGTGAGTAAATTGAAAATTCACAGCCGCACTCCTTATAAAAAGATATTTCCATAAAAATATCCAAAATAATCGACATTGTAGAAAGTATCTCTCGGTTTTAATTTTCAGATATTTGTCATTTTTTTATTTCATAAAGAATTTTCTTCCTTGTAAACATGGCCACCGTAGGCGGAGGAGAAGAAGCGGCGGCATTACAGCGTTTATTACGTATCACTGACGTTGCACAAGAGTCACTGGAAATTCTTGCACCCATTACTGGTTATTCGAAATCATCCCTTGTTTCACTTGAAGAAGCAGTCGTACCACTCGTTCCTATTGTACCCGATGTTCAGAGTCATGCATATATTGGTAAATTAAAATGTAAGAAACCTGACGATAAACTAACACAAGATGAATCTGCATCGATTATGCTTTACACAATGGGGTGGGAACCTCTTGACGAATGTCTCTACGTAGTCTTAAACAATACATTGCGAGCGAAGGATCGACAGCAAAAACTCCAACCTTGGTATTTTTATTTGAGACTTTTTCTAAATACACTGTTTCGTCTTCCGCTGGTTTCGACAGATGCATATAGAGGTGTCAAATTGGACCTCTGCAATCGCTATATCGAAGGAGAAACAATTGTTTGGTGGGGCTTCTCATCGTGCACGACATCTGTCGGTGTGCTAAAATCAGAATTGTTCTTGGGAAAGACCGATAGTAGAACTATGTTTACCTTACACTGTAAATCAGCCAGAGACATAAGCAAGTATTCGTTTTATCCAGTTGAAGATGAATTACTTCTAATGGCTGCAACTCAATTCAAAGTAGTCAGCTCCCTTGATCAAGGTAATCTTCACATTATTCAATTGGAAGAAACTACGCCACCATTTCCACTTTTACAACCAGTACCTATTGTTGGTTCATTACCAATTCAATCAAATCCATCTGGTGAGTTCGAAAGATAATACACGTATAATGCTTACTTAACGGAGACATAATCTAACACCAATCAACGATGCCTTCATGGAAAACAATAAATAGCCCATGAGATTCAATCCGACCAGTGGATCCGATCGTTTCCCGCATCGGATCCTATAGATTCCGTTGCTTTTCGGTCGGCTCCGCTGAATTTATCGAACATATGCACGAAAGTGGTATCAAGAAAAATTAATAAATGGCGATTTTTTATTACAGGTGATTCGACAGCGACTTCGTTTGACATAAGCAAAGAAAAGTCAATGACACATTCAAATAAATCTACAGTAAATCCAACTATTTTCTATTGTCTTCTAAAACTAACACTTATATCATTCTATTTATAGATCGATAGACATGGAGCAGCTGCCAGTACTAGCAAAAGGACAGGAATCAATTCTATCACTGGCCAAGTAAGATCATAGATAATTAAGAAAAAAAAGCATTGATGAAATATCTCATTGTTTCAGATGTCCGATGTAAAAATTAGTGCTTCAACTAATGAAGGTAAGATATTGCTGTTTTATTGTTTTGCTAGTGTGGACTATGTGAATAGAACTACTTGCATTTGTCAGGTACGATGCACTCATAGGAAAACCTCGCATAGATCATATCATCACTTTTTAAGAGAATCTGCTTCTGCTCTCTGATATTTAGCAAATCTAACATAACTTCTTACTCTGTTCGAAATAACAGATTGTAACGAATGAGTTCTTCAACGAATATGAATTCCTTGAAAATTGAAATTCAATTAGAAATTAGGGAACAAAGTATGATTTTGCATATATTAGTTGTTCGAAGACAATGACGAGTAAAATTAACTTCACTATCTATACAAATATATTATCTTAATGTTTATTCATAAAACAAATGATTCGATCGAAGAGATTAAAGATGTGCCGAAGTTATATACACACAGAAAAAGTTTTATTATCGGTATTTAAGTCTTTGGATAGCGTATTGAAAACAAGTAGAAAAGACTACAAGTGATTTGTTAAAAAGAAGCAATAGTTGCATGTTATACGCCTAAATATAAATAGTTCTTTTGATTTTGGCTACTATCAATCAAGATCTGTTACGCGTTTTACGCTTATTTATTTCAATTCCACTCATAACTTCTTTATCAATTTGAAAATTAAGAGAACTCGTCATCTTACTGTTCAATTTACTTGTTGCATCAATTGTTGTATAGTGCTATTATATCGATTTCTGAGAAATTCTACGAATTTTCACAAAGTAATTAATTCTTGAGCATCATGATTTTCTCTACTTTGAGTCGAAAAGAGATGTATGAATGCGGAAAAGTCTACCAAGAAGAAAAACTCATTTACACAGATCTTGATTAGATGTATAACTAGCTTTTCCAACTCTTTTTACAACAGACAAAGAGTTTATTTAAAAACTGAATTTATAATATGCTATCATGAGTCTATGATGGGTGTGGGTGTGGGTGTGTGGGTGTACTTTTTTTCTTAACCCACACCTATACCCTATTGCTTCCCCTAGAGACTTGAGCTTGTGCCGCCCATGCTCTTTTCAGTATATGTTTCAATAAAAACTGATGAAATAATAGAACGTGAAATAAATGCTTGTTACACTTTTTCAAAATAGCTAGCGTTATTCTAGAAAAAATTTCAAAAGCAAGAAATCTGAAACAAAAGGCCTTATAGCTATGCTAGCTCATTTGACACGAAAGTTATCCGAGAGATTATGCACGAATACTATTTATTCATCATTTATCTAGAGAAGTTTGATTGAATGATTTTTTTTACAACTATATAATATTGAATCACTGTGAGGATTAAAATTGGCCTAGTTATAACTCGAATTATAATATTCAACCCTAGTTATAATCAGCTAACTAATTCAACTTGATCAAGTTTCTGATTCGTTGTTTCAATAAATTAAGTAGGTATTTTAATTATTTTGATCTATAAGATAGATAAAATGAAACTAATTGCACTTGATCGCCCCTTATTGTTAAAAATGTTTGTGTTCGTGTCTTATTCCCTGGTTGATCAAAACGGACTCGTTTACGGTCTGTTTATCGACGGTAAACGATGTCAAATCGGTATATCTACGGCAGTAAAGAGGCCATATTTGCCTAAAATGCCTGGCACAGTAATACGGTACCGTAAACGGGACTGAATTTTTATGGTTTACGGCTGTTTGTGCTCCGTACTCTCATGATCATACGGTCTGTATTACTGCGCTAGATATTACGGCAAACTTTCGTGCGTAAAATAGTCGTAAAGCAAACCGTAAACGGCCGTATACGGACCGTACTGTTCGACCTGGGTAGGGTGTATCATAACTTGCTATAGCTAGCTAACCGAAATAATGAATGCACATCAGTGTCGGTTGACTTATACACACACACATGAGACGAAACACAACAATGACTCGATATATTTAGTATATAAACTCATTGTTAAAATGATTCCCAGAAAACAAGTACCGATTTCTGAGTTTTTTTCATTATAGAAAGTCAAACATTTTCTTAGAATTCAAAATTCGATGAACGAATAAATTAGTAGAAATCTTACAACCAAAACTTTTAAACAGATGTTAACAAGACAATGATGTAATTATATGTTTCTACATAATTATTTAAGTTTGGTTTTCGACAAAAGATAGAATTTAAATACGCTTAAGACACAGACAGAACGATATGCTATATGTATGATTGATCACACAATTACTAGAGTCCAATATTCTTTTAATATAACTTTTTCATTCATTTTTATCGAGTTTTCTACTTATACTAATCACTGTCACCTAAGAGACAATTTTCTTTCTATAGAATAATCTTCCAGTATAAAAAAAATGATGTATTCAAAGAAGTTTGCTCGGAACTATTTCATATACTAGCTATACTCGAGAGAGACAGAGAGAGAAAGAGTAGTTCTTTTCTAATAATACTATCACTTCAACGCGATAGAGAGAGAGAGATCTGCTTTTATTCTTACGTTTTCTCTTCTAGTTAATATTCCTACTAATGCTAACTGGTCACAGAACGGAGTGACTGTTGCTGGAGGTAACGGATATGGGGGTGCCACCGATCAGCTCAACCAACCTTATGGTCTCTTCGTTGATGATGGTAAAACAGTGGTCATTGCTGACTGGGGGAATCATCGTATCATGCAATGGAAGAAAAGCAAGAGGAAAAGTGATATGACGAATGGAAAAGTTGTTGCTGGTGGTAATGGTCAAGGATATGGATTGGATCAATTGAACCGCCCAAATGATGTATTGATCGACAAAGAGACAGATAGTCTGATTATTTGCGATCGAGACAATCGGCGGGTTGTACGATGGTCTCGTCATAGTGGCACAACGCAAGGAGAAATCCTCATCGACAACATCAATTGTCGGGGATTGGCAATGGATCATCAGAGATATCTCTACGTCTCTAATGGCGGAACAGAAGTAAGACGATATCAATGGCAATGGGGAGACAAGGTTGGTACTCTCGTGGCTGGTGGAAATGGCAACGGTGATGGTCTCAATCAACTCAGCTTTCCGGCTTTTCTCTTTGTCGATCCACAACAGAATGTCTACGTGTCAGACAATGGAAATCATCGTGTAATGAAATGGAGTAAAGGTGCAAAAGAAGGCATTGTCGTCGCTGGAGGTCAAGGCGAAGGGAGAGCTTTGACACAATTGAAGTATGCTAATGGACTCTTCGTTGATATGTTGGGTACACTCTATGTGGCAGACTCATTGAATCACCGTGTAATGCGTTGGACTCAAGGAGCGCAACAAGGCACTGTAATTGTGGGTGGAAATGGTGAAGGAGAAGGAGCAAATCAGTTCGCCGTCACTATTGGTTTGTCTTTCGATCGACGTGGTAATCTCTATGTCGCTGATCGGTACAATCATCGTGTTCAACGATTTTCTCTCGAATATTTGTCGGATACATTGTGACTTTGTTGCTTTCTCTTTCTATAAATGTCTAAAAGCAAGACATTTACAATCTCGATTGAAGTAAAACTCAAACAATGTCCTTTGATGTTCCTCTCTATCGATTGACAATGAAATTTTAAAAAAATTGTTTCTTCAAAACATATTTATTATTAAAATTCAAAACACAACAGAAGAAAAGAGTACTTGCTATTGACGGTTGCTGGTGTTTGAGCCACGTGATGCGCAGTTTTTTTGCGTTGTGATGAACTGATGTTGAACTAGAATGTGGTCAAAAACTGTTTTTTTTTCTTCCTATGCATGTTCACGCGCCACCAGGAACTACCCATGAGCCTGCAGTGAGCGTGTGCTCAGAACGTCCTGTCAAAAATACCATCCCCTCATAGGACCACATTTAAACGTATGTTTACCTGACAGCTGATGACGATTACAAATAGCCGGTACGTTTGCTGCGAGTTCAGAATCGTTCTTGAACCTAAAAAAGAAGAATGTAGCACACATCTACAAAAGAATAAAAGAGAACATTCACCATAAAATAATAATAATAGAAGAAAAAAATGGATACTTACACTTTTTTTTAGGTTGAATTGTCATTGCGAATGTTGTTGCTTGTTGCCGTTGATGAAGGATCTAAATAGAAAAAGAAAAAGAATTAGAAAATGATTCAAAACTGAATGAGTTGCTGGGTGATAATCGTCGATACTTACATCCCTTTTCCGAAGGAAAAAGATCATTGATCAAAGTAGATCATTAAGATTTAATCATCAACATACATGACGATCAATTCAATTAGTGATCGTTTATTATTGATTGATGACCATTGATCTATCTATCATGAATGAATAATGGTAAGAAAGAAAAAAAAAATTCTTCTGTCTCTGTTACATCTCGTACGGAAGAAGATGGGAAAGAAAAAAAGAAATTTTGATCGTACATACCAGAACTCGAAACCAGCCAGCATCGCCTGGCTAATATTATTCTGGGAGAGGAATTTTTCATCGCATAAATTCATTGAGAAAAAACATTTACGAATGACGCTAACAACACAATTTTATGAATATAAAAGAGGGTTCCTAGTGCATATTGGCACGGAGTAGACTCAGAACCCAGATTGATCAAAACGGACTCGTTTACGGTCTGTTTATCGACGGTAAACGATGTCAAATCGGTATATTTATGGCAGTAAAGAGGTCGTACTTGCCCGTAACACCTGGCACAGTAATACGGCACCGTAAACGGCACTGAATTTTCACGGTTTACGGCTGTTTGTGCTTCGTAGTCTCATGATCATACGGTCCGTACTACTGCGCCAGATATTACGGCAAACTTTTACCCGGGAAATAGTCGTAAAGTAACCATCAATGGTCGTATACGGACCATGCTGTCCGACCTGGGAACACTCGATTTAGTGCATGAATATTTTAAATTCGATGATTGGTGATAATCAGTTGTATTTAACTATCGATATATATTAGCAATGATCCGAAGTATCATACTTCTGATGGAGATGTTTAAATTTTCTGAATATTTTTTGTCGATTGCTTTATGTTGCTAAAGTATACACCGTCTATACTCCCATTATATAAGTACCCCATTATATTCATCAGTCTATTTTTACTTCGATTAGTTTTTTCGACAAAGCAATCACTTCCTAGTAATGCAACAGCCATTGAAACAGCAACATGTCAAATTATTGAACAATAGGATACCAAATTGGCAATCAATTTTCACGCAAACAAACATGTAGTTGAAGAAACAGCGATCATTCCAACAGAACGTCTTCATCATCAATTCACCGGTTTCATTACACATTTCATGAAGCTTACTCCAATTGGATTTGTTCGTGATATATCAACTAAAAGTTCAAAAAGAGGAACGTTAACAATATGATCATCATCTATCGGAACATAAGAACTTGAATCAAAAGGTATGATCGCAATTGATCAAGACATTTTTAATGCATTCAATTTTAAAGCATTATCTAATTATTGTGTACAACAAACCAATGATCAACAAAATGTTTTTCAATATTAAAAAAAACAATACATCCACACCCCCAAATTTGTTTTATTGCTTTCTTTTTTTGTATGAATATCATCAGAAGAATTCGATTATATATCTTCAATAAAAAAGTCATTTTATTCAAGGGTCACCTCACTAGTCGATGATCTTGGATCGATTCTTTCCAGACTCTTGCTTTTCTTGATTAAGGGTGTGGGTGTGTTTGTAGCTCTTTCTCATATGGACACCCATATCCATACCCACCCATTCAGATGTACCGGTTACCATTAAGAAACGGTTATCGTCATTGTTGCATCCCTAACCTGGGTACATTGGTAAGAGAAAATAGAATAGTAGGTATGGTGGAAAAAGGCAGAAAGGAAAAACGTCAAAAGGGAAAATATCGAAAATAAAAATATCGAAAACAAAAATAATGCAAATATAGACAAATAGAAAGGTTGAAAACGAGGTGTGCCGTAGAAAGACCGAAAGGAAAAATATCGAAAATGACGAAAGGAAAAATGCCGAAGAAAAAATATCGAAAGAAAAAATATCGAAAGGGAAAAATGTCGAAAATTTGCACTAAGATGTTTTTATTCTTGAAATCATAATAGCATCATAGCATCAATCATAGATAAATAAGAGTTATAAAGAAAGATACACATATCCAATATTTACTAGTTGTTTTTGTTTTATTCATTTTGAAAATATATTTATCTGATACAAGGAAAGGTTTTCCTTTTTACGACTGAATAAATGTAATAACTGGAGCTGGCGGATGATTCTCACCAGATAAAAATGAGCAAGCTGTAGTCATCATGATAGAATTTTAATTGTTGTATACTATTTTACGCCTATTTTAGCTAGTTTTCATAAGATATTACTTATCAATGGTTAACAGTGTCAAACCAATGGAATAATCAGATTAACAACAATGAACAATAAACTATTAGAACCTTCATTTAGTAGAGACGTCCCTTTTTTCTATCTTTTCTGTTTTCGACATTTTTCCTTTTCGACATTTTTTCTTTCGGCCTTTCTATGGCCAACCAAAAACGAGAGTATATTGAAACAGAAATCTTTCTCACCCTTAACTTCAATTTTACAGATTTATTTTCACCTCATATTCTTGTTGTCGACATTTTAATTTTCGATATTTTTCCTTTCGACGTTTTTCCTTTCTGCCTTTTCCCATCCATTCGAATAGTAACAGGAGTTGTAATTCGGGAATTGGACTGAATTCCGTGCAATTACGGGAATCGTACGAGCTGACTTCAGAATCGGGCAGAATTCATGTTTCATCTAATTCTGGAACTGAATGGGCTGATTCCGAGGGCGAAACAGGGTGATTACTCGTTGCGTACAATATCAATAATCAAAGATTGATCTGATTAAAAACGACTTATGTCGATATTTACCATATTGATAATTAAGATGAATGACGATGGCTTTCAAACGCTTTAAAAATAGGACGCACCTCACGGCAAAATCGTAAGTTACTCATATATAATCTAGATGTCAGGCAGATGGATCGTCTACTAAGAAATCAGTGCAATTACTGTGAAACTATAAATTAGTACGAGTGAGGAAGAAATTGTTTTCTGCAGTCAGTATTGGCTTACAGAAAACAGAATGAGATAAGCAGATACTATTTGGGGAAGAAAGGAAAAAATGATTTTGTGCAATCGGTATTGACTGGTATAGAAAAAAGCATTGCGAAGATTTTTTGTATTTTTTTGGCTTAAAATGCATTTCGATGCTCTTCGGCATCACCAAAACCTTTTTTTGATGTTTTCTAATCTTTGTTTTTGAGTGTAGAGAATACAACGAGATCGATATAGTGTTACAGGCTGACCGAAAAAAAACATTGTGTGTAGTCGATGTTGACTTGCAGAGAGCAGAATGAAATAAGCAGATACTATTTGGAGAAGAAAGGAAAAAATGATTTTATGCAATCGGTATTGACTGGTATAGAAAAAAGCATTGCGAAGATTTTTTGTACTTTTTTGGCTTAAAACGAATTTCGATGCTCTTTCTTATCACCGAAACCTTTTTTGGATGTTTGTTAATTTTGTTTTTGAGTGTGGAGAATCGAATGAAATTGACGTAGAATGTTACACGCAGACCGACAAAAACTATTGTGTGTAGTCCATGTTGGCGTACCGAGAACGGAATAAGATAAGGATAGACTGTTTGAAGAAGAAACGAAAGAATGTTTTTGTGCAGTCGGCATTGAGTAGAGCCCTTCATCGGGTAGAAAACAAATTTCTGGACCCGATCAAAGAAATATCAGGCGTTCCATCATTTCTCATCTTAATAATTTCTTCTCATGTATTTAGAAAAGCAATAGAATGCATCATAATACAGACCGTAACAGAGAAGCTCCACAGACCATCACTGACCGTGATAGACAAATTCCAGTAAAGAAGTTTCATCGTGTTTCACATTTTAATCCCACAGAGATTGCGCTAGCAGCTTTTTTTAATTAAAATATTTTAGCTATGATGCATTCTATTGCTTTTCTAAATACGTGAGAAGAAAGAGAAAACATGTCTCTATAAGATGCACGTTTAAATAATTTATTAAGATGAGAAATGATGGAACGGCTGATATTTCTTTGATCGGGTCCGGAAATTTATTTTCGACCCGATGAAGGACTCCAGTATTGACTCGTATAGAAAAAGCATTGAGAAGATTTTTTTATGTATTTTTTTTTATTTAAAACGCAGTTCGATGCTCTTCGATATCTCCAAAGCGTTTTTATGATGGGATGTGAGTGAGTTTTGTATCTTTATCCAAACCACACTCACCCTCACTCACCAAATTCAAATTTCCCACCAACTCGTATGTTTCATTCGTTTTTCCTATTGAATTTCCTATTTATTATTAGATAAACAAAATCTCACACCTGGATGTTTTCTGGAACATTTAAAGCCTTATTAAAAACCGTAACAAATTGCAAAACCAAAGATGAAAGTCAACCATCTAAGGAACCCCTACGACTTCGAAAAGTTATAAGAACAGCACTAGCAGTAAGAAAATTTCAAAAACTTGAATCGGATAAATGCAAGCGATCAATCGAATGTGAATTTGATAAAACAGTTGCAATCAACGAATTAAAATGTTTTTACAAGCAAGATAAATTATTTCATTTAGAAGAATCAAAGAAATTTGCATATTACATACGCAAGTTCATAATTACATTCGACGAATTGAGACATGTGCATAAAAATCTGTTAAATCAATTCAGTAAATATTTGAAAGGCTTAGATGGTAATGTTAATGAACAAGTTCAATATTTTCTATGCTTATCGTTAAAATATTTAACTCGAAATAGCGAACAATTGATGACAGAAATCCAATATTCTGATGTCATCGATTGGATAAAACGATGTAAAGACGAGTCTGTTATGACTGAACTTATTTATACATTGACTTATATGACTGAAAAATCAACATTAGACAACGAATTAATCAATGAACTAAGTAGTTTGGTGCTGAATAGGTTTGATATAAATGAAGATGCAAAAGGTCTTTTATTAACTCGATTAGAAATCAGTAAAAGTGTTGACCGCAATGATCAGGTAAAAACTGAGCATCGATTTAAATCAGCGGGTAAATCTAATGGGAATCAAAAAATGAATAAACTAGTAGTTACCAAAACAATACAAACTGTGAAATCAAGTTATAATAATAAAGAGTCCGAAGAGACAAAAATGACATTTTTGAATTTATCAGATGCACTAAAAAATCGAAACAGAATGCTCAACATGAAAGTAACACTAGAAAAAATCGATGCTGTAAATGATACAAATGGCGATGATAGATCAATGTTGAGAAGTACTTGGGGAGAATGTGTTAATTTTTACTCATTAGTAGTATCACAAGGACAAGCATTAAAAAGTGATGATAAAGATAATTATTTACCAGCAAAATTATTTGGCTGGCATGTCTGTATTAATACAAAAGTTTTGCCACACGGACCTTTAAGTGCCAGAAGGCGAATGAAAGTTTATTCACTTTTTATTAACAGAATGATTGTTGCTACATTGCTTCGAGCATCAAAAAAGCAACAGCTAAATAGTAATGTTATTGATAAACTAATGATGTGTGCAACTGACTTGGATTCTTTTGTTTCAATTGCATTGGATTGTAACGATGATATGGTAGACTTAGTTGTTGATGCTATATATGATTTTTATGATGAATTCAAGGGATTAAGCGAACCGGATATAGCAACTATTTTTATTAAGACAATTATGAACAAAACAATAGAGGCTGTTACACATCAAGGATGGCTATGGAATTCTACTGAAGTGAAACGAAAAGAGTTCAATAAAAATGAACTTGCAGAAATAATAAAAAACGAAATAAATCAACTTAGATTGGACAGTTTAAAGGCCATACATAATTGTTCAATTCGAAACAAACAAGTTCTTATCAAGGATAGAATCAAGAAAATTCAAAAATGTTTAACAAATTATCAAGAAAATGATGCTAAATTTATAAAATTAATATTTCAAATAATGAGCATAGCTGATTCAACTAATGAAATTGATTATAAAGGAACGTTTGAAGCATATATCGAGGTTTTAGTACGTGGAACACGTGGAAATCATGATATGATAATCAATTTTCTGAATAATCAAGCCAAAGATGCGAAACGAAGTCAAGAATTATTTACTGATGAAATACTTTCGAAATTAATTGATTTATTAAATAGCGACGTCTATGATACTCAAATAAAAGAAGATATTATCGAGATAATTAATAATTATTTAGAACATGAAACAAACAAGGCTTTGGGAGACGAACATTTGGAATTATTGATTCAATACGTTCAAGATTCTAGTAATTCAAGTGCTAATCTTATTAATGCCATGCTTACGTCTATACTGATAATTGCTGAAAAACAAAATTCGTTATCAAATCGAATGGTGAAAAAATTAATTGACAATATAGAATATTTTGGCGAAAATTCTTCAAATTATATTCTACTTATACTAAGTCGTGTTATTCGTGGAAAAAAATACATTCGCAACCAACAAGATTTGGAAACGATATCTTTCAAATTAGAGTGTAACGATGTTGTTCAATTAAATAACGATTCGAAAATAATTTTTACACAACGTTCCGAGCAGAATCAACATTGTAATCAAATCTCATTACTTACTGCTAATCTGATTTTATTATCTGCTCAAAAACATGTTCAAATAACGAATAAAACAATTGCTAATTTAGTTTTAGCATTAAATAACGATGATAAACAAACAAAAATAATTTCATCGAAGTGTATCTATGTTTTATCGAAATATGCGTCGTTAGAACACGATGCTCTCAGTCAAATGAAAGATTTTCTAAATGATCAAGTTTATGATGTGAGTGTCTATATTCTTACAGCTTATTCATATGGTTTAGTGAAATTGGCTGAACTTAGCGAACCAATCAATGCCATGCATATGGATAATTTCAGTTCATTATTTCTCACTCAAAGTTTGAAATTAGGAGGAAATGATTTTGCAAACGAAATCAACTTGAATATACTTAAAATATTAAAACTCGAAGGAAGCAAACAAAAGTTTGAAGATGAAAATGTGTTTGCTCTACTTGATAGCATTTTGCTATTAGACGAAAATTATAGTGCTAAAGTACTTGAGATACTTGAAATATACACAAGTAAGTATAGAATACCTAAAAGTACAATACGAGCTTTGGAAAATGCACTTGATTTTCCTGAGCGATTTGAAAAAGCTATTCTCACTATTTACAATGTTATTCGTAATGGTCAATTAGTTACAAATAAAATATTGCAGATACTGGTTGACAATTTGTACATGTCAATAAATGCAAGACGCCGATATAATTCGTTTAAACTATTGGAAAAAGCCAGACAAAATCAGGATTTACCTGAGAGCATATTCTATACAATAGAACTTGCTAAAGCTGGTTTTGTTCTATCTCGATCAACGAATAAAACATCAATTATGAAATTTATGCAAGATCAAACCAACAATGGAATGCAATTACCAATTGATACGGTTAGTGCTTTAGAAAATGAAACTGTTAACGAGGATGCTTTACAAGTATTGTACAATATATCAAAGAACAAACAAATCATACAATATGATTTGCTGAATAAGTTAATTGAACATTTCAATCCAAACAGCGATCAATTCATTTTAATTGGTGTCTTTGAAAATGTAGCAAAAAATAATCAAACATTATCTGGTGAACTTTTAAATAAATTAGAAACGGCATTGAATAGAAAACAAATTGAAGATAAAGTGCTTTCAATATTTGTATATTTGGCGCAAAAGGGTGAAAAGTTATGCCATAATATAATTCAGAAAATATTGAATAAAATTTTACTTGAAAAATACATTATGTTGAAACAAGAACTTTTGAGCGCACTTGGATCCTTGATTGAAACTCATCACACCGATATTAAGCGATACCAGCAACAAATAGAAAAAATCTTAGTAGATGGAATCAGCTCGGATAATTCTAATTTACAAAAGATATGCATTAGTGTATTACGAATATTGGTTAAATTTGTACAAGTTAGTTCGAGTCTATTCAATGAAGTAGTAACAATTGGTACTAGTTTGTATTGTGATAAAACAATAAAAGACGAAATTTATTCATTATTTACATTTATGGAACAAAATAATAGTGAATTGACCAGCAAATATAAAGCAAAAATTCAACTGGCTAACTTAGATTATCAATCTAATAGCGAACTATTGAATAAATTAAAAGGATATGCAAATCATGAAGATGCTTTATTAGAACAAAATTACAATCAATTGAAAAATGTAATCGATCAAGATTTTCAATTACAAGAAAAGGCTTTAGAAATTTTACATTTATTGAAATCGAAAAATAAAATGACTGATGATCTTATCGAAAGTCTTGTACTATTATATGAGAGTACTACGTCGAAAAATATCAAAAAATCTTGCTTAAAACTATTCGAAGAAGCAAAACACAGTGGAAAAAGCTTGAATTACAAAGCCGCCGAAATCATCCACGAAAACATGAAAAATGGTGAAGTTGATGAAATAAGTCGGTCATTTTCTAAAAGTAATCTCTACGCAGAATTAAATACGCAACTTCAATTAAATGACGAACAAATTAGAGGACTCTTACAATTTTCCAAAGCAAAAATTAACATTTTAGATATACACAAGGTAGAAATGCTGGTGGAAATTTTAGCAATAAACAATCCGTCTTATTACGATAATCAAGCGTTCGTTTCTCTTATTGAACAAGCTTTATTGGCTAATCAAATCAAAGAAATTGCATTACCATGTTATTGTCGCATAATTAAAGAGAAAAAATCTAAAAAAGTTGAAGAAGTTCTTGACAAATTAGTTCAAACCTACAACGAAAACATAGATAGATATGATGCTGGTCAATACAAAAATGATGAACTATCATTATTGCCGCTGCTGCTAGAATCAATTTTTTATTCACTAAAATATTGTTCCGTATCTGAAAGCTGCATTACACTTTTAGAAAACAATCTTGATCACGGCGATTGGCTTATCAGAAGTTTCTCGTTTAAAGGATTAAGAATGATTCTTAGTAAAAATGAACGTACGAAATCGCAACGATTTCAAAATTGGTGCGATTCCACAATAGAAAACCTATCAAATGCTGGAGTGCACATAGAAAAAGTTAAAACGTATTTGGATTTATTAGACGTAATCGTTTCGCTGGAGTTTATTAATCTAGATGTATTTAAGAAAAATGACAAAGAAAAATGGATAAGAGAACTTATTATATCAAGTTTATTTGAACATTTCAAAGCATGCGACACTGAACAGATCGATTTCTACAGTAATTGGTTTATAATTGAACAAAAATTCATGTATTACAAATCAGTTAAAATGTTGGGTTTAATCATGCAAAGAGCCTTGGACTTCGAATCGATTGCACAGATCATTGACGTATTTTTATGCATCGGTACAAGGTCATATGATGACGTAATGATTATTTTAAACAATCACGAATTTCCCTATGGCACATTAAAAAACGGCTGGTGCATAGAAATGATGAAAAATCGCCTGACAAATAACAACATCGACGAAAATTATCTAAGTGAACTTTGTCAAAATGTTTGTAAAACATTCAATAGAACATTTATTGAAAGTCTTTTCAAGTGCATATCACGGATCGATAATTTAAGAGAATTTGAAGATGTGGTAGAATTTTGTTCCATCAAAGAGCTAACGTTGAACGATTTATGTTTTCAAAATGTTGATATTACTCATTTGAAGAGTCTACTTGAAGCCAAATATATATGCAATAGAATTAATTCAAACGATGAAAAACAAAGTTATAGAGATGTTTTATTCAAGAATCTATGCTTATTAATTAAAAAGAAATGGACATTTGATCAACTCGATGAGCTAACAGAATCATTCAATTCGATGAATATAAATCGAAAACTTGAAAATTATATAAGTGTATTGGAACTTATCAATCAGTACAATTTATCTTCCTCACAATATAAGAAATGTAGTCAGTTAATTCGAGAATCGAACACTTTTATTCAATTTTTAAAAGGATTAAATAAACTGGTTATTGAAAATAATTTTCAATTAAAAGGAAAAGTCAAAAGTCCAACAGAATTATTAAATGAATTGAAAGAATCCAATGAAAACAATTCAGCGTCAGTCCGGTATATAACAACAGAATTGCCCAAAGAATTAGAAGAAATAAAGCGAGAAGACTTGAAGTCATCAATTCAATATAATCAATTGCCAATAGCTGGATGGGGCGTTAAACAAATTAACCATTGGTCAGACGCAATCAAATCAAAAGGAGAACAATTTAGCAACGTGGAAGCAATTGCTGTTATAAAACGGGCCAATTTCCTATTCACTGGTTATCATTTGACGGATACACAAATATTGTGCAGTTTAATAGCATTAAAAACTGAATCGAAGACTAGAAACAAACTATTACAAGTCGCTACTGGTGAAGGTAAATCGACAATTGTATGTATATTGGCAATAATAAATGCATTGAAAAACAAGCAAGTTCATGTTATTACGAGTTCACCTGTATTGGCAGAGAGGGATAGCAAACAAAAAATGAAATTATTCAAAATGTTTCACTTGACTTGCAGTGATAATAATGATAAAACAATTTATTTATATGGTCCCAAAGATTGTTATACAGCTGATATCGTCTATGGTGAAGTGTCACAATTTCAATTCGATACATTAAGAGATCAATATAGTATGTTAGGCACACTTGGCAATCGAAAATCTGAAATAGCTATAGTCGATGAAGTTGATAGTATGCTTATTGATGATAGTTCAAAAATTGCACGTCTTTCATCAACAGCTGCTGGAATGGATTACTTTCAAGTTATTTATGTTTACATTTGGCAAAGATTATTGACAGTTAAGGAAAGATTTATAATGTTTAATAACACAATGTATATGATGAATGGTAAAGTTGAATTTGAAAATGGAAAAATTGTATTGAAATCTTTGGATAATAACAATAATATTGTCAAAATAGCAGACTTGGAAAGTTATGTTTCAAATAATAACGATATCAGCGATATAGGAGAGGTCATAAATGGTGATCTGGATGACTATCTGAAAAAATGTTTAGATGAATATTTAGCCAGTCTAATCAACGAGAAAAAATTGGAAATTCCAAAGAATTATAAAGAATTTTATGAAACTCAAAAACCCAAATGGATACATAATGCGATTGAAGCACTAAATTACCAAGAAAATATACATTATGTCGTACAAGAAGGTCAAATAAAGCCAGTTGACTATTACAGTACCGGTATTGTACAAAGTTCAACGAATTGGAGTGATGGTTTACATCAATTTTTGCAAATTAAACATAACTTAAAAATGACTTCGGAAACATTTACGACCAACTTTTTGTCGAATATTAGCTTCATAAATAATTATACAAATATTTATGGTCTAACTGGTACACTTGGTTCGGAAAAAGCAAAAAAAGTATTGAAAGAAGTCTATAATGCCGATTTAGTCAATGTTCCACAATTACGTCAGAAACAATATCTCGAACTAGAAACCATCGTTAGTCAAGATGAAACTAAATGGGTGGAACAAATATGTTCAACAGTATTAATTGAAACGAAAAAAGATAGAGGTGTATTGATTATCTGTGAGAATATCGCTCATGCAAATAGACTTTGTGATCTATTGAAAATTCAACATAGATCAACTGCTGTCAAACTCTATACGATGAATAATATGAATCAGGAGAAACATGTCGAAAAAATCCTACCTGGTGAAATAATCATTGCAACAAATTTAGCTGGAAGAGGAACTGATATACGTACAGATGAGATAGAAGAGTTCGGCGGTTTGCATGTTGTCTTAACATTTATGCCAAATAATCAACGTATCGAAGATCAAGCATTTGGACGAACAGCGAGACAAGGCAAACGTGGCACTGGATTGATGATTTTAAATTCAATGAATTTAATCGATTATAATCATGTAAATACCACCGAAGTCAAATCGCAAAGAGATGAAATCGAATCAAATATGTTAAACGAATTTCAAAACAATGACCTGAAATTGATTCAAACCAAAGATAAACTATTTAAACAATTCTGTACATTTTTAAATGGAGAAATTCGTCATAATATTCGATATAATCAAGGACTCTTTCAAGCAAGTTTGAATGCGGTAACAGACGTATTTAAAACTGTCATGCCAACTGTTTATGAGACAAATATAATTGCAGCTGTTGAAGAACAATGGGCGATGTTTTTACGAAAATTAGATGATGACACTATACCATTAAATCATGCCAACGAAGAATGCAACAAATTGATTGCCACATTGAGAAAAGATTACGAACAAGAGAAAATTATTAAAAATTCATATTATCATACAGCGATTGCAAATGATATTATTATGAATGATTGGTCAATACGTAGTTCTTCAAAAGCTAAAAATGCTTTGAGTCATTTTGAGAACGCTGTTCAATTAGATGAAGCTGTTTCTGGTGCAGCCTATTTAGGTATAGCCTGGTGCGCACTTGTAATTCGAGATGAGAATTATAAAAATAAAGCACTTGAATCATTTGAGAAATCATTAAAAATTTTATCCAATGAAATGGCAATGTTAAATTCAATGCAAGTACTTTTAGAACAAAAACAACCGACATTTACTGGTAGTGAACTATATAAACAGTTTGTGACGAAAGTAACTATTTTAGGTACATATTTAAATAGTGTTCAAGGTAATATTGGTGCAATCAAAAAATCATTAAGACTTATTGACTTGATTGGAATTGAACAGCATTCTCATGGGAATGTATTAGAAAAGATCGAGTTTTATTATGAGCTTAAAAGAAACAGCAAGAATAAATTAGACATTAAAATGAACAAGAAAGCAAGTTATAATTTAATATTTAATGATTTGACGTCGAGAGAAGATAGTGTTACAATTGACCAAGCATTGGAAACTATAAATAATGCATACTGCAAAGATAACTTGCCATCATCATACCATGGCATATCTATTACATTGAAACAAGCCGAATTAGATAGAATAAAAGCAATTTTCAATCAAAATAAAGAATATCTGGATCTGACGAAAGAATCAGCTATAGATAAACTTAAGAGCGAACGAACCATGTGGAATATACTTCGTGTAAGAAGGTCATATCAAGTTGATTTGAAAATTATACATAGTGATAGCAAAACTGAAGAATTAAAAAATCAACAAATGAATGAACTTATTACATTGATTGAAGAAAAAACGGATGATACACTTCGATTTAACATCATTATTAAAGGTGCAAATGTGAATGGAGTGAATACACATTTCAAAAATGCAGCTAATGATTCTGAGAATCTTCAAATTGATTTTGATCGTTTAGATTTTGAGAGTATTAAGGAAAAACTATCTTCAATCAAAGCCGCGTCTATAAATCTCGAAATGGTGTTGACTAAATCAATACTGTTGCCAATTATAGGTCGCAATAAATGGATAGAAACTGCAAAAATATGTGTAACTGAACAGAAATTGTATGAAAAAGTAGATCGAAATGAATTAGTGAAAAGAGCAACAGAACTTAAAAACGATGATTCATATTTTTATATCAAATTTGAATCATTGCAAACCGATCAAATCAGCAAAATTATATCTGGCTGTCAAGAAATTTCATTTAATATTTCATTTGTTGGCATAGATTTTTATAACAGTATTAATGGTCTTAATGGACAAGCAAATTTTCATTTTAACAATTTAAACAAGACAACATCGGAAATTATAATAAAAGATCTTCGTACAGAGAATATCGAGTTCTCTCTCGAATTTCAATGTTTGGAAGATCATCAAGTTGAATATATTGTTATTCATGCAGATCTCGTTCAAGAAAATATACAAATAAGTAAAATAAAAAATCTAATGGAATTATACACAAAAGGTTCTATGCCTACTGTTGAACTGAATGAATTTACAGCAAAAGGTATTGAATATATGATCGAAATAAATGAGAAACGATTTGTTCCTTGGAGAAGTGTAATAGCTGTGGCTATATTAGGATCTCTGCAAATTATTGCTGGCGGTGTTCTTATTGCTACTGGATTTGGTTCTACTGTAGGAATGGGTCTTATCACTGAAGGCATAGCTGATATGTTCACTGCCTATAGAGCATTTAGCAATAGACAATTCAATTGGGGAGATTATTGTAAACAGAAGGCTGTCAGCTTAATCATTTCTGCTGTTTCAATGGGCTATTCCAATCTTAAAGATGCTGGAAAAGGTGTCACGACTTTAGTTGAATCGGCTGGTAAAGAGGCACTTGAGCAAGCAGGAGCACAAGTTGCAACAAATACAGCAACCATAGGCGAAACAGTTGTTCAGACTGGCAAAAATCTCAAAAGTCTTGCATTCAAATATACCGGTGTTAAAGCAGGTGAAGCAGTTGTGAGAGAAGGTCTCAACAGTGGTGTACAGTATTTATCGAAATTTTCATTTGATTTGATTAAACCACAAATATCCGAATCAGTTCAATCGAAAATTCGAGTGATGTTTTCTAAACCGGATTTGATATATTTGTTAAGAAAAATGTATGCGTTGGATTTGCAAGCCAAGTCAAAAATATTGCAATGTAAAGTAGATCAAATTGTTGCCGATACAATAAATCCACAACACGATTTCGCCCGTAGACAATGGGATTCAATTGGTGGACCCTTGCTCAAAGGTGTTTTGGCAGATGTCAAAAATTATGGTAGTGTCATTAGTATGACAATTAGAATTATCGGTACATTAAATGGTATATACGAGTTACAAACGTTAATTGATAACGTATACATAGAGTTGGTTAAGAAACTTTCACAAATTGATAAAAATACAATGACACTCACGCTCGTCTTACATCGGAATCTGAAGATTGACAAAGAAATTGCAAGAAATGCAGTGAATAAACTTAAAAATTTGGAAATTATTGACGAAAATGATAATTTAAAACTTTCGTCTCATGATGATGTTAGTGATGAATGCAGGAAATTGCAACGTAAAATAGATGAATTCAATCGACAAGAAAAAGATCAAGATGCTGTTGCCCAGTTTATGATATTATTCTGTGATAATTATATGAAAGTTGAATATGATTCGTTTAGTATAATTATGAAATCTATTGCAGATAAAATAACTGAACAATTAATACAAATAATTGAATCGCAGTTGATACAGCCATGGTCAACGTTAGCAGTTAGCAGTGTCGCAAATAGTATTTCAAGCCGAATTCAACATAATTATTTGGTTGATAAAAATCAAAACTCAGATAGTCACAATAAGGATCAAGAAAAATATGATGAACTTAAAAGTAAAGCAAATTTAACAGAAGAAGAAAAAATTTTTATGAAAAATTATGGCAAATATCGAACATTTACTGAACAAATAAATTATAATGCTAAAGATTATTGTATTGCATATAGTCAATGCGAAATTATTTACCACTCACAGCAAGCAGCATCAGACAGCAAAAATGAATACGAAGCATTAGACAGTACAACACAAAAGCATATAGACGACATCAAGAATGATAAGCCAGCAGATCTTGCTGATATGATGGGGCTGGCTGCTGAGAATGGTATAACCATTAAAATAGTCGATGATCCGGCATACGAACCTACCCAGGAAGATATAGAAAAAGGTACGAAGATTATTGTCTATACGAAAGGTGAAACTAACAGTGAAGGAAAAATAGGCATAGGACATTATCAGCTTAGGGGAGAAAACGGAGACGTCATCGATGTGCCTAGTATCAACAATAATTGTGGGTATGCAGTGATTCAAAAAATATTACAAAATCAAGGTACCGATATCTCCATTGATGATCTTCGTAATCAGAGAGCTGCGATGGTACAAAACAATCCCACACAATTCATGAAAACACGAGAAGCAGAGAAATGGATCGAGACTCGCCATCCTCAAGAAGCAAACCGTTTATTACTCGTAGGTGCTAAAGACATTCAAGAAAATAATTTAAACACGAACCAATTTGACGGAATCGAAGAAGACGCGGGCACCTATAAAAAGCTGAACAAAAAATACAAAGGTCGACGGCGCAAATATGAATTGAATCACATCCCTCCAAAAAATTCTTTGAAAGGTACACCTTTTGAGCACATTAACCCGGAAGACTTGCCAGTAATACCTATGACATGTGATGATCATAAAGATTATATTTCGACTGGACGTAGCGCAGAGGCAACGAAATACCGCGCCGAACTGAGAGAACACTTGAAAAACGGGAGGATATATGATACTCTAAAAACGGAACTAAGTAATATGTTAAAGGTTCCACCTCCAGGTACTTATCAAGATAGAGTTGCGAAATTCCTTGATGCCGTTGTAGCTACTGGGATACCAAATTATCCGACGAAAAATCAATGTAAACCTTTGTTATCGCCCCAGCAAGCAGAAGACTTGAGGAGAGATTTGTTTGGATAAAACCACCACTAAAATTTTATTTCATTCAGAAACCTTTTGGCTCCAGAAATAAGGACATTTTTTTCAAACTTATAAATCAAGATCTTCAAACAGTTTTAGCGAAACTTTCTTTTTCTAATAATGCTTTTTATCATTCTTCTTAAACAATTATCTCCTATTTCCTTTTCTTTGCGTCTCTCTCTCTCCTTTATCTCGCATGTATAAATGGGTGTTGCCTATGAATATGATGTGATTGTACGATACGAAGGAACGGATTAATGTGTTATCCCGTCTTCACTCGTACATCTTCTGTCAGACAATCGTCACAATTAGTCGTATGAATACGTCAATACTGGCGATAACATTTCATGTCATCATGGACTCTGTTTTCAAAAAAATAATTAATTGTATATGCTGAATATCTTTGGACACGTGTACAAATGTGCCAAACAGTCTAGATGAAGTATAAGAAGACATGAACCACTCCATTCCGCCTACGCATTGATTGCACATCGTGCAAATTGTTTTCGTTTTCAAGAAACAAGCGATCGAAGATAGCCTGGTTGGCTCATTGCTGTGAAATTATCTTATTGGTAGTTCTTCATGAAATTTCAGATATGGGAAGAGTTCTTTATTCGTGTCCGAAGACGACATTCATTGTCGCAACCAACTGAAGGTTATTGATGCTCATACTGATGTGTAATGCGCTGAAAGCGTCAACATACTTAACCATCAGTGACGATCATATACGAGAACTCGATTTTCGAAATATTAAACATAACTGTTCGACTCGGTTTATGAAAATTCAATGGCGATCTAAAAAGGGTATACATGTATACCACTGTATTCATACACTCATGTTCACTGGCACACTATTCACCTATGGGGTCTTAGTTTTTATATTGTACTGAGTTATGCTTACAAATAAATGGGTGTGGGGAATGCAGGTTGGTGTTCTCTTCATCTTCCACACGTACACACGCACACCCTTCTTATATATCCTGAGCACAGGTTCGGTAATAAAACAATTTGTTTTAGAGTGTGGTCACCCGTTCCTTGTAATCACAAAGAGAAGAGTTTATGAGCCAGATTAAGAAGTACTCTACATGAGAACCAAAACTGCTCGAGATACGCATATCTCGAAAATAGCATGGGTGTGTACGTGTTTCCTGTTGAGCCTCCGACAATCTTGCTGATTCTATTGAAAATAAATCGTTGATATAGAAAGAAATTCGAACAGAAAATATTTTAATATATTATTATCGATAAATAATTGTTGATGTAACAATTTTTGTATAATGAATATTGGATCAATAGCTGAATATGGATGAAAATTTTGTTTGACATCAATAATTAATGTTGATAAACAAACGAGAGGCTTATCAAGCAGATAGAGACAATCAATGAAACTCGCGACTTTAATTTTCAATTTGATTAAAGTTGAAGGTATATAATTCTTCGATAGGGGGATAGAATAGAGGGCTCGCCTACAATGCTGCGTAGGCAACATGTTACAAAAATTCAATACAATTAATTTTTTAACTACATAAAGATAAAATTAATGAAAATATTTCCGAAAAAGTTGCCGAGCATAATTCGGCTGAGTTATTTGGTTGGTCAGAAAATCACGAAGAATTGAATCATCTTAGATTTTGAAAATTAAAACAAAAGATAATTACTAGTTTGTTGGTTTTTTTTAAGCGTAACGATAAAATAAAATTCTTTACCTGTTAAATATTGATAAAGATTCTCTTCGTGTAAATTTAGGAGTGATAATTGGCAGCACGAAGAATTTCTTCTATTGAATGTTCTTCAACAAAGAGTTTATGTACTTGATTATGAATTTAAGGTAAAATATTCGAACAAATTCTTGAAAAAAACTTGAGTATCTATTGAAGAAGTCTCATGTGAATTGATGATCACGAATATAATGATAATCAAGGACTAGTCGACGAAATCGTCGATTAACATCCACAAGTGAAGAAAGATCATCAATTATATTGAGTTTTTGAAAAATGATGAATACAATTGTTTATGTCTGAGCCATGAAATGCATTGAGGTCAACATATGCTTATATGTTTGCATTTTCTCACTACTGTCATGTAGATAAAAAACAGACTAAACTAATTTTGAAATGAACTAATCAATCAAATTGACACTGCTGGTTAGAAAGGTCATGGTGTAAGTTTTATATTCGCTGGCACTATATCACAAGCTCGTGTTAATGAACTTCAATTTGAATAGATTCACATTGGAAACAGACTCGTTTGTCGATGTTCCTGTGTTTGTAAAAAAAGCTTTGGTATCTATTTATTTTCAAGTTCATGGTCGTTTTATGGAATAGTTGATACTTTAGACTGTGTTATGTTGATCAAAGATTAGAGTAAGACCAGGCGTTGATGTGGTTCGGTCCTCGATTGGGTCAACAGTCGGTTTGTGCGACATAGGACGATGCACGGAATACACACACAGGATAAGTACGTGCATATTTCTTTTGGAATAAAAATAAAATTGCTGTATTATCGATGCTCATTTCTTAGAAGATTGAATATACTTTTGATTGTGCTTAATATAAAAATCTTGATACCGATTTAAGTAGTATATATTTTATGAAGAGTCGAACAGAACACAACCATGAATGTCGGTTCCAAAAGTTGTGAACCAAGCAGTTTACTTCTTTCGTTCGACGTTAAACGAAGTGATTTCATAGAAGTATACAAGGATTATCGTACACATGATTTTAACACATGCTGCATTGGTAAATTATTGCTGTCCTCTGAAATGAAGAAAAATTAACTGACGCGTCAAGAAAATCGACACGCGGATATGTCAAGATTAAATCAACTCCATAAAAGGCCTTATTTAACAACAACAAAATTTGTATTAATTCAAATATATCTATGCAGTAATACTCATTAAATATGCCTTTTCCATGCAGTGCTGTACGCCAAGTTCATTACTTATTCAATGCTCTATGTTCTCCAAACATAGTCACTCTGAAATTAGCGGCTCAAGATCTGCATTTCTTCTAAAGTATTCTACATATTAAGCACATTATTTAGAATTTCAGTTTTTATTTTATTTCAACCTTTAATTAATTGCTGAAAAGAAAAAGCTTAGGTTATCAGGGTGATCTGTTTTCGAGTTGATCTTTTTTATAAAGCACGAAATAGCCAGTCTTTTGTTATCAATCCGTAGCCTGCAGCAAAAAGCATTCCACCACCAAACATTCCTGCAGTTGCAATAAGAGAGCCAACCAAAAGATGTGTGACACCTTTGAATGATACACAAAAATAAGAACAATAGAAATATTAGAAAAAGAAAAAATTACCAGAAATTCCCTGCCCACTTGTACAACCACCAGCACAGCGTGCACCAAGTGTTAATAAAAATCCTCCAAAGAAACTACTCAAAACGCCTGCCCCATATTGTTCATTTAAAGGAAATTGATTTGCTGAAACTGTTGAAACAAAACTTCCTCCAATAGCTCCAAATGCAAATAATAATGCTAAACTATTTTGTACTCCATAAGTGAATGGCTCTAAGGATGGTATTAATTTTTTAAGGGATTTCACACGACACAATTGTGCAACTAATACAGTAAATCCAGTTGATATTCCTAATGATTTTTTAAATAACATCATAAAAAATAATTGTAATGAGCCAATACCAATACCGCATAGTACTGGTGACCAACCTAATATACTAGGGAGTCCCTTTGGTGTTATGAAATCATTTTTATAGGGAATAAAATGTTCAAGAGTAAATGCAGTACCAATAAATATTGAACCAAATATTAAATTCAGGTAACTACGTTTGACACCTATTAATTCTGGAAGTTGTTGCAGAACTATTGATGACTTTGGTACTTCATCTTTTGTTAAACGTGCAGAAAGAAATCCATAATAAAACAAAACTCCACAGATAGCACCAAGGCATGTTAGAAAAGAATTTTGCAGACCCGAGCCCCTAAGTACAAGAAAGAATTTCAACTACAAAAATAAATCCATGAAAATAAATCACTTACATTTGAACAAATACCGTTCCTGGACAGCTACCGGCAAGAACCATACCCACTCCAATAAGAGCTCCACCCATCAAAAGATGAGAACCTAAAACAAATAATTAATATTTAAACTCGTTATCTTTTCAAAAGAAAATTCTGTACAACCGGATGAATTAATTTCCAAGAAGAAAACGTGATACTTCACACTTCCCCTACTTTGAGATACTTTACCATACTTAAATGTACAAAACTATCACGTTTTCCCTGGTAAAGCTTTTTCTCTCAAAGGTGCAATTTGATATGATATCAACATAACTTCTTTTCTTAGTAAGAAGCCAATTCGATGTTTGCAACTAAAACTTTGCATCGGAAGAGCTCTTCTAATTCTCTATAAAATAAAATACGTCTCATTGTGTAATTAAAATTGCATTCATTCTATTTTTCAAGGTATGTTATAAACAAGTCGAGCGTATCTGGATTGCATCGTTATTTTAATTGAATAATATAAAGTTTCACATCCGCTGGCCAAAAATGCTCAGTCTTCTCTGAAAAAACATCTATGCTTTTAAGTATTCGAAAGATGGTTTAAGAAAGTATGTGTCGATTTGTTTACTTTTCGAATGAGCTTATGGAAAATAATGTTCCGTTTTCCTCATCTTAGTTTGATCGCAGCTTATGTTTCTGAATTTAATCTCAGCATTTTGTCTTAGGATGTAACCTTTAAATAACTATATCTTTTTTTAGCGTTTACCATGAATACGATTATTACGATGAATAAATGAATTACAAACAGTTCGATAAGTTGATTCACTAACAACAATAACAATGCATGAGCTTAACATTGATGCTCCAACAGCACCAAGAAACATTTTAATCATGGTAAAGTGCTGGAATAACATTTGATCTCGAATTACCGGAGCAAGATATACATTAGCTTTGTTCATTAAAAAACCGAACGCAATGCCTAAACCACTGACTGAAACTATTTGAACCAGATCGGTGAGGCCATCAGATGACTTTGTATTTTTAGTTTTGCCAGATTTCCTAAACAAAATCTAATCATTCTAAATATCTTATGTTAAAATGAGCTATTTACTCAATACTATTGGATTCATCGTTCGTAGACATATCTCGTCTATTGCGATTTATTATTTGATCATCGGCCATGGCTTGTCACTTAGATATTGGCTTGTGATAAAGTAATCTGAAGCAAAAGGAAAAAGAATGAATGGCCGCGCTTGATTCATCTATATATAAGGGAGAAATACACGTATTGACGTTGAGATAGAAGTCAATGTACCCAACTTTGTAAAATCAAATATTTTGTTTGCAGCGAACAAATGCTATTGAAATAGTATTACACGTGCTTTTTATACAGAACAGAAGAAGCAAATACACGACATGTCGAAAAGAAATAAACGGGTATCCTCATTCTGTTTTCTAGCCATCAATAAAAGCTAACATTGTGTTTTACTTGAAATATCTAGAGAACAAGAAAAAAAACTGTTGTATCTAGGAAAAAACCGTGTTTGTTATCTACATGAAGGATATCTAAATGTTGTATGAAGAAAGATAAATAAAGTGATAAAAAGTTATTTTGGTTGACGTGAGCACCATTTAAGGGAATCCAAAGAGTTAAGGGAAAACATGGATACCGTTGTAGAGGTTCACAGAATCATATAATGGAGAGCTCTGGTTGACTGGGTTTTGGTGTATTTGTGACTTGCATGCTCACACCACACATCTACAAAATATATGTGAACGATAAGAGCTGTAAGATTTGTGAAATAAAGGAAGCGAAAAGATAAAACATTTTTCATGAAGATTTTACACAAATGTCTCGATTATTTATTTTCTAATGATAACATCAAATCATTGTTGAAATCAAAATGTTGATGTTCAAGCAAATTCAATTAATCTTTGTAATGCATGATCTGACTGTTGTTCTATTTTAAAACAACATGGTACCAATAGTAGTCATTAGAACAACAAAAACAATAGAAAGTATTGATGGAACTATCGTTGTGCCGAGAGTGGTAATCGCAACATCAACACACAATAACCACATTACACCCGAGCCGACTTCATTGTTACGCCAGAAAAATTGAAATGTGCCCTGATCAGTCCTCTTTGACGGAACAGTAATTGTAGCTTGAACCGTTTGGCCTAATATAAAAGCTACAGCTGGAGTAGGACCTGTAGTTGCCGTTGTTGATACATTGACATAGATGAATGGAACTGGAGAAAACGCTGAATCGCAGTCTGTTCACCATCCCGATAACGGATTCGCAACCAATCTGTTGGATAAATGTTTTGATTTTCCGTTAAGTGAATCTGGGAAATGAATATGTGAAATGTTTGCGATGAAACGGCTGTTTTTCCATTGAAACCTGGATCATAATTAGTAGCACTTTGCGGAGCCGAAGCTAACAAATTAGTACCATTACATGTTGCTTGATAGGCTCACTGAGATAAGTACTTGCATATAAGACGACATCATTGCCTTTGTCTGTGAAGAAAAAGGTAAGATATCAGCAAACAGTATAACGTGTCTAGGTGGAAGATTGAGAAAAATCGATTGGGACCGTTACGAGAAGAGAAAATTTCACAAAACGAGAAATATATCTATCAATAGTCCTCCTCGCTGAGAAAGAAACAAAACCTTGAATACAGCACTATATACGTATGTTATTATAATCGACCAATTATAATTATCCAAAAAATGAAGTACCAAACGAATTGAACTGCTGAGACATAGACAACTCTTTCCTGTTGAATGTTGATTCGAATCACAATTCTTTCTCTAGGACTGTTGGGGTTTTGTTATATTTGCTAACTCAACGTTCTGTTTTTTTCTAGTTAATAGCTCGAATAACTATATCAATTGAACAAAGGACCACTTATAGTGACGAAGAACTTAATTTCAACAACAGTTTGGTTCATCAATTTAATGTGTTGTACCGTTAAGATCAGTAACAATAATACGAGATCACGTTTGTCAACCGAAAACAAAGATCTTCCCCTTCGTGAACCCGGACCTACTAAACTTAACGGTTCTCACATAGATAGGATGGAGATTGGCAAACACGACACAAAAATGTATAATACGAAAACTACACACATCTTTGCAGTGTTTTACTCTTAAATGTTTATTATACGAGCTGTTCCTTTCTCTCTTTCTCTTTCTGTTTTTTTGTATATTCTTATCCCATTTTTTGCGTGTGTCACTTGATAGCTCGTAAGTCAACAAAAGAAAAATCCACGACAAAATAAAGACGTTGTTTTCTTGATGAATTTTCTTAAATTAACCTGAAATAGCGGTGTAAGAAGAAATCGAAATTGACTCTATTTACAATTTCATAGAGCAGATTTGAGAATAGTCATTTTTTCTTTCTCTAGATGTTCGTTATTAAAATCGTTACTAGATGAATAACTGCTTCAGTTAGTAATTTAATCGAACTGTGAAACATTGACATCGATCATATTGACAAACATTCTTATAATAATACCATAAACACATCTTAACATGTTTTACAAAAACTCATGTTTGAAGTACAGGTCACGTCTCGATTGTATTCTCGATGTTCGCTGATAGCGAGAATATCCGATAGAAACTACGGCATGACCATATCTTCGTTTACTTGTCAGTCAACTCGAAAGTTAACAGAACATGAACACCTCTGAATTGGTATGCACTTTTGTTTTAATCACATCGTCAAAGAAGAAAAAAACGAGACATTTGTAGTTGATATATAGAAGTTACACCGGTCGACGAAGTTACTTTTAATTCATTTATCAATAAATAATTTACTAAATTGAATGTTCCACCGTTCGCTGAATGGTCCAAAATATTTTTTTAAATAAATACTACTTATTCAGCAATATTGCTGAATAAGGAGTATTTATTTAAAATAATATTTTGGATCATTCGGTCAGCGGTGGAACATTCAGTTTAGTAAATTATTTATTGATAAATGAATTAAAAGTAACTTCGCCGATCGGTGTAACTTCGATACGACATATATATATATATATATACGGTCGTAATTCTTTGAATAGGACCTTGGCAATATACAATCGCAATGCTGAGCATTGTGGTAACACGTCCACATATACGATTGTATGTGCACTGTGTATTCTTGATCTTGAGTACACAATAAGCTTTTAAAAATGCTCAAGTTACAATAGAAAGCCTGGATATTAAGTTGTGCCCTTAATTGTTCTTTACTTAATTTGCATTGGTGCTATAGCAGCAAGCCTGATCGATTCTCAAGTTTACCGCTATTCTCCATGTTGATTGAATCGATATCTACTATTGAGATTGGAAATGAATGAATTTTGAAGCAAAACAACAATAGAGTGACTGTTTGTGATATGTCAACGGTTTTTGCTCTTTTTTTATCTTTTCATTTGAGAACTGTGGTTTACGACCATATAATTACAATGTGAACAAGTCGCTGGTCTTCGCGAAATTTTCACATTTTTCATCAAGATCCTTCGTCGATTCCTAAAGGAATAAGGGCCACCTCATAGAAATTTAGTTCTCTCGATCACTATGCAAGGTCTTTTATTCCAAGGATGTGCTTGTAATTGGGTAGATGACAAGAACCTTGAGTACACACTCTCATATTCTGTCGATACAACCAGGCGAAATGTCCATGCAAAATCGAAAATCATATTTTTCCACATTGAAACGGCGTGGTTTGCATTGGTTAATAAGTGTAGTAAAATGTCGACTTATTTTATGGTTAAAATTGATCAGTACCTCTACTTCATTCTTGCAGTTTGTGATAATATTGCATACTATTTCACTTGAAAGCGATTCAAATGTTGAGGTTGACCGTAATCTGAAGAAAATAATAATTTATGAAATTCGACTAGATTGAATACAATGTTTTTTTAATACGTGAAGATTTTTATATGCATGTATAAAATATGACATTTTAAACTCATGATTTATTATATATCTGTTTCCAACAGAGAAGCTATCTTTACTTTCTTCTGTTTTGAAATTCACAGCAATATCATTAATACACATGAAAAATGAGCAACAGGGTGCGTGCGGGGTTCAAGACGCGCATTTTTGGCTATATCACCCGCACCCATACCCACACCCGCCTAATAGATTTACTCTCATTTCTTGTTAATGCGTAGCAAAACGATTATAAATGTTCAAAGATTTACACTTGAACGGGTTTTAAAATGTAATACGCTGCGAACCTGTTTGTTACATGGCAGAGGCAAACCAATGTTCATATAAATTAGTAAAAATAACTAAGAATTATTGAACGACTAATAATCGAGTCATGTACAAAAAAGCTTTAATGAATAGGATGCATATTTCTTCAAAGGATACTAAGTAATCTTCTCCGACTAGGCGATGTTGAATATTCTTCATTAGTTTTCAAATTTTTTATGGTTGATTTATAAAAGTTTGTTAGCGCAGCGCCTTTGGGGCTAAAGTGTGAAACCCATAAATATCCCTTAGGCTTACTAAACTAATTCAAAATAGTTCATGTGCAAAATCAATCTTAATTTTCAAGATCTATAATTAAGTCATTACCTATTTGCGTATGTCTGTAATGGAGTATTAATTATTACCTGGCGTCTTTAACAATGACAGAGACTGGTTGCTGTGGTCTGTAATTATAATAAAAAAAAGAAAAAATAGCAACCTAATTAGTGAAGCTCCTAATTAGCACAATTTTTAACTCATCAATGTCTGTAATGGGGTGGGGAACCAAAAATTTGGATGTCGGTGTTGTTGTTGATTTTCTTCGAACGAACACCCACACGCACTGCCTAATATTATATTATTATATGAAGCAAAATAGACCGTAGAAAAGAAACATAACAACATATACACAGTTTTAGGGGTATAAGTAAATACAGAGGAATAGAAGCATAATAATAATAATAATAGCTTCCATAGAGATCTAAGAGTATAGAGGTATTGATTAGGAGTAGTACTTGAGCTTTACTTTCTGGTTCAGGTTAGAATACCACGTCAAATCTTAAAATGTATGGTAAATTTTTATATTCAAATGATTAAGACATCGTTTCAAAACTATGACGCCCTAAATTTGAAGCATTTTTTTTTATTAATGTTGCTTGATTGGATATTACTCGTTGCGACAGACATTGATGAAAAAGTTGATAAATCTCTAGAGCGATTACCATAAGAATATGATTGCGATTTTGAATAGTTACTTTTACAATCGAAGCTGCTTTTTCTTTGCTTGATGTAATTTATCGATACTATCACCTTTTTGAAATACACGATAGGCACGTGTGTTACGCTTCTATGGGCAACAATATACACAAAACGTTAACACAAACTGCGGCAGAACGAAATTTCAATTTGATTTGTATCGACTGTTATCGGTATATGCTTCATTACTACTTAATTGCTAGTTAACATGCGACTGTTTGCTTTGAATATAATTGAAGTTTTTATTTTGCTCATGTCTACCTTGGAATTAGAAGTAAACGATTGCTACTATACGTGGCATCCCCCATTGAATATATTGTAGTGAATTATCTATCTTTATACTTCTCGACTGTTCTGATGCATCATAACGTTTTTGTCTTGTTAGTCTGCTATTTGTTCTTCCTTTCTATGTTTATGTTTCTTCAGAGTTGTTTTTCTTTTCCTATCTTCCTCTTCTTTCTGGATTGTGTATAAAAAGCGCACACTATCTGTAAAAGCTCAGTAGTTGTATCAAGGAAATTGATAATAAAGAGGAAGAACGTAACAATTCATTACACTATAATCATTTTTTTCAATTTTCAATTTTTATTTAGTCTCTAATTTATTGACAGAAGACAATGCAGTCAGCTTCAACAGCGAATAACAATAATGTTAAGACACATTGGCAGATTTCACTATTTGACTCTCACAGTAACTATCAACACATTCTTGATACTTTAAAACAAATTCCGTCATCAATCAATCATATAAAGTTATTTGAAAATATTATTGAATGTGAGCAATTCATCCGATCCCTTTCGGATGATGATTGCATTGTCTTTATTGACGATGTTCCATTGGGCCAACAAATTATACCTCGAATTGATCAACTTCGACAAGTGTTAGCCATATATATTTGTAGCGCTGAGATACAGCCAAATGAATCATGGTTTCGACAGTTTAGAAAAGTAATTATACACATACAGCAACTTTAATGATTTAGAGAATCTTCTTTCTTAGTTTCGAGGCATATATTCTCAGTGGAATCAACTTGCTACGTTCATGACATCAAGTTATAGGATTCGACCAGGTCGTGAAGACGATGATCTGTTCTCATTTGACATATTCGGCACTGATGATGATCAAGAGAAGTCAACTGCCGAATTAGATGGCCATTTCATTCATTCACAACTATTGATTGAGACTCTTCAAAAAATGAAATCGACTTCAGCGGCAATCAAAGAATTTATTGACTTTTGTCACAATCAAAAAGATATCAAAGATCAAGACAGTCAATTGCAACTTGTGCACGAATTTCAAAACGAATATTCAAGTGATAAATCAGTGTGGTGGTATACAAGAAACTCGTTTGTTTATCGAATTCTGAACAAAGCACTTCGTGTACAAAACATCGATGTACTTTTTGTTTTTCGTTTTTTTCTTCGTGATATTGCACAGCAACTCAAAGAAAATCAATGGTCATCTCCAGGATATGTTTATCGAGGTCAATCTCTGTCGAAATATGAAGTGGAAAGATTGCAGCAATCAGTCGGAAAGTTGATTGGAATAAATTCATTGTTCTCAACGACTCTTGATCCTGATATAGCTGAATTCTTCATTGGTGGTGGTACGGAGGGTTTAGAGAAAGTACTCTTTAAAATATATGCCGATCCATCAATTGGCGGTATTAAACCATTTGCTGATATATCACTCCTGAGCAACTTTTCTGACGAAGGAGAAATTTTATTTATGTCGGGATCAATTTTTCGGATTGAAAGCATTCAGATTGATAAATACGGAGTATGGTTGATTGAACTAAAATTATTCAGTAATCATAATGAGATTTTGGAACCAATCTTTGATTATTTGTTAACAGAGTCTAGTCGATGCGAATTAGATCTTCTCGAATTTGGTAATTCACTGCACAATATGGGTAAATTCGAACATTCAAAAACTTATTATAATCGTTGTCTGGAATTACTGCCGTCTGATGATCATGTGTGGAAGCCTTACTGTTATTACTTGCTTGGTTTAGTAGCCACAGAAAACGGTGACGATGAACGTGCCGTCGATCTTCTTAATAAATCGTTAAACATTCGAAGGCAAACATTAAAATCATCAGATCCGAGTATTGCTGATACACTCACCGCTATCGCGCGTGTGCATTACAATAGGTGTAACTTTGACCAGGCACTACAATTGTACCACGAGGCGTTAGCTATCTTTCAACAAGCGCTTGGTGAAGATGATCTGGCGAGCGCCATGACTTATACTAACATCGGTGTCGTCTGTAAAGAACAGAAGATATATCCTGATGCACTTGATTATCATAAAAAAGCTCGGGAGATTCGATTAAAACATTTGCCACGGACTCATTTCCGCTTTGGTACATCCTGGAATAATATGGCAGAAGTTCATCAACGTCTTGGCGAATATGACACGGCATTGGACTATTATAAGCGCGCGCTTGAAGTCTACAAGAAATCGCTACCATCAGAACATATAGAGATCGCTATTGTATTAGTAAATAAAGGCAGCATTGAAGAGAAAGCCGATTTATGGACAGCACTACCTTTATATAAAAAAGCGCTTAGCATTTGCCTTCATATGTGGCCTGTGGAAAATCCTCATCTTTTGCATATCAAAAATATTATCCAAAGTGCTGAAAACGCTCGCGAAAATATGAATTTGTCTGAGTCACTGCCGGAACTATTTGAAAGACTATTTCGTCCCTTCAAGTGCATCGCTTCCCTCGATCCACGTACCTTACACAGACAAACTCATCAGTAACATACCCAAGTAGACATTAAAAAGCATGCAATGACTGCAACGGTTCATTCTCAAAAGAGATACTGTTCGTTCTTGTGAGATTTCAGTCGACATCTTTTATGTAATGCATAGCTATATAAAGTTTCCTGTAATTATTTAATCTTTAGTGTAGCAATTTAATCTTGAGGGTGTGGGTGAAATGGAAAATAATAGAAACCCACACCCCAAGTACTCATGGGCATAATTGGAAACGTTTGAGACGATTCTTTGTATGAAATATTGTATGCTCGAAATTGAACTTTGACACGAGAGGGAGAAAGGTAATAACAGAAATTTCAAGAAATCGAACAGACAACAATGATGATGAATTTTCCTTTTTCTGGTTTTTGTAGTGCTTTTCATTATTCCTGCTACTGCCAAATGAGCACAGAATGGCTTTACTGTTCGTGGAGGTCACGGGTTAGGTGATTATACCTATCAACTCTATGCACCTTATAGTCTTTTTGTTAATAATACCATATGTTGTGGACTAGTAATTGATGACCAGAGATATCTCTACGTCGCTGACATAAAAAAAAAGCATGAAGTAAGAGAATATCGACTAGGAGTCAATAATGAAGCCATTATGGATAGTGGTAATGAACAAGGTGATGGTCTCAATCAACTCGAATTTCCGATTAATCTCTTTGTGGATCGACAAAAAAATATCTACGTGTCAGACAACAGCAATCATCGTATAATGAAATAGAATAAAGGTGCAAAAGAAGGTATAGTCATCGCTGGAAGTCACAGCTTCGAGAATGCTCTGAAACAGTTGTCGTATTCTTGAGGACTATTCGTCGATACGAAGAGTACATGCTATGTTGCAGAAGGGGACAATCAACCAATTACTGTAATTGCAGGTGGAAATGGTCAAGGAGCAAAGAGCAAATTAGCTCAACTAATCCATCGGCTTGTCCTTCGATCGACTTGGCAATCTGTATGTCATCGATATGCTGAGCGATTCGATCTCGAATGTCTCGTGAATCATTTCTTCATTCTCTTTTTCTGCTCGGAAGTAAATGAAAAATAGAAATTTTTCTTCGTTTTATATCATATTGGCAATGAAGAACCCATTAAATGAATTGAAAGGATGCAAAAAAATGAATGAAAAACATTTGTTTGCTTTCAAATTCATTATTTAAAATAATTGAAAAAACACGATAAAAAAAGTAGTTACAAAAAGCAGTAAAATATAAAAAGTTAAAAGAGAAGAAAAAGAATATTCCACATCAAAGATTGAAAGAAAATACGAGGGAGAGAAATTCATGTACTTAATTTTGAGAATGTGGACGTGGCTGTTCTCATGAATAACCCACAATAGTACCCACATACAAATTGCTGTCAGTCAACAATGCGCATCAGTCTCCAGTTTCTTATTGAATTCTTTCTATGCAAATGAAAACAGCTACTCAAGTGTCACTTTTGCACGACAGAGATATCGATTTTCGGGGAAAACAAAACTAAGAGAAGACACGTGCATCACTCAGATAATTCTCTTTGTGTAGATATTTAAATTGTAACTATTTTTCCTTTTAGTTTAAACGATTTCATCACTATCAATCTTCTTCAGTTAGATTGTAACTTGAATTAAAATGTCTAGATGGGCGAATGATGTTTCAATCAAACCTTGCTCCTGTGGCTTTGGTGACAAAGAAGCCAATATCATGCCTACCGGTCGGGAACCCGCATTTGACTATTGTCCTAATATCAACAAGTTGGATAATCACGTTGACTGCCCGTCTTTTGATGGTGTGTGCCACGAGGATCAGCCATGTGAACCTTACTGGAGAATGATTAAAGGCAGTTTTAAACAGATCCGTCGATGGTGTTTGATGGGAGAAATCGAAAACGTTAACTATTTCAATCATCCTAAGTTAACGATTCGTACCCGATTTGATGAGAAGGTTACAGTTCATTTTTATCTCGAGGAGGACAATAACATACCTACTTTCTCATTTAATGACGCATTAATCGGGCATACGGTTTTAATAATGTATGCTGAAAAGCATGATTTTCTCGACATGAGTACTGGTGTTCGACAAGTAGATGGAGATCTCGTAGTTATTTTCAAATGTTCTATGGAAACACTCATTAAAACTTTCGGATCCATGATGGCTCCTCCAGGTTGCTTTCAGTGCGGAGCAAAATCACCAAGTCCAACTCAAAACTCACCTCTAGAGAAAAATGAAAATCCTGTTTCAGTTGACCAATCTTCACATGTAGATGAAAATTCACAACTGGCGTCGGCAAGCCTACCATTGAAGAAGTGTTCCAAATGCCAAATAGCATTGTATTGTAGTAAATTATGTCAAACTCAACATTGGAAAGATTGCCACAAAAACCTTTGCTCATCAATGAAATATCTACAACTATTACGTGAACTTGATTTTACGACTTCGACTGTTATGTCACGAAAAAAGTGCCCACCTTTTTCTTTTGGCATTGTTTAGTTGGCCTAAGAAATAAATATTTTTGACTAAGATCTAAGTAGATGTGGGTGTGAATTTGATTGAAGAGAAATACAGACAAAAACAACTACATTTCAAATTCAAGCCGACACTCACACCTTAAAATATACCCACAAAGCAGCCCTATTAGAACTATTACATGTAAAAATAATACTATCATCTCACCTTTATCTAATGTAACATTGTCATACATTAAACAATAAAGAGAAACAGTGGATAGTATCATACCAAATACATCAAAAGTCATCCACCAAATAATTGAAATTAAATTACTTGAATAGAGGCGAAAGTTTTGTAAGCCTACAGATCGAAGACTTGGTTACAAATGTACCAGTATTGAGAGCAATAGATATTGCAATCGAGAAGTTGAAATACTCCGAAAAATTCTGTAAATCAAATTTCACTGAAATAGATCCACAGTAAATACTTAAAATAACATTCAAAGAATAAATATTTCCAAGTCAACAGAAAATTCTATAGACAAAAATATGGTGTAGCAATGGGCAATGCTCTATCTCCTCTTTTAACAGACCTGTACATTAATGAATACGTGGATAAGCATATGAAAAAATCGCTCAAAGGATACAGATGACTAACGAATGAAAAGCACGCTAAATCAATTCAACAAAAGAATGACACACCACAATTTGAAATAGTAGAACACCATCAAAGAAACCAATACAAAGGCAAATTTGAACCAAACATAGATTCAGTGTTAGCACAAACTGCATAGTACCAAAGCATCGTGTATATTCTCTATCGATTCGAATCTGTTACTTCAGTGATTTCAGCAAAACATTTTAGAAATGGTGATGACGATCATGTGCAAGTATAGACTGCCACTCTACAGAAGGCCCACATCCACCTGGATACACCGCAGACCTTCGAGACATACTTTGTACGTGAAAAACTATCGCGTCAATTACTTAGCAAAGATGGAATATCATTGAAAATAGAGCATACACATCAACTATCGGGGAGAAAATTATTATTTGAAATAGTGATATTTTTCTCAGAACACCGATATAACATTGTTATTCTTTTCATCCATATAAAATAAAATAGAAAACTGAAACATTGACGAGGACAAATTTCAATTCTCTCCTGTTCTGATAATAGGCATTAAAATTCGTCTAAAGAACCAGTCCTAATAGATGCATTGAAAGGAAATCATACATAAAATATTTCAGGGAATGTTTAGAGCAGTTCGTCCAAAAAATATCATGCTAGATTCTACTTGGACAATTCAATATTCTGCTTTGCACCTAAAATATGATTCAGCTTTGAGTAAACTCTCATGCCAAGTATCATTCGATGCAAGTTCTATTAAAAACAAATGAGCGCTGCGCATGGAATGTGAATCAACGCTGAAAAATCCCATCCAATAGCATTTGTTGCCCACTTCATGATTTTAATCAGACGTCTTGATCACTCGGTCATCGTAATGCAGTAAGTAATCTAGTATACACTAAGATAGAATATGTCGGAGTACGAGTCTTAAACGTTCGGTATGATGAATGCTCTCTTACCATGTATTTTCGCACACGTGTCTCTACATAAACATGTCACGTGCTCATAAGAAATGTATACGTATTTTCATGTACAATTTGTCTAGATCTATTTCAGTGATTATAAAGCATTAGAAGATTTTCAATTAACAGCTACTGCATCTCATTGAATTACTCATATTACATTGAAATCAAAAGTTAACTTATGGCCTACAAAAAACAGTGTCTTATATTGACTTGGGATCGCTAGAAATGCCCGAGCGATTTCCCCCCTTGCTCGAAAGGTTGAAAAATTGCAGCTAGCTGTTCGAATTTTGAAAATTTTCTTTATCCATGATCTAGTTCAGATGAGTATGAGACACCCAGGTCTCCAGATAGAACCGCTCTAAAATTTTTGATATGGTATCATTGATACAAATTGAACTGAAAAAACGCATAATTTTTTGTGAACATAATGCACGCGAAAAGCGTCACATATCGTACTCGAACATGTCATAGATTGCTTTGTACACTATGCTGCTTACAGAACATTCAAACTTGGTGAGAATGCGAATTTCATTCCAACATTCTGCATCATATAACGATTAGTTATACATACCGTACATATTTCACATGCTTCCCACAATATACTCATTTTGTTATTGCTTGCATATTGGGCAAGTTACACCGTGTAAAGAGTATGAAAAAGATAATTAAGCGTGCAATAAACTATAATGGCAATTGGCTATTCAACGCTGTTTTGATACTATAAATTTGTATCCACGCCAATTAATGAAAGATAAGAATTATATTGAGATGAATTTCAATATAATAAGACAGTCTAGTTTATTTTCACTCATAAAATCAATCTTACCTTCATCAAAGTCTTTGTTGGCGAGAAACACTTTTGTACCATCGGTATTTATAACAAGAACTTGAAAATTGAAGAATTCAAGTAACGTAGCTGAGAAAATATAATCAGCCATATCAAGATTCGTTTACCTTACGTGTTAGCTTCTGATTCGTCTCTCTCACTCCTAAGTATGTGTGACGATTGACATTATTCTGCAATGACTTCTACTATCACTATATAGCTCTCTATATGATCACGCGAGCATCAATAGGTTTTACAATTCACTGTGGCTGCAGACTAGTTAGTTATCTTTTTTTTTTCTGTCATTGCGATAAAATAGACGAGAGGATTATAACTTGCAAATAGCATGTTACACGTGTTCTAAATTTTTGTCGTTCTCGTTTCTGCCTTCAGTCACACTCGTTTCTTTGTTTCTTTCTTTCTTTCAAGGATAGCTTCGAGTCGTTTGCATCAGTAATTACTGATATTGTAAACATATGTGCATAAATTTTATATATCACCTCGTTCGAAGTCAAAACAACATGATGATGATTCAGACTATTTTAGTAGTCACACAGCTACGTTGATATTTTATATTTGTGCAATGTTTATTCACACCAATGGTTTCTAAAGAGCAACTTGGCGCTACTTCAATATGAAAAAAGAAATTCTCATTCATGAATAATCGACATTCACACCGTGTTGAGTTTTCAGGTTATTTTTCTTCGATTATTGTCGTATAATTTATTTTCTTGATACTATATTAGATAAGCTTTGCCAATTATTGATGAATTTTTGTGGAAATTGCACTAGTTCTGAGTATAAAAATAGTCTACTGTTAACTGAAAATCTGTTCATCTTTCTTTCACTTGCAAAGAACTCTTTTAAACTTCGACGACTGGTCAGAAATATTAAACTAGCTTTATCATTCAAAACTATTATTTATTCGAAATAGATACCGTAATAAAAGTTAGTATATTAAGCTGTTACTTGCACAACTTGAATAATGGCGACAGATATTTTATTTTTATCTAGATGGTTCTATTTAGCGTTCGTTTCATCACGGATCATGTTTTTCTCTATTCTGCTAGAAAATTCCAGGTCAATTCATTAAATTGAAACGACTTCTATGAAAGATGTGGGTAAAATAAATTGTTTTTCATTCTTCGCAGTCATTTTTACACTGGAAACTAATTTTTGAAAGAACTTGACATTTGAAATGTTCTGACTAGCTACAGAAAATAATGCAGATTGCTAACACTAAAAAAAATACACATACATATTACATGATAAGTGCTGAGTTTGCTTGCTCTTAACACATGACGTGCAGTCATGCGTAGAGTTGGTCATTTATTTTTCATGTATACAGATATGCACCGTTGAGAGTACAACAAATATTCACACCTATGATTGTATGCTATGGGTTGGGAGTAGGTGAATTCATTTCTACTAATGTAATATTTATTTGAATATTATTATTTTTCAACATTTTTTATTCTTTTTTAGGACTAGTTAAAGTATTTCATATGGCAAGGAATGTCACTATATGCCACTCACAGTTGTTCGAGACCATTAGCATAAAAGCGAAGTCATGATGCAGAACATAGATTCATTTTATTGATGATGCATGATGAAGAGTGTTGTTAATATTTAAACGAATAAGAATAATGTATATTCGTGACAATAACGCGTCACTTTACCATGTAATATTTTTATGAATGTCTCGTCTCAGACATGATTTAATTATATTTTTAACTTCAGTTGTATTTGAGAAGTGAAATTGGCTAGCAGACAATTTTATTTTTAGCAGTACCCACTGATCAGGCTTGACACTCAGCAAATCAATAGGTTTCATTTTCTCGTGTGCTATATTCGTCGTAGAGCACGTCGTGCAAGCTTTATTTCTAAAGGTAATAGGCCATTCTTTAACGGATGATTGGTCTTGTTTTTTCTTTTAAATCTTAATTTGTTGTTGCATAAATATTTGAAACTAATATAACTGAATAGTGATACCTAATTTTCAGATTTCAATTCAGGATCATATTGTCCTTAACGGTAGCTTAGTTTCTCAGCAATGACGATAGAAAACACAGCGCAGGTAGTAGAAGATCCTGATATACGTCTTCTTGAAGAGATGGGTTATAAACAAGAACTATACCGTGGCTTTTCTCCATTTATGTCATTTGCGTTCTGTTTTACTGCTGTAAATGTTCTCACATCTATATCAATCGGTTTCACATATTCACTCACCACTGGTGGTTCAGGTGTGACTATTTGGGCATGGGTTCTTGGATCTCTATTTACCATTCTCATCGGACTTTCTTTGGCTGAAATATGTTCAGTGTATCCTAGTGCTGGATCTGTATACCACTGGTATGTGTCTAAGAGCTATAAGTCAGATAGATAATGATAGGAATGTATTTCTTCTTTTTTTTAGGGCAGGTCAGCTAGTTCCCGTTGACCATGCACCATTGGCTTCGTTTATTTGTGGTTGGTTCAATTTTGTGGGGAATTTTGCAGGTAGGCAAGGAAGACCAACAAATTTAAGCAACTGGTTATTTTTAAAATATTAAAGGAGACGTTGCATTTGCGTCTGGGTTTGCTACAATTGTGAATGCAGCGGTTATTATGGGTGGTAACAATTCATTGAATACAGGTGCTCAAGTAGGTATTGGAATAGGAATATGTTTTGTATGGGCTGCTCAAAATGCATTACGTATTGATCAACAAGGCTGGTTGAACAATATTGCTGTATTTTTTCAACTCGGGTCAGCAATCACCATTGTTGTAGTGCTTTTTTCTATGGCACCTAAGAGAGCTACAGCTTATGATGTTTTTGCATCAACATACAATGGTACTGGGTTCTCATTCCCATATGTATGCGTCATTAGTATCTTGTCGACACTTTTTTCATTCTCTGGTTATGAAGGTAATGATTAAGTATTAGAATTTGTGTTAGTAATCTCTAAATTTTTAAGCTGGTGCTCATTTGGCTGAAGAAACTAGAGGTGCAAGTCGAGCAGGTAAGAAAATATTTAGAAGACAGTGAACTTTTCGAAAAATTCTTAAAATACCATTCGACTCTTTTCGTTTTCAAGCTCCCAAAGGAATCGTGGGCACTTGTATATGCAGCGCTATTACTGGTTTCGTTTATCTTCTTGCTCTACTGTTTTCTATTCCGGATATGAACAATTTTATTATGATTAGTGATGGGGCTGATTCAACTCAAAGTTCCACCACTGATGCTTATCGAGCTGCTGTACCTTACGGAGGGGCACTTGCTCTGACAATTTTACTCATTATTAACTTGTATTTTGCCGGGATGTCATCATTGACAGTGACTAGTCGGATCGGGTATGAATGAATCATGTAAATATTTAATTTTCTTGCAAGTCATCGATGTCTTTTTCATTCTAGTTTTGCTATGGCTCGTGATGGTGTTTTTCCACTATCAATCTATCTACGTTGGATATTTGAACCGACAAAAACTCCATTGGGGAATGTAATATTCGTGTTCTTTATCAACTCGCTTCTTCTCCTACTTCAATTAGCATCGAAGACTGCTTTCAGTGCCATTCTTTCTATAGCCACACTCGGATATCAAATATCCTATTTCATGCCTATTCTATTTCGATGTACCACTGCCCGCCGCAATTTCCCCATTGGTGAATTCAACTTAGGTCGATTCGGGGTACCTATTGCTATAATCTCAGCCACTTGGCTTTTTATCACATCAATAATCATGCTTTTTCCGTCCGAATATCCAGTTACGAAAGATAATATGAATTATGCTGTGGTTATCGTTGGTGGAATATTTCTACTTGCAGCAATGTATTGGATTTTTTCAGCTCGACATTGGTTTGTCGGTCCAAAAAGAACTACGGCAAATTCTAATGAATTACCGTTGAATCCTATTAGCATCAGTGACATTAAGGAAATCAAAACATCACCCAGCTTAATCCACGTCCGGTTGTGAGTTTTGACGAGCTTTATATGTATGCTCATTAGTAACTGTCATAAATGTACTATATCGAGCATAATACAAAGTAAAATTAAGTGGAAATGTTTCGTTAATGGATGACAAAACTAGTTCCTTTATTTTTTTCCAGTTTTTGCTTAATGCTTCTTGAATACTAAATGCATGACAAAACATATCTAGGTATTTCAATCAGTCTTGAAGAAATAATATATTGTAGAGTCACTCACAAACGCAACACAGTCGGTCTATTATAACTCAAATTATATAGTCAAACACTAAACATTCATCTGAGGGTGTGGCTATTAATCCTAATTTATTCTGCATGCCCACACCTACATCAGTGGTGGGTGTGGGTGTGGGTGTCAGCCTCATTGTACGTATGGATCATCGTCTTGTCAACCTCTACACTAGAACCCGTTGGGTAGGGCCCGGGTGTGGGTTCGGGTCCGGGTTTCAGATTTTATTTTTCACCTGGTCCGAGTCTGGATCCAAAGAATCATTTTATAAGTATAATATAATTTTTCTAGTATACTTTTAGTTCTCGTTCATTTTATTCAAAAATTAATCATAAAAGAATGTAAAAAAAATAGAAGAAACAAACAATAAAACTTTATTGTTGAATACAAGATCTGACTTTGACAATGCAGGTAGATTCCGATTTCGAAAAAGATGATTTAATCGGGTCCGGATCCGGTTCTGGGTCTAACTAAGCTTTAATGAACCGGATCCGGGGCAGGAAACTACCTAGTAAATTGGATCCGGGTCCGGGTTCGGGTCTGAAAATTTTGGATCCGACCGGCTCTACTCTACATTGACACCCTCAAAATAGTGTCACATCACGAAGCAATCACTATTTCATCACTATTCCAACCGACATTTCCCCTAACTTGACTACTCTTTTGTTTGCTTTTGTGATCTGACTGTAGCTGAGATTCGTGGTAACTTATTCAATCCATTATTCGTAGTGCTTCAATAAATTGTTTCGACATATATGATGACAATAATTAGCATCGTGATTCATATGAAAATCAGTCGAAAAGAGACCCTAAGAACAGTATTCTTTCAATGAAATAAAAAATTACGTTTGCTGAATGAGAGTAACAGTCGATTTGGAGCGGAGTCGGAATGAGTGACTCAATTGCCGCTGGAGCTGGACCGGAGGTGGAGCGCGAAAATGTCGGAGCTGTCCATCTCTGGTGTCCAGCATTTGCATAGGTCTATAATTGAAATCGAACCGCTTAAGTTCGGTTTGGTTCCGTTCGATTCAGGCTCTGACCCCTATACGATATCCTTCGAGCGAAATGAACGTCCCGAGTTTTGCTTCACAGGTATTTTCGGTGCTTGGTCGGGTTACTGTTGAAAACTCGATGTCGACAGACGTAGGTCAAAGAGCGGCGAGCATCTAAGTTCACAAACCAGTGCATCAACTGTTTAGTGTACAAAAATAAAGTTTCAGGTGCAGTCTAATAAAACTTACCGAGCTGAGTATTGTTTGTTACGGAACTTGGTCTTCAAAATGAACCTCTAAAATATATAATGTTGTCAGTTGTTGACATTTCCCATTATTTTTTCTTTTTGCTTTTCCAGTCTGACGCCCACTTCATCTGGAAAAGAAAAACAAGCCAAGATCTTTCATATCGACATCTTAAGATCATATATCGGTCTTACTTCCACTAAAATTTCACGCACGACTATCAACATTGATTTTTCGACTATTATCCTGGCAAACGTGTGAAGCGACAATCGGGACATTAATATCTCTCGAAGAATATGCTATAGGCACCTCAAATTTAATATAAGTGACAGCCGAGGGTATTGGGTAGTGCAAAGTATACACTAGAACAGTAAATAGACTGTCGTGTAGGGTAAGGTGGGAGTTAGTACAGGGTTTAAAGCAGTCAGAGGTAAGGTGAAACTGGTCATACGATCGGTGTCGGTTGGTCCGGTACTGCTCCCCGCGAGTTTTTGCATTTTTATATATTATCTTCCGATGTCGAATCATGCCCGAATCGAGGATTTCAGCGAAATCTGGTCATGAATTCAATGATGTTCGATGAAATTCAGTCTGATTCTGACCACATCCGAATGCCGCATTCTTCGACCTGAGCTATTAATTACAGAAAAATTTACGATCGGCTACACTCAACAGCAAATTATATTAAAGTGTATCAAGCAACAGTAATCATTTTGATTGAAAACTTACCTTCTCAATATACTCATCATCATGTCATCAAATACTATGGCCACTACGAATGCTAGCGCTGTGAACACCACTTCGCCTGATACCACTAGCATAATTCTTACTGTGACTGTAGCGATTGTCTTCATGTTTGAACTCTGGGGAGTGTATTCCTGCTGCAAAATGTTGGGTGCTGGAGTTACGTTAAAGACTGTTGTAAATGCGGCGAAGAATGCTGTAAACAGTGTTCCGAACCCTGCGCCAAGGGTGCAGTTCGCCTGTTCACGCAGAACTAGTCATTTTATCTGCCGCTTCATCGATCAATAATAGTTGAATGTAATCCAAGAGTGTGTGCGCATGTTTATGGAGAGAAATATGACTAATGAGGCTTATTCTCAAAGGATCAATTAAAAACAAATTGACTTATATCATTTTCATACAAATCAATTTGCTAGTCTCAACATTTCCTTTGCAGCAATCGACTTTGTGTCTAAAATGAATTTGCCCTATAATAAAATAATATTTAAAATAAAATGCAGAGTTTGGGTGAGGATGATGCTTACAGCTAAACGAAAACTTAACACCGACACCCTCACCCACACCCACTCTTCAGTGGCATTCACATAGTTATGCAACCGTCAATGTCTTCTTTCTTTTTCTTTTGTACGGAGGTGATTTCTTGACATTTACTCATAAATATAATATATGATTCCCCGAAAAAGGCCTCCATTCTCAGCTACCTGATGAGACCGTTTGAGCAAGATTGAAATCCGTCGTAGTCTGCTTCAAAACACACATCCTCACGAAGGCCATTAGTAGATTTCTTTCCTGTTTGAATTTTTATCGAGCAGTTCTTTGAAAAACAAAATTCTCATTACTTTTCAAAGAAAGAAGTAAACAATCTGCCATTATTTTCTACGTTTACAAACAGCGAGTAAAATTCTATTTTACTATTCAACAAGAAACGTAGTCAGTTGGAAAGAATTTAAACGAAGGTGAGTGTACAAAACCTGACAGTAAATACACGGCTTAGTGATAGAATCATTGCCGGAGTTTTCAATATATTCTATCACTCGACCTAAACGAGGATATGATGTCTTCTACAGTTACTCCAAAAATTCAAAGAAAAACTACGGAATTAAAACACACCAACAAAATGCACCGATGCTGGAAAAGATAAAACCTGAGATGTTCAGACTCTGTGTATATCTATACAGTAGGTATGTGAAATATATGTTGTATAGAACATATGGAAGATATTGAGAGTGTAGGTGTAGGGAAGAGACTCATGGAGCATCCCCATATACTCTGTATCTACCTTCCTGAGTTCTAATCCAGTTTCTGAGGAAATCCTGCAAAAATATGTAACCTAAATGAGAGTAAAGAATAGTGCGCTTCCAGATTTTAAGACATTTCAGCGTTAAAGATTTCAAATGTTCCACAGAGTTTCGAAAACTACAAAAGACTTCTGAGATTTTCAGTATATTGTATGAGATCTCATGGAGTTTTACTAGAACTTGGAACATCTCGAAAGATTTCAGGAGGTTAAAAGTAGCTTCGAGACTACGCGAGCTCTCGATGAATCGTTAGAATGAATCTTTGAGGGACATCGATGTATGAGTAAATTGGTCGAGGCGATGGCAAGGGATTTGGGAATTTTGCCAATAAGACATCCGCCTATGGTGTGGGTGTGGGCGAAAATAGAAATTATATCCACACCCACACCCATACACCGTAAAAAAAATCCGTAGAATACTAAACCCAAAAAGGGTTGATGAAAATTTTCAAAAACGGAAAAAGGGTTTATTATACGTTGCACTTTCATCAACCCTTTTTGGGTTTAGTATTCTACGAATTTTTTTTTACAGTGCAGTAGTTTTTCTTTTAAACATTGCGACATAACACCAATGCGAACAATGTTTCAAAAGATCGATGAAATAGTTTCTTCATTTTTGAATTTCTACGAGTCAAATAGGCAGAATTATGATGAATTCTATGTATACAATCTAACTATGATAATTATCACAGCAAAATCGAAGATTTTCGGTGAAGTTTTCCAAAACCACTGAAGAACGGTGCAGCAGTGTCATGGGAGTTTTAGAATTCATTCGCGTTATGGTAGCCTTGAGGTTTTTAGGGTCACAACGCAGCAGAGGCTGATTTGTGACTACAATAAACATATATTGCATTGCATCATAATTATTCCTCATTACATGACTGGGTTCCCCATTTTTCATTTCTAAAGTACATATATTTATGAAATGTCTCTTTTATCTTTCTAGCTTAATTGACATGGAAACCAGACTCGAAATGAAAGGTAGGATCTAAAATGTTCTGCATATTCTTCTTCAATCTTCAAGCATAGCATGCTTATCGAAAGACAAACTTTTTACCTGCGTAACCAGCCAAAGAGAGAATCAAACTGGACAAGTTACAGCCGTGACTCGTACTCTAGTCAAGATAGATCCACGAAAACAAAATGATTCCGTATTAATTTATTGCTATGAACTTATGAATTATTTCAAGTTTTTCTATAACAGGTTTCTTGTCGAAAAATTCACATATAGTCTCTTTCAGGATTTTAGTACAAAATAATTTTTACTAAAATTCTATTTCTTTTCATATTGGAGATGAAAGTTAGCAACTATGCAACTGAAGAGAATACTATTTACTAGAGTAAGAATCGACTGGAACCGATTGAAAATCTAGAGTTTGTGACCAATCACAGTCAACTCTTTCACTTTTGAATTGTATTTCATCCAATGTTCAACCTAAATCAAATAGAACGATCAGAACTGAATAGAACTCAAAAGATTGTCTTTATCATTCAGAACCAATAGAAACTGTTACAGCAAGCAATGCACATGAAGCTAGTCTGAAGAAATTTTCTCCGTTCCGGGGTGGTGCTTCATGTCGTGAAGCTTGTTATAATTATTATTGTTATTTTTATTGTTGTTGGTCTTATTATGGTTGTTGCTGGTGGTGCTGCTTATGGTAATAATAATAATAATACTGATGCTCGTAATGCTATTTTTGCTGGTGCTGTTTTTCTTGGTCTTGGTGTTCTTTGTTGTCTTAGTGCTATTATTAACACTTGTGCTAATTGTTCTGATCATGTATGTGGTTGTCATCTTGCTTGTTGTGACTAGTAGTGTAGAATGGATAAATAAGCGATTTAATAACGTGGTGACATGACAAATAGAATAAGAAATAAAAAAAATATATAATTATATAAAAAACGTTTTATTTTTGTTTGTATTTGTATTTTTAATTTTGATTTTAGTTTTGTGCTTTGAAATAGGGTGTGGATCCCAGGTGATGGCGGTACGACGGGAAACTGTCAGGAAACACTGGAAATCGCTAAAAGGTGGAAGCGGCATTCCGGCCGGAAAGTTTTGCATCTTTTTCCGGTGAATGCCGGTCAACTTCTAATGCTTGCCGGCAGGAACCGACAGTAAATCGTCGGGAAAAAAAATCCGAAAATTTTTTGTCCGATTCCTACAGTATCCGGTATCCGAAGCGATTGACCTGGGGTACGGATTGAAGCAACCACAATCAATTTCGACATTGCTCAAAAGTCTTGTCACGTGGATTAATATCTCTTAAGTCGATTGGTGATAAATTTTCAAAAGAAATTTAAAATCAAATCAAGATTTGAAAACATTTTCCTATTGGAATGTACCTGTCATCCAATCAATTCAGTTTGGTTGTTTAAGGTTGTATTCACTCTAAGTCAAAATGTGTCGGATGTGTCGTCAACTACGACACGAAGCACGACACATTCGTGTACGACATGAGGTGCTCGTTGCGACACATTCTGCCCAGCAAGACCACGACGCATTTTTCACAACACATCCGACACTTTTTCATTGGTTGTTTTTGAAACGCATATTTCGATATTTTTTTTAATTTAATTACATATATCTCTTTATTTTTTGAAAATTCAATCTGATCAGATCCTAAGATCTGGCTGATTTGGAATTGGTCCGATTCCTATCAGACTTTCCAGTGTAGTCCTTCCCGGAACATGGATTGGGATGACAATTCCTTGATTATAAAGTAATCAAGAATTGATTCCAAAGAAAATTTGAATTCGAGAACTTATGTTCCATGGGTTCATCGATGTTGCTTATATGTCGCTGTATGTTCATAACAAAACGGTGAACGACTAGTCGACTGACAGAATGCGAAAATATACGACACAAAAATTTACGATACATTTTTGTAATAGAAAGCGCAACACAAAATTCGCGGCACATACAGCCAACGCATCTTTGTTTAGTGTGTTGAGATAATTGAAAATCATTAAAGTGCTTGACAGACAAATGAATGTACGGTTGAATCTGTTACTTAAGAGCTAAATGGAATAATTCTGTTGAAAAAGTCCAGATGCATTGTAGCGAATTAATGGCGCTACAGAAATCACAAAAGTGTCATAGATAGTCTTCACGTTCAAGAAGGTGATCATGGCTAACTTGTTGTTTGAGGGTGCTACTGTGACTATGAATGTAAGGAAAGAGAATACCATCATTCCGACACATACACACCGCTCATGTACAAGGAATAAAATTATTATCAGATTAAAACAAAAACAACACCCACACCCTTTGCGTAAAATGCATACTACAACGACATCTATCAAGTTACTTGACATCGTTCTGTTCATATATAACACACGAGTTAAAAATAATGTTCATAATGTTCCTGTAAATTTTTCTTGTACTCTCACATATACTCATTTGTGGACTGAAAATTACGAATCGTAGCAATAGGTCAAGTTAATGTTCTACAATTTATAAATGCTAATGAATAATACTATTCGAAAGAAGATCATATTTTCGTGGTTGTAAATCGATTCATTTTCATGAGTGATCAACGCTCGATCGAAGGAAAAAATCTGTTGCATCATGATTCGCCACGAGTAAGAAAATATTTCTTGATATCGCATTATACAATATGAACTCGATTGAATCTATAATATTAATGCTATTTTTAGCGTCATTCGCATGCTTCTTGTGGGATAACAGTATTGGTTCACGAAGCTGATGCGCTAAGGCAGCAAAACTCTAGTTTATGTCAACAATTAAAAGCACTTCAATTTCAAATACAACGGCAACAAATAATTTTTGACCAACAGCTACATAAAAGTGTTTCTACTCAACCAACTATCCCTAACAAATCAACTGGTCAAGCTCACGATTTTAAAGAAGAAATAAATAATTTAAAAGAAGAAAACAGTAATTTAAATGAGCAAGATGATCAATTGAAGAAAGAGATAAACACTTTAGAACAAGCTAATGATGCAATGAAGGAAAACATAAATAATCTTAAACAAGAAAACAGTGATCTAAAACTAGAATTTCGCCGTTTACAACAAGAAAACAGTCGTTTAGAACAAGAATACCGCCGTTTCGAACAAGAAAGTCGCATTTTAAGACAAGAAATTGATCGCTGTATCGAGGAAAATAATCGTTTAAAAAACAGTTGACTATAAGAAAAAAGAGGCGTTCATATCATAATCATTATATTTTCCATTCTTATCGCCTATTCCTTTTTTTTAAACTTAACTTTGTTTTTCTATCGGCTAATAAAGCACGATCTCTCTAACATTTTGTTCCAAAAAGCATGTATTTTTAAATTTTTCAAAAATAAATATAAAATCTCACAGGTGTTTTCGATTTCAAAAAACAACATGAACTAAGATATTTTTCACTCATCACATAGGTAACGCCAGAATGTATGTGTGGTAAAGCCGGGGATGGCGTAGTGGTTCTATGCATCTGATTATTAATCAAACATGAAAAGGTTTGATCCCTTCCCCCGGCACGATGTCTTCGGTGTCAAGATATACAGTATCGGAAGAATAAACAAAGGAGGAAAAGTACTGCACGTCAATTTCGTCATCACTGCCTCGATTAGTCGACTTTTGTTCTGTTCGTTGACGTTTTCGTTTTCGCTTCCTTGTCATACTTTCTCTGTTTGTTATCGTAATCTTGTCTGTTGACTCTTTTTTTCTTAAGCGTCCACAAAAATCACAAAAAATATCATTGTATGTCATGAATAAATATAGTGCATAAACCAAAAAACAAATATGCGTGGCAATGATTATGATTCAAATGATGACGTCTGTGTTACAAAGGCTAAAAAGTACTCGTGTTAAAACTGCGTAAAAGGTGAAATGTACGTTTTCATTTCAATTACAAATATAATTGATAGGCATGCATGTTAAAACAAGTCAATAAAATGTCAATGACTACTTTTTATCTGAATCATAAATACTCTTGAAATAACATTATTCATATGAAAAGGACAACAAAAGTTAAAGATAAATTTTGTTTACTGATGAAGGTCACGTCGGAAATGTCAGTGATACATACTCTACTATATACACCGTCGAATATGAGTGGTGGTGTTTTGTGCGACATTATCCGGTTCTACTATGGAACAGCAAAACGAAAATTTCGAACCAAAAGTATTTTAATGGGGTCAACAGTGTGTAGATGTGGGCGACGGATTTGAATGTTTCTTGTTTTCCAGAGTAAAACCTAATCGTCCCTCAACAAATTGTACTAATAAATACATGTTTATGAGTATCGCGATATTTGGACAGCGAAAAATGATGCATCATTCATAGTCTTTAATGAAACTTTGATTTTTCTGATAGCGATAATGAATATTCATCTAAATAAATTTTAAAATATAAAATATAAAATTAACTTTAAATCTGCATATTTAACAAGTAACGCTCGTCTGTGAATTCGCTCAACTCTTTCTCGTAGGAATAGTGCATTCCGGATCTCAACAAATCACTTATGCACAAAGCTTCATGAAGCTTAGCTTTTGTATAAAAACATAGCATCATAAATCAGGGATCTTTTAATTATATTTTTAATTACGAAAAAGATACAAATAGTGCAGGCATTTTGTTCCATCAGCAATCTCAAGTATTTCGTGGAATCTTTGACGTCCATCAACTTGATTTTTTAGCGTTAGCTTTTTTAGTACAATTGTTAGGGTGTATTTCTATACATACGCCTCGATCCTATCTATTCTCATTCTTTCTATATTTCTATTCCTATCTTTTTGTTTCTATCACTTCTTTTCTGTTTTCTCCTTGTGTTTGCATATACATATATAAACGCTTGTTTTCTTTAAGAATAAGCAGAGAGAAGAATATACATCTTTAATTATGTTCGTCGCTCTTCGTGAGCACGAACCCTAACCGCAATGAATCCTGAGTGGAGCATATCTATGCATTGAAAGCTTCGCCTTACTTTCTCACTCATTTTCTCTGAAAGGAATCTTATGAAAAGAAAAACGAAACGTATTATGATCGAGATTAACATTTCATTTTCAGCTAAGTCAAAAAACACTGTTTTGATGGAAATTGGTGTTGTAAATAGTCGCTCTCTTACTCCTCTGCTTGGATTTAAACTAGAACATTTTCTCATCTTGATACAACACATTGATTTCGTTCAGCATCTTGCATGGTAAGCTAGGAATATATTTGATCATTATCGAATTTTTACTATTGACTTTATAAACATTTCGTGGTGGGCAGATCATTAGCCATAGAACTATAACTTTCAATCTTGTTTTCAGATGCTGAGGGCATATTCTCTTCAACTAACTCTCATGAAACTTTTCAAATAGGTTTTCTCAGTCAGTATCTGTTCACAGAACACTACAACTGTCACATTACAGTCTTGCGTTCTCTTATGAGACAGAAACGACAGTATTTGACACCTGATCTAGTGTACGCTTCCTTTCTCGTGACATATGTTGCGAAAATTGTGCACGAAAATTATTTCCGACCCCGTCTGCTTACGTCCAAAAAACAAGCTCTGCCGGTTTCTAAATAAACATTATTGTTGTGGATAGAATCTGCCGTGAGCTCCAGCTCGTTTTTCAAAACCCACATGACGAAACATATCTATAGAAGATAGACTCCTACCAATCTATGGGCCACAGATAGAATTTCGAGATGAATAATGGTCAGAGTTAACTTATACACACAAGACTGATCTTAAAAGATTGCTGAACAAAAAAATCGATTTCCATTTGTTCCTGATTGACCAATAGGATTTCGAGGAAAACGGACCCGGATTCTAACTCACAACCACAGATTACCTTAGACCAAGTTGTGGCTACAATGGGATTACGCCTCTACTATGTTCTTTTTCGACCGATCAGCGAAGTGCGGACACACGAGCAAGCAAGCAAGCAGACAACTTATGTTTGCTGGACTCATCTCTACGAGAAAGAGAATACATGACCACATCCTCAATAGACGAAAGTTCTCTTGTAATTATTTTTTCATTCTATAAGCTAGTTGTGATGATTGCGATATATGTTTCGGACTAGTCGTGTAGCTCGCCTTCACCACCTTTTTGCTTACTTCGGATGTTATCTCCTCTTTTTTATTAACACAAATATGAAAGACAAATGCAATAAGAAAGAATAATCAGTATGAAAAAGATAAATTTTAGCTACCACTTTTTAAAGAAATTTGTTTTCACTATACATAACTGCATTCGCTAGTGAACGTCAGGTTCAATCAATGATTTAGTACCTTGCGTGTTTTTGTGGACTGAGTGAAAATGTGGAAATAGAAATATTTATCTACAATAGAATCATCAATAAAACATGAAAAAAGAGATAAATAATGCTACTCATCATATGTCATATCTATCTCTCAGCATTCACTAATATCAATGACCCGCGAGTTACTCTATCATCAACCATGTACAAAAAGTGGCTAAATCTTCTGATTTTAATCAATATTCTTCAATAAAAACGACTAGATCCAATAGTAATACTACAAAGAAGTAATCCAAAGAATCATGCGTTTCTTTTGTTTTGATTAGCAGGATATATATTAAACCAGAATCTAGGTGACTTATTTGGGATATAATCGTTTTTATTGAATATTTTAATGATCGAAAAATATGTAATTTAGAAAAAGACATGATCTGCTAAACTCTGTCATGCACATATCGTGGGTGTTGCCCATGAAATTTGAGTTCAAATTTGTTTTTGCCCCAATCTTCATTTGTATGCACAGATCATTTGCCTTCAAATTGATTGTTTTGTGAATTCCACGCCAGTTGAATAGTAATTTTAGAATTCAAAATTTCTAGCCGATGATCAGTACATTCCAGATATCCTTTGCTTAAGGTAACTTCATGCTTTGCACTCGAATAAGTACCAATAGCGAAAAATATACCCATGTCATCCGTCCCGGACCCAACTACATTCGTGAGTTCAGGATCAAACCAAAGTGTCAGTTGGTGAGGTCCATGCCAAATTTCATTTTGAGGATATCTACTTCTTTCCCAAATACCAGATTTGAATATATTAATTTTTGATCTATTTAGCCCAAAAGCTGGATTAGTTGCCCTTTGCACCGGAGGTACATTTGACTTTGATCGTTGACTTTGACGGCTTTTTTTACATGCGTAAGTAAAAAAGATTAGTGCTATCAATCCAACAACACCACCAGTGATAATTATTGCAATTTTATTGTTTTTACAGTCATCGTCATCGTCTTTGCATGAGCTCTCGGCAGATTCATGGGATGCATGTGGGTGACCTGAAATGTAATTTAGTATTCTTGAAAAATATTTGACTACATAAAACCTTTTTTGTCTTTTACAGAGTACCATATTCTTAAAATAAAATATTTTTGAAAGTGAGAAAGTTCGCTTAATGCTGCCATGTACTGAATTGGTTCAATAATAAGCAAATTACTTACCTTCATCAATGCCAGGATGTTCATTTTCACCGTCACCACCATGATTGCTGCTATGCTCGTTATTTCCGTGGAAAGAAGGATCAACAACTTCAGGAAGATGAGGAATTTCAGGAATATGGGGAATTACAGGAGCACGAATAGGTCCATATAAATTCGATAAACGCAGGCATTCACCTGTCATTCCTAGACAGATAACAAGGAAAAGGCCACAATATGTTATGTGCATTATGCTGTCAACAAGTGTATAACCGAACACGTAAACACTCCATATATTTTGTAATGATTTTCACTAGATTTATACATAGATATATACTTGCTTTGAAGATATGTATTGCAAATGTTGTGTCTGACTCATTCTTTAGACATACGACCTCTTATCATATAAGTTTAAAACATGATTTTTTCATAAACTTAACATTATCACCAATAGAAAACTGTTGTCATTTGATAACAAGACTTCAGTGAAATACCATTAAATTATTTATGGGATGCTGGTGTGGGTTACATGAATTTCGGCCGAAGGAATTTTTGGGCCGGACTTTCGGCCTCAAATGAAATTCTTTTTATCATGAAACTGGATCATCCTCATCCTCATCCTCATCTTCATTTCCTACTGGGCCGAAAGTCCGGCCCGAAAATTCCTTGGGCCGAAATTCCGGGCTCCCGTTGGTGTGAGTTGCCAATGACAAAAGTGATAGCACGCTCACACTCACACCCTGATAATCCACCAAGGTGCGATCAGTTTCGCTCACTGAATGATTTCTCTAGGAGGTGTAGAAAGAAAGAAAAGGTTTCTATAGATTCACAATCAATACTGAGATTCATGACTAACAGAGAGAAACCGCAGAAACTATTTGATAGAAATCAAATTGATGTAATTCATGAGTATTGGTTTCTCTTCAAAACATATTTCTTCGCTAAAAGGATTTGATACTTGTTTATGCATATTGTGTAGACACTCGTCGAAGTAACTGGAAAACAAAATCAACGAAAAACATGGTTGTTTTTCTTTTTTCTCCACATGAGAAAAATCTGGAAAGAAAGACACCGACCGTTTGAACAACAAAACCACAATAGTAAAGAGCATAGATCGAGAGAACTGCAGAAATAAAACATCTTATAAAGACACATCTCATATATGTTTCTATTTCTCACTATTATTCATTCTCTCCATTATTTGAAAGCGATTTCTACTCACAACAAAGTCAATAAGAAATCAACAGCAACCAGTTGCCATATTCAATCAGTGCATAGTGGAAAATAGGCTTGGTCGTTTGAAACGGTATCTGTAAATAAACTTATCTTTTTATTTTGTGAATTATACTCTGGTGTAATAATTTTGAGTCATACTGCTCTTTTGTGGCGTATTTTCATTCTAAACTACTGTAAAACCTAGAAATAACTTGTCTTGGAATAATGTGTTTTTTTTAGTAACCAGATACCTAATATTTAGTCATCGATTCCATCTTATATTTGAATTTCTATGGGAGTGAATCAAAACAATTGATTCGGAAACAAGGCATTTAGAGAGATAAAATGTGGCTTTCTGGAAAATCTAACAAATAGACAGATAAGACATTATTATATCACAAAGAGTTTAATTATCACTTTACTTCAGCCATTTGAATTTATTATGATAAATTTGTACTAGTAGAATTTCAAAGAATGAGACAGCAAATAAAACATAGAGATAGAAGTCAACCTATGTGTTCAGTTTTCATCTATTTATAGAAGGCAAGGGACAATTTCATGCGCGCAAATATTTGTTCGAAACCCAAAACAAAGTTTATGCAGAATATTTTAAGTAATACATTATAGTATTTTGATAAGAATAGTTTGTACATTAAAGCTTACTCTGAAAAATCTATCATTTCCTCCTTTCCCTATTGATATGCAACGAACTCGAACTACATGGTGTTCTATGATTTTTCTTTCTGTTAATTAGTAGATGTTTAGCTAATAAAGGAAATCATTTCGAAAAAATTGCCAAAACTCAGAAAAACCATATGGTTTAGATATGTTTTCAATCACGAGGAGCAGTACATGACTGAGGCAAAATTTTGTGGTAGCCATATTTTTCCAAAATGATTTATAGAGGTAGGAAAATCCAAAACCAACCAAGAGCTAAAAATAAGGAAATAAAAAAGCCGTACCTGGTGTTAATATTCGTATTGTAATGAAAATAGTTGTAGTATAGCCATATGTCATGTATCAATAGTAGCATATATTTGTGATAATTTCTGTAGGTCAAGTCGAAATAAGGGTTAGAGGACGTCCTTTTTTGGTTTATCTCTGCTTCCATTAAACAAGTAACTGATAATGTCTGTAGTCAATACCAAACTAGAACCTGGGTGTGGGTGTGGGTGTGGATATAGTTCTTCTCCACACTCGCATTCACACCCTCACAACCACATTCTTTTCAATTCATTGCATAGAATGATGTTACTATTCTTAGTTGTAGGTGTAAAGCGCTAAAACAAGTGAACACGTTATCTTGTCTACATGGATAAGCAGCCGACCAGCACGCATTTTATGTGTAAAATATGTAATGATACTTCCATTCATCATCACCGATCTTCATCACTTGATTACTCATTTGATCCTTACTCTACTGAAGCCAAATCAAGACACCATCGCTCTTGTTCCCTCTGCCGGGATGTACCAAAGCACGCTGATGAACCGAGAATCGATGGACATTATTCTAGACATAAGTATGATCGAAACCCAGTAGAGTACTCCATTCAAGAAAAAACGAAAAAACAAACCAGTTATTCAGACGCATTGCCCGAATACCTTTATCCACGCATAGGATCACCATATGAAATGCAAGAATTCGTGCACAGACCGACATCATCAAAATATATATATACTAGGAGAGCAGAGAGTTTTCCCTACGAACACGAAAGAGTAACTCTTGGTCAATACATTATTCTCGAGAAGAACTATAAACATCTGACAAAAGACGTTCAGCACCTTGCGCAGCAGCTGAAAAGTCTCAAACACCATGACATTGAACTCTTGAACGAGTTTGAAAAACACAGTAACTATCTGGACAAGAAGTATACAGAAGTAGAAATACAGCTTCAGAACCTTCAGCAACATGGTCATGATGCCAACGCAGCGAATGAAAAACTCGAAACACAGGTTAATGACTTTGATCAACGCTGCAACCAACTCGATATCATAACTCGAGATCTTAAAAATCAGAATAACAATTTGGAGCAACATAACACTCAAATAGACACAAAGAGTCGAGAACTTGAAATGCAACTCAACGACCTCCTTCAACGGTACAACAAAATGGAGAAAACCAATCAAGATCTAGAAGGACAGAAAAATAATTTTGAGCAATTTTGTCATCGAACGATGACCAAGACTCGTGAGCTTGAAATACAAGTTAATCATCTTTTGCAACGATGCAACCTAGTGGACAATAAAAATCGAGAACTCGAAACGCAGAATAACAAATTTGAACAACGTTGCCATCAATTAGAGACCAATAATCGACAGCTGGAAGTGCACATTAATGAGCTTCAACAGGGCTATCATAAAGTGGACAACGCCAATCGGCAGTTGGAAACGCAGAACCATGAATTTGACAAGCGCTGTCGCCAGACGGAGATCATCCATCAACAATTCGGAACACAGATTACCAGTTTAGAACAACGTTGTAACCAAACTGACACAAAAAACCGTGACCTGGAAACACAGATAAACGAGGTTCATCAAAACTGCAACAAAGTGGATAATGGGAATCGCGAACTAGAAGTGCAAAGTCAAAACTTTGAACAACGTTTTCATCAAATTGAAACTACGAATCGACAGTTTGCACTGCAGATGAATGATTTTCAGCAGCACTACAATGAACACCATATAAAAAATAAAGAACTTGAAATGGAGATCAACAATCTTCAACAACGATCTCAGCAAATGACTACGACTAATCGAGAAATTGAAACGAAGAATAGTAACTTTGACCAACGATGTCACCTAGTCGAAATCACGAATCAAAAGTTGGAAACACAGAATCAAAGTCTTGACCAACGATGTCATCAAATGGAGAATACCAATCGCCAGCTTGTAGCACGAGTCAATGATCTTGAGCAAACTCACAGCCATGCTGGTATCAAGAATCGACAGTTTGAAACACAGATTAGCGATCTACAGCAACATTCCAATGAAATGGACAAAAACAATCGAGAACTAGAAGCAAAGAATAAGAACTTTGAGCAACGTTGTCATCTAGTGGAGATCATAAATCAAAAGCTTGAAACACAGAATAAGAACTTAGAACAACGTTGTCATGAACTGGAGACAATGAATCGACAGTTTGGTGTGCGTGTTAACGACATTGAGCTAAGTCAGAAACACGCTAACATGAAAAATCAAGAGCTTGAAAATCAGAATCGTAGCTTTGAGCAACGTCATCATGAGGTGGATACCGTGAATCAACAGCTTGGTGTACAGATTAATGATCTTCAACAATGCTGCAAGAAAATCGAGGAGAAATATTTAGAACTAGAAGTGCTAAATGGGAAATTCGAGCAACGCTGTCATCTAGTAGAAACCATGAATCAAGACCTTCAAGGACAGAATAAAAACTTTGAGCGACATTCCCATCTAATTCAGACCACTTGTCAAGAGTTCAGAGTACACTTTAATGACTTTGAGCAACGCTGGGATAAAGTAGACAAGAAGAATCGAGAGTTAGAAACACAATATAACGGCCTGGAGCAACGTTGTCATCAGGTGGAAATCATGAATAGAGAGCTTCGAGTAGATATTAACGAATTTGAGGAAAGGTGCAACCAAATGAACACGAAGGATCGAGAGCTTGAGATACACATCGGAGATCTTCGGGAATGCTTCAACAAAGTGGACAGCAAGAGTCGAGAATTAGAAGTTCTCAACAACAACTTCGATCAACGCTGCCATCAAGTGGAGACAACGAATAGGCAATTGGGAGTACACATCAACGATTTTGAACAACGTTGCAGTCATCTGGACACGAAGACACGAATGCTCGAAACGCAAAATAACGATTTTGAGCAACGTTGTCATCAAGTAGAGACCATAAATCAACAGCTAGCAGCGCAGATTAACGATGTCCAACAACGCTACAACCAAACGGATATGAAGAATCGAGAGATTGAAACGGAGGTTAGTAGCCTTCAGCAACGCTGTAGCAAAGTGGAGAAAAAGAATCGAACGCTCGAAACGCAGTGTAACAATTTTGAGCAACGGTGTCATCAAGTTGAAACCACGGAACGGCAGCTGGACGCTCATATTAACGAACTGGAGCAATCCTGTAACCATATAGTCACAAAAAGTCGAGAGTTAGAAATACAAAATGAAAAAATTGAGACACGCTTTATTCAAGTTGAAACGATAAATGGACAGCATGTTACTCACATCAGTGATCTGGAGCAAAATCTCAGCCAAGTGGAATCGAAGAATCAAGAGCTTGAAACGCAGATTAACGATCTACAATTGAGTTGTAACAAAGTTGAGAAGAAGTATCGAGAACTTGAAACACAGAATCACAACGTTGAGAAATGCTGTCATCAAACAGAAACCATGAGGACACAGCTTGGTGCGCATATCAGCGATTTCGAGCAACGATGCAACCATATGGACACCAAGACCCGTGAGATTCAAGTGGATGTTAACGAGTTTCAGCACCGCTGGAACAAGATGGAAAAGAAGAGTCGAGAGTTAGAAACGTTGACGAATAATTTTGCTGAACACTGTCGCCAAGCTGAGACGGTGTATCGAGAACTTAAACTGCATGTTAATTATATCGAGCACCGTTGCAACAAAGTTCACAACATGAATCGAGAACTGGAAATACACACTAACAATTTGATCAATGGTGCATGCTAGTATTTGAGCTCATAAGTTAGGACCTACATTGTGAAAAACTTATTTTAACTCTTGCTTTTCAGCAATTGGCTTTATCAAATTTCTATTCAAAAAGAATAAAAAAATAGTTGTGTTTTGATTAAGATTATTAGAAAATGCAGAGTTTTATTCAGTCAACGCCTTTTATGTTATTTATTTACATAATAATAATATCTGAGGGGTGATAGTATGATATTTCAAATACATGCATTTTATTACGAACAATATTGATCATACAAAGTAAAAAGAATAAACAATTCAAAGATAACTTCTATGACAAAAAAAGAGAGTTCTTATACCATCGTATGTTGCAATGAGTACGATCGCGTACGGTCGTTTACGTCGTCGTATACAGTCGTTAACAAGCAACGAAATGCTGGTCTTGATGTTTTAGTCCTTCGACGAGATTTATAATAATAAATTAGTGCAATAACTATAACGATTAGTAAAATTATAGTTAACAAAATTATTAATATAAATATTGGTAAACGATTTTGTCGAAATAATTGATTACCTAAAATTTATAGGTATGATGAATAGAATTTTTTTAATAAAAATTGAACGAAAATAAAGTCTTTTTATCTTACATATTCTTTCGGTCAAACTGAGAAACTGACCCAGAAAAGTCATAGATTGTTACTTCAATAGAAGCAACAATACATCCATTTTTTAAAGCAAATTGTTGATCAATGATAAACAAAGCGTTTTCTGTTTTAGGGGAGTTCGTTTGCGTACATTTAGCTGCGATATCGATAAGCACTGTATTGAAATAGTCGTTTCGTGGCGCTATCAAGGAGATCTATTATATGTTATGCTATTGACTGAATGACGATCTGTTGCAGTTACTAGATACCCTATCCTAGTTTGGATTTGGCCATGGAAGACGCTGAAAAGGCCCTAGACGAATCCAAGAGTTAGGCATGAGTTGAGAGATGAGAAATACCCACAGCCGTACGTGATGGTTTATAGTCTCAATTTGGTTTATTTTCATATAGCATTTATAGAATTCTTTTCCTCATTATGAGAATCGAATATAAAACATCGTCTATTTATTTCATTTAACTAAATCTACACGTTTATAATCTTATACTACAGATTTCTCTTTCTTTCAATCTTACTTGATAAACCTTTTGTTGTAAAAGTCAATTCAAAAATAAAATTTGTTGAATTCGATGGACTGGGTTCGCCATTGATCCGTTCTCTATCGTCATATTCGTTATTCAATCTAGCTATTGTATATGTTATGATTCTTAAACGATACGTTGTACTCGGTAAAAGTATTACACTTATTGAATATTTATCATAACCGACACAATATTCTTGTACTGATTCATTATTACTATTTTGTGCAATATATATCATATAATAATAAACAAGTCCATTTGGGTCTAGTGGTTCCAACCATGATATTCGATACAGAAATAGTCTTTCACCAGCTGTTAAACGATCAGAATCATCTGCTGAAGAGGTAAGTTGAACATTCCGTACTAAATCACGCGAAGCTAGAAAAAAAAATGAATTGAAAACAGGATGCATTAGAAAAGAATAACTTTTAATACAGAATTCTAATCGGTAACAGCGAACAACCACAAGAGAATTATCACGTTAAGTCCAACCGAAATATCCTTTGCGAAGGATATGAAGATAATCTACTGAAGCCCTGTGAATTCGAATTGTTTCGACTCCGAAAATTCAATTTTGATCAGCATCTGCACGAGCTACAAAATATAGGATCTCTAGAAAAACCAAAACCGTTTTTCAGCTTTCAGGGTTCACTAGAGCGAAAAATAGCTTCTCTACGGTTCATTAAAACATACCATCACCGGGTTTTGTTCTAACCGCTAATATAATTCCATTAAGACTACAAGAATTCGATAAAGCTTGTTTCGATATATTATGACATGCATATACTTGAAATAGATACAGTTGTGCTTCTTTTAAAGCGTCAATAATAATTCTTGTGTCGGATGTAGATCGATTGTATTGATCAATATATGGTCTGTGTTCAACAACGGATGACTCTTGAACGTCTATCTGATAGTTATCATTAAAATCAGTAGTGTTATTTTCAAAAAAAATATCTAAATTATTGATGATGTCAGCTTTAACTTCTTTACTAAGCGTTAGGGGATCGTTTCGTCGAGTGACAGAATTAATAAGTTTATATTCAATTATAGATAAATCCGTTGCAACGTGGTCAATATTTGTACTTTCTTCATCATCATAATCATAATTATTTGTGATCACATTATTTACTTCAGTTTTAGATTGTGAACATTGTACTGACTGCGTAAGATTTAAATTATTAACTTGAACATTTACTTCCGATCGCCAACGATCTAAGAAAACAAATTATGTATCGTTTATTTAGCGAAATAAATTCTTTTATACTTTCAATTTACCTTTCATTAAACACAATAATTTTGAATTATCGACTGGTAAACGATCTTCTATGGGTGCATAATAGACGAGATAATTTGTTGTTGGACCATTAGGTTTCGATGGCGTTTGCCATACTAACTCAATTGTTGATCGAGATAATGATTTACCATGCAAATTAAGCACTGGTTCCGGTTGACGTTGTAATGTTTGAAAATAAGTAATAGAAGAAAATGAACCGATTGTATCAAGATTTGATGTTATTGATACATAAACTGCATACCATTGATAGCCAACAAGTGACTCTAATTGTGTGCTCATTTTAAACGATTCACCTAAAAGAAGATTAATAATTTCGCGCACATTGTCTAGTATACTCTCTCTCTCTCTATTCTTCCTCTAGACAATATTATATCAATAAAAATTCAAGAAGTTCATCCGGTTTAGTGTTTCGCTCGGGAACGACAGGTAGAAAACTATTGTGATCCCTATCCGTTTATGTATTTTCTCGAATATCCTTTATACACTCTGCACCTTGTAGATTTAATCCTAGTTTCAATTTCCTTTGGAAATGATCTTCTATCAAGTTTCCCCAGTTAAATCAAAAAGCGGATTATATGAATTCAAGCGCTAATACGAACAAGGGTGTGAGTGAATTATCTATCTATTGGACTCGTTAATCTTGAATGAAGATAAATTCGAATGCATATTTACTATTTGGTGGACGATTATAATTGACCATTTCAACCTTTCTTAACCAATTCAATGAATGTGTTGCATCGAAATATGTTTCATTTTTCGTTCGTGTTGGTTTGTAAAAAACTGAGAAAAATGACCGACGTAAATTTTTGGCTTTACCACTTGAGTGAAGAAATAAATCTTTTGCTATAGCAATATTAACTCGTGCTGTTAATGAACTTATATTACTAATTGTTATTTCTAAAAAATTTGATTCGCACGATGTTAAATATCCATTAGCATATTGATTCAATGTGTCGGGTGTTGGTTGAAGATCTAAATAAAAATTGAGTTTGTTCAATAGAATATCAATAACAATAATCATTAAAACCTCGTTCATGTTTAGTTGTATAATTAATAAAATCTGTAATATGTTCTATACATAAACGAGCATTACGAACAATATTTAAATTCCCTTGAATAGTTGGCCGCGGTTGTGTGGATGGCCATAGTTCAGTTAGAAATTCGTTTTCCTCAATTGTCATCGAAGAATTTGATGCTGTGCCAATACGGCGAAGTCGAGAAAATATTTTTAATGTTGAAAATATTTTAACATTACGTATTGTAAATTCATGATCAATTTGCTCTAGTGATTCAAATGCAGCAAATGCTTCTTGGAAACTAGTTCCTTTTGATTCGACTGTTTGTATATTATAAATACTTAATGTATATACGCGTGAACAATATTTTAATAATTTAAAGTCTTCTATTGATTGAATATGTTTATCGCGACATGTACCATTGCAATAACTATTATCTGCCGATGATATGCAACGAACGCAACGTGAATCTGGCTCTCGAACAAAACCAGACGGACAAGATAAAACGCATTCATTTGTCCCTTCTAAAATGAAAGCAGTGCCCGAAACCAACGACTTACATTCTGCAGGAGTTACACATAACGAATTGCGAGTCTTTGAAATAAAAAAAAAATTTCTTAAGAATATGAAGGAAAAAGCACAAACTATGAAAGTTAACAAAACATCAAAAGTAAACTTTACTTTCAACATATTTGTTGGACATTTTTGTACGCATATCCCCGTAGAATAGATTCTCATGTTTCTGCAAGCATTACAAATTAAAGTCGATGACATAGTTCGATTATGATAATAACATCCTCCAACACATTGTTCGTGACAACAGACTTTTGCTGATACGCAATTTCCTTGACAATTTGCTGAACATATTTTTTGACATTGTGTTGGCGACCAACATGCTGATGGACATGTCGGACAGAAAGCACAATTATCGCGATTTTGTCGTAATATAATATGATTCTTTTTTGTTTCTAATAAATCATTCCAACGTAAAGATTTTCCATAACACAATTGAGCATTTCGAGCTATAATTACATTTCCTCGGCGTATGCTCATTAATGACTTTAAACCTAATTCATTTAATAGAAAATTGTTCGTGACAATTAATGAATAACCCTGATGTAAATCTCGTCCATGTATAACGGATAAATTCGGAAACATGGATGAAAATGAATCCACGGATGAATAACCTAGTAACACATAACCATAGATTTCACGAAGATGTGGAAAAGATATTGACGTTGCTGTGCTTGCATTCTTTACGGAATTCATTGGAGCATATGTAACAGAACCAAGACTTATTTCACATAACAGCAACTGATTGTTCTTAAAACCAGTTTTTAATTCGAATACTGTTACATGAATGTCGCCACATACTACAATAGAAATATATGTAATTGATTTGTATGGGAAATTTTCTAAAGATGTTGTAGTCTTCTCTGTCAAGGTTATCTTTCGATTGAGAATAATAGTAGAATTCATACTGGAGTGTCATTCTTTCAATAATCTACTCGGCACTAAGCTCTTTTAACTCGGGTGCTTGTGGGAAAAAAAAAACGTTTTTTTGTGAGATATAATAGATTACTGTGCGTTGTCAATATCTAACAGCGAATTATCGAAATTTAACTTCTTCAACAGAACGGAAACACTGAAAAATTATTCTAATCGATTTAAAGAATAATAATTAACTTTTCGAAATTAATCGTTTTTTGATGGACGATCACAGATTAGATGTTAATCAATCGAACGATATTTTTATGAATACATTACCTCGCGCATACGGTTTAGCAGCGGCAACATTATTATTACTTTCATTATTATCGGCAACAGTCAATAAAATATATAAATATAAAATGATACTGATAAAATATAATTTCGATTCGCTCATCTGAAATGAAAATGAACGTATACAAATATATGTATATTAAAATATTAAGTAAATTTTTCTTTCTAAGAGCACGAAAACGAGACCGCATCGAATCGACTATTTTATACTTCGAACGTATATTGAAAATGACTAATTATCATAAAGGCCGTTACTCTTATTGCTGTAAATAGTAACATAATGTCATTCAAATTTACATCAAGGTTAATCGAATGCGTTATGATAATTTTATACATTAGCGGATTTTTTTGCAAAACAGATGTTAGTTCGCATAAAAGACAACGTTTTTTTAAGAAGTGGTTCGAGTTCGGTCGCTGATTCCTACGGTCACAATCGTTATTTGTTGGAGACGAATTACATTGCGCACGTAGAACTTCTTTTGATTCAATAGATGATTTTGTTGTTGCTACTTATTAAAATGATGAACGAACAGAAAAATCTTCTGATATCATGTCATGGTAGTTTAGCCTAGTCACCATTGTGGTTTGCTTCGTTTGAGTAGAAAGCAAACCTTGACGATTGTTGATCCTGCGTCAACATTTTGCTAAAATAATAAAAAAACACAAACAAGCTTTTATTCGCGTACATATTTGTTGTTATTATTCGGTTATAACTGGTAATTTTGGTAGTATCTTTGTTTTGATCAAGGACTACATATCATTTCTACCCCTCGACATTATTCATAACATATAGGAAGAGTGTCTCGAGCAAAGAAAATAAAAGGATTGACTCTACAATCGTGAAATTTTTTTATTGTCTCTGTGTGTTAGTATTATTTATTATATACGTACTACCTAATTCTGGCGATTCTGAAAGAATTTCTGCATAATAAACAGAGTTCACTCTTTGTGTAATAAAAAAAAAAAGAATGACTGTTTCACTCGATTGTTTGACTTATGCTTGTATATGTGAAAACAAGATGTATACGATAAGAGAACAAAGAAGAAGGAAAGATAAAGAACAGGCTGTCAACTATTTATCAAAACAAAAAAACGAAATCGATTAACAAGTGTTCATTGGAAAGGTGACGCGCCAATCGATTGAACTGGGTCAATGTGCTTGTGAATTTTTATTTTTATTTTTATTTTAGATTTCATTTCATTCTTTTATGCCGTCGATCTCATTGAAAAAAAAAGAAGAGGCAATGCATCAATCATACAGCATAGCGTCCTTGAAGCTTCACGCACACATTTATGTCCTATTTTTAATTCATAACGGTAGACGTGTAATAAGCAAATGTGTCCAATGAACCAAACAAACTTTTTTCTCTTCATAAATAGAAAGCAACCGTTTCGCTAATCAATTGATCACATGCATGATTGATCAATGCAATTGAATAGACAGGTTTAGTTTAATAGGAGTATCACTGGCCAGATAGAATATTATTTCACAATAGTAGACAATCGTCATGCAGCAGGTCAACGTGTGACTTTCGTGTTCGGGAACGAGTTCTTTTGCTTGATTGAAAATCTTTAGCTCAGCCTATCGTCACTGATGAGATGCGACGAGCATCACCGACAATAAATTAATATCCAGCAATACCATTGAACTGAATGCACTCGTCAGCGAGTTGTTAGGATTATATAGAAATTGTGTTGAAAATAAAACAAAAAGACGCAAACATCATATTGCAGCAAATGCTGAAACAATGAAATTCGTACATAAAAGGCAATGAACTAAACATAGATTCCAAAATCAATTATCTTTCGGCATACCAATTGGAAAAAATCAGTAAACCCAACAGTAAAAGAGGTGAAAATATTTTATTCAAAACCAAACAGGCTAAATTTCTGCAAATATATCAAATTATTTTGTTGCTTCGCGAATGAATAAATACCAAATTGATCTAGTATTTAATCCGTATCTTATTTTGATCGATTATTTACTAATAGTACCTGCTTAAGAACCTATTTAGGCTAGATGCTAGTATATTATGTCAGTGATCAAAAACAAATTCACCCAGTGTCATCTGTTCGTTTTTCCATTGTTTGATTCGAGGCGTCTTAATTCAACCGAAATCAGATTTGATCAATTGCAAACAATAACAAGTGATGATGCGGGTTTGAGTATTGATATTCTCCTTAAACACTTCAAATCCACATACATCATTCATACTCATGTTCATCGAATTCATCAGAGAAAAACTGAAAGACTCATGTTTGTAAGTGAGAACATCATGCTGCATTAGGTACCCATCTCTCCTACCACAAGCTCATTTTATCCTCAATTTTGAATTGAAAGCGTACAACACAAGCTACTTATTTATGATCATATAATATCATTGCGAGCACATACATATTAACTCGAATTTATCTGATGATTCCTTTAGTCTGGATCAAATTGCAATGATAGTCGCTGGATTAAACATACCCACGCCGCACGATAGTAGGACCTCTCAGTGTGATACTAGAGTAACTGTAAATAAAAGTATATTTTAATAGCAACACAATACACATCGTTCATGATTTGTAGATGAAAATTCTAGCAGATTGTATTTCTATGATACAAAGCCAGATTTTTAGATATCCTAGATCTTTGTATTTCAAACCCATTTGTAATGTGCGCTATTAACCACCAGTACAGTTAGTGTTGGTCACCATGCTGTTAAAATGAATTTGCATCTGTCGAGAGTTCAATTCATAATCAAAAACTGCGACTTTTCCAATTGCTCCTTGGAAAAAATGATTGTAGTTGTCCGACGGTAATATTATCTTGAAAATAAATTTCAGCATCTAAGCCACCAGATAAGTTGAATGCATAACCACAAGGACGATTAAAACGTTCTTCTGTGTTATTATAACTGTACACTCGCGTAGTTCAACTTTACTGGTATGTCTCCCCTTTCCCCATCCACCAAACATAGCCACTGCCTTCCTGGTGGTCTAACTGTAGTGTGTCAGATCGAAACCATGCTTCTATAGCGAGAATATCCGTTCGGACTATTTCCAAATAATCGTTGTCGTCTATAGTGAAGTATTGGTTGAGGCCATTAAATACACTCACAATATCATTGTTTGGCATTCTTGTGGCAGAAGGATTGTTGGTAAATATGCCGTTTAAATTGTGACCTGAATTGTCGTATGGAATACTGGGATCAGGAGGTCAGTATGCGACAGGTGAGTGTATTAGCAGTATGACAAAAGAAAACAAACGATTAAAGAACCCAGCAGAGATATTGAAATGAACCAAGTTGTTGCAGGATACATTATTACGATAGTTTTGAGCTGATGATGCAAATGAATTATAAAAATAAAATTCAAATAAGAGCGAATGGTGAAAAGCAAATGTTTGCTTTAGCCGCGATATGAAATCACGATAACGATTGCTACATATAAACACACCTGCAGTGAGAATAGCTATTACTTTGTCGATTGCCACTCGTGATTAGCTCATACAATCTACTATTGAATTTTCTGGCAAGGAGGAAGTATCGCTTTAATTGTTCTTTATCAACTAACAGACTTGAAAAATCAGTATGAAGTTGGAAAAAACAATTAAAAAAGCAATGTTGTTCAATGCTACAGTAGTATTGGAATCAGTTTCATATGGGTGGGTAGTCGCACACATGTACCAAAGCGAACATGGTGCAATCTTTCGCACCTACAAGACTGATCAGTACGATCAAGTATTTCGAGGTTGCTACATGAACAAAACAACAAGTGAATTCCAGTACCACCTTCAGACTCTGAGAGGGTTTAGGGGGAAAGCGACCATCGGTATGCATGACCAAAAGAATATCCAGTAAAACAAATTCAAATAAAAGTAAATTGAATTTTTTATTTTAGTTTTCTCTCTAAAAATTCATAGATAGAGAATAATGCAACTCAACTAATTAATTCTATTTCTGTCTTAAGGTGCAGGCTAATCATGTTTGAAATTAATAGAGCACGTCAAAGCCAGCTTATTCGGTCTATTGTAATATGATAGTCAGCAACTATCGAAATGGCTAGATGATAGGAAGATTAAAATTACTTTTCTTATTTAAACTCTATTGCAAAACATGCCTGAAGTAACAGAGTTAAATAATGAAGAAAAAAGTAGGATTATTAGATTGCCAAGAAATATTCAAATAACTGAAAAAAGAAACAGAAACGAAAGCTTAACGTGTGCTATATGATTTTTCTTTAGAGTTGTATTTATAATAAAGAAAATTGTTGACTAAATTGTTTTTTAGGTTTGCCGTTTCATTATGTATGAATTTATTGAAACAAATCTAGATCAGTTCATCAGTATAAGATTCTTCAACTATTTTTCTTCTTCATATTTTTGTACTCAATATTTGAGAAGAAGATGATCAAGGATATGCAGAGGGTGAGTCATTGCTATATTTTCATACGAAACATTCATTGCCCAACATTTATGTAATGATGAAATGAAACAAAAAGAAACAACCTTTCATAGCATTTGTCATTTATTAGCTATGCAATTGAGTCTCACCGATTCGTCATGTTGTGGTCCCACTGGAACAAGTCATTGGAGTAAGACATTTTGACATTTTCTTACAGATGAAAATATTAAATAGAATGAGATTCTGTTTTAACGATAAAATCCCCAGCATAATTTTATTCCATTTGGAATTCAGTTGAGATTGGAGAAGCATTTTTGCAAATTTTTTTCGCGGTATTTTTTAAATGAAGGGGACATTGTTCTGCAAAGGCTGCAAAGTTTTGCTATGTGTTTTTCTAGTGATGGGGACACTGGGTGTTAGTTTAAATTTTTGTTTTAAGCTTCTTCTGAAGGATCCACTAGCACGAGTAGGTGATGAAAAAAGTAGCGATTATAATAAGTATCTGTAACTATGACATATGCACATTTTCTGCTTTACTAACATTCATAATATTTTAAATACATATCGTTCTTGATCGTGTGATTCGCTCTTTTTTAACATTAAGATTATTGATATTTACACCCTAAAAAAATAGGTACCATCCCAACGTTAAAATGATTCAGCCATGAGTACGAAGCCTTGAAGTTTGGTAAAAATCTATTTAAGATTCTATGATCTTATCACACAGTTTAAATACAAAAATAGAAGTCCGCAAATAGTTTCAAATTGAAATAATAAATTACCGGAGAATAACCAATTATTTAATGCTCTTATACTGCAATTCCGCCAGTAAGACAGAGAAGATTAGTTATAATATGACTAAAAAAAATACATCAAGCTAAATTTATTAGTAAAATCAAAAATTTATATTAATCTATTTTATAAAATGTTTTTAATACGACTTTATTCGTAAGCTTTAATAAATTATTTGTTTTCTACTGTGAAGCCAACGAATAAAGTGTTAAGGTTCTATGTAACGATGAACGATGTGAATAGTATTTGGTCCTGGTAAAAAGAAAACTGTTTATCAGAACAGACCCTTGGGACTGATGCATACAACTCATCAGTCTTCTCTAGGGTTATTCTACCAACAAGAAGAGACACACAAAATGTGAAATCTCTAACAGACGATAGTTCTTTTAAAACGATTATCGCTTTCGATCTGTGGCAGTTCGTGATCGGAGAACTGGGTGTAATGGTTAGCTTTTGTTTTGACAACTGAAATAAGAATTTAATAGAATCACTCGATCGCCCTAATAGAAAGAAAAACGCTATTTAAAAATAAATAGTCACTGGATTCAGTTCTCCATTTTTCTCGTTCTTGTATTGTTAAATTATAAGTATCGTACTAAAAAATAATTAAGACTTAACGACCTAGCGTACAACTCGATCGATTGACACATATTATGTCATTTCGAGACATCCACACCACGAGAGATAATCAGCATTTCAGTTCGCATACTATTATCCGTTCCAGAAGTCAAGACAGTCGGTGGTTTTTTGAATAACGTTTGATAGGAACAAGATAGGCCTGCGATTTTCACTGTTTCATAGCCAAGACCCAGATACATATTTCCACAAGCAAAAGTTTTTCTAAGGAAAAATTTGAAGATCGATTTTTCAAAGGGTCACTGGGAAACCACTCTGGATTTCTGGTAAGTGTTATAGAAGTCTATAGATTTTCTTACACATTCGGAATCAGCATCAAAAACTGAGCCGACCAATGCATATTTCGAATTTTTCACGAACTTTTGTTTTCGTCGAGAAATTCACCCCTGTGGTCACGCTCAGGGGTTGGTCAAATATGTATCTGGGTCATGGCTATGAAACAGCGAGAATCGCAGGTCTCTATCTTGTTCCTATCAAACATTATTCAAAAGACAACCGACTGCCTTGACTTCTGGAACGGATAATAGTAATTGAAACTGCACTGGTTTATGAAAAAGATTTTTTAAAATATACCATCAGTTGATCTCGGGGAACGCCATCTAATTTTCTTGAAACTCGTAAAAGGCATTACAAACTAAAGTCGACAATGTGAAAGAAGGACCCGAAAAATTTGATTGCATACTTACATTTATTATTTTCATTGAAAGCAAAATGTGAGTTTAACACAATTTGGTATCAGTAAAAGAAAAACAGTTGTGATTCTGCGTTTGAACTCAGTAATACCTCTACGAACTAGAAATGTAATATCATATTTTGGCAGTGCCAATAAGTTCGAGTTATCTTCTAAAATGTTTCCACTTCTAAGTAGTGATGGGGCCAGGAATGCTGAACTGCTTCCCTTCATCCTTCTAGCTATAGTAAGAGATATCTTTCAAAAACGTCGCGAGAGAAGGAATGACTCAGTACCACCCGGCTGTTGGAAAGCTTATTCTTCTTTGTCAACACATTAATACTTCGTCCATTCTGTACATTTGGGTCAGTCAGCTCTGTTGATTACAATAAGAACGATTATTTTACAAGGTCATTCCTAACCTTCGTTCTATAAGAACTGAAACTATTTTGCCAATATGTACTTTTGTGGCAGAGAATCTTTGAAAACAAATCTTTTTACCTGCCCAATGTTAATAAATATTGAGAAAGTTAAATCAATATATTTGACGAACTCATCATCATCTTTGATCTCCTATTAATGTTTTGTTGATGGTATGCTTTACAATGTTCTTTATTTGACTGTTGTACAATTTCATGCCTTGAAATATCAAAAACAAAGATTTAACATTGAATTTTTATATTTCTTTAAGAATTATTCTATTATCGATTTAGCGATTCCAAAATTGCTTCTATCAAGTGCATATCCAGGTGCAAAAGATCTTGATGAGCATCGACGTATAACACGCACTATTTATGATAGTGGAATTGAAGTATTTGTTAATCTAATGCAACCGAAAGAGCTCATTCGTTTTACTCCATACGAACCAGAAATTCGACAATATGCTATTCAAGGTATTTTTGTTAATCTTCGTTTAAAAAATGTTATTTATTTAATTTAAACAGATGATCAAAAAGTTGAATTTGTTTCATTTCCAATTCCTGATCAATATGTCTGTCGAGATGATCAAAAAGTATTCGAGTTTTGTTCGCATCTATGCAAAAGACTTAAAGAAGATCATCAAAAGATTCTTATACATTGCTGGTAAAAACTTTTGTCAAGTTGATTATTTTTGAAATAATTTGTCAGCTAATCAAATAGGGGTGGACATGGAAGAACTGGTACCATTATGTCCATTCTTATTGGTATGCTATTTGAATTGGAAGGTATGTATTTAGGTGAGTTTTTACTTTTAAACTATGAATTATTTAAATAGCGGATGATGCTTTGGATTATAATTATCAACTACATAAACAACGTTCAAGAACGAAAGGACGCAAAAGCTCGCTGGCACTTTGTATGTTTGATTAAACGAGAACATTTTTGGTTTGACAATATTCTATTCGTAGGTCAACGCGAACAAGTGAAAAACGTATTAAAAATGTACGAAGATCAGCAACACTGTCCTACTGTTTCATCAGTTGAAAATCAAACATTCGACTAAGTTTTAATAATTATTAATTTTCAATGAAATAAATAAAAATTGCATAAGACTTTATTTCGCTCAACTGATTGCTATGAATCCCGGCAAGATGCTCCCCGGACACTTGCTCCCTAACTGCATTTAACAAAAATGTTAATCAGCACGAGATTAAGATATAAATTTATTTATTTGAGGGTATCGGTGTGAGTGTGTCAGTGCAAGTATGGACAAATGGTTATCCTCTTCACTCACTCACACCCCACACTCTCAAGATCATAAATAACATTGTTTGTTTCTGATTATTCAATAATCCGTTGTAACTTGCATTTTTCATCAAGAATTTAGTGAAAAAAAAGATGGATGCGTTTTTGCAATTTAGTAAACCTGACACCTAGCGCAAGCGAACTCATGATTGAGCGTTTCGATTCTTTTTGTATCAATTTCTTCTAGAGAACAAAAATTAATTCACTATAGAAAGCTTTTATCTTACGTACTTATTGCGAATAAATTATTGGTGTTTTTTCAACTTAGCGAGACACGCTCGATATCTCGTGGATAAATAGAAAATCACAATCTATTAAGATTTTATTCTGATTGGGTTATTGTTACAATCATAATTTTTTCTTAGTTCTATCAGAACCGTTTTTTTTTGTTTAATAAATATCACATTACACCAGTGTTCTCTGAAAAGACTCGAATCACTCATTGACACATAAAATGTAGATAAATAATTGCTGTCATTATCTTAACATAGGTCTTCGAAATCAGCAAAATCTGAGATGTGGATGTGCTGTTTCTGTCGCCCTTCACTCCCACTGGCATCCACAATCTACATCCCTACCCTTTTTGAGCCAACTGTTGCAGCTTATTCCGTATGTGTGAGTCAGTGTCTTTTGTACTTGGAAACTTCCAACAGTATTAACGGAAGAAAAGAAAAAAAACTCACCTGCTTTCAGCTGCTATATAATTGACGTTAAACAGAAATTGTATTCTGAATAAGTAACAGCACATGAGAGTAGGTAAAAAAACGAATATTATGGCTAGCAATGAGATTAGATTTTGTATGTAATGGGAAACAAAAGTAGGTTTTTCTATCTAGGCTGTTAACATAATATTAAATGCTTTCTTTCTCATATGAAAGGCTCGGAATATCATGTGCCTGTTGCTCAGGAGGAAATTGAAGAGCATGCTACCATCGAGCATTTCGATATTGTATGGCTCAATGAGAGGCCACATTTAACTTTACTCCAAGATCCACAGTATTCCGAACAAATTCTGAATTTAGACGGATACAATATGCATTTTTTCGAAGATTTCTTGGAGTGTGGTGATTATCTTTACAAATTGCCCACGAGTGCTGAAGTGATACTTATTGCTGAAGGGCAAGATACAGAAGAGATCATTAATGTTACACATTGCCTCTGTCCCATCAAAGTAATCTTCGTTGTCCACCTCGTAGCAATGAGTACCGATGATGAAAATCACATATCTCCTGCATATGTGAAAGTAAGCTATATTTTGATGATCGAAAATATAATTATATGGATCGTTTTCGTAGGTTAAACATACCAATCTAGACCAAGTAGCCAATCGCATTCGTTTATTTGAAGCTCGTTTCCTACGCAACACTAAAGAATTCTTTTCTATCAATATTTTCGAAGGAAATAAGACATCAGAACTTTCTTCAAACGAAATCAACGGACGATTCCTTTTCACTCAATTACTTCTCGATATTCTCCTTCGAATGGACCAAAAGCTCAATGATAAGGATGAATTGATTGCTCGATGTACCGAACTTTTTGCCACTAATGCAAAAGAATTAGAAAAAGTGACGAAGTTTCATCTAGAATACAATGCAGAAAAAGTCTTTGAGTGGTATACCAAAGATGCATTTGTCTATCGTCAACTTAATAAAGCTCTCCGCACTCAAAATATAGATCTGCTATTTCTCTATCGGTTTATTTTACAAGATATGAAAAACCAGCTCATGCTTCATCAAGAACAATTGCCAGTGCATGTTTATCGCGGACAACGTCTTTCAAGAGACGAATGGAAGCAGTTGTCCAAAGCAAAAGATCAGTATATCTCAATGAATTCTTTTCTATCAACTAGTCTTCAACTAAGCGTTGCCGAGATTCTCATAAACAACAATAAGAATGATGACGAAGTGAGCGTTTTATTTGAAATAAACGCTGATTCAAAGGTTCTTGGCGGTGTACAACCCTTTGCTAATATATCAAGATTCAGTCAATTTCCACAAGAAGAAGAAGTGCTCTTTATGGCTGGAAGTATTTTTCATATTACAGATGTAATTAATAGAGATTCTTTCTCAACAGTAAAAATGGAGCTTTGCAGCAATGAAGAGAATAAATTGAAACCGCTTTTTGAGACACTACGCAATGAATACGGCGGTGAACTAACGGGAAAAGATAAAGAAGCAAGTTTGAACTCATTTGGCGTCGTACTGTTCAACATGAAAAAATTCCACACTGCAGATCGATTTTTTCGCCGAATCTATTATGAAACTTCTACAGATGATCCAAATCGCGCACGATACTGTCAGAATATTGGCAATGCAGCATTACATACAGGTCGATATGAAGAAAGCGCTGTATGGTATGATCGAGCACTGGAACAGTGCGAAAGTCACGGATATATGGATCATCCCCTTCAGGCTAATATTCATCTGGTTCGAGGAAATCTATATAGCATGCAAAATAAGCGAAGACAAGCTCTTGACTCATACAATACGGCTTTGACAATCTATAGGAAAAATTTCGGTGAAAATCATCCGAGAATTGCAACGTGCTATGGAAATATGGCTGCTTTTTTTCGGCGTAGAAAGTACTATAGAACATCGCTCGAGTATTGTGAGAGAGCTTTAAATGTGGCCAATCATTCATTACCAGAAATACATCCGGATCTGATATTTTATAATCTAAGTTTAGCAAAGCTGTTGCTTGAACTTCGACATCGAGAGTTGCAAAGGGCACTAGGTCATACAGAGAAAGCATTGGAAATTGCACAGAAGGCTATTTCAACCGAACAAATGGAATTCATTGACATTTATTCGACGATGGGACAAATCTACGAATGCATGCACGACTTCGAAAATTCGACATTGTGGTATAATAAAGTTGATGCACTTGGAGGCTTGCAGACAGCCGATGTTCGGATTCAGCAAAAATGGAATAAAAGGAAAGATTTTACCTGTAGTCGATGTCACCGACGTACTTGGATATATCGCTCGTTCGAATGGATGAAAGATACGAGAATCAACTGTCTTGTATTTCATGATTTTGGGTTTTTTCTTCTTAACAGTGTACGATATTGTTGTCACTAGTAGGTGAATTCCATATTTTTATCTTGACAGCATTGTTACTGAAATTTGAATAAAATACAATGGTGATTGTTTGGGTGGGTGTGGGCACGAAACAAGACGTTCAGAATGCATACTCGCATCTCTGTTTTATGAAATATCAGTAGAAAGATAGTTCCATTGGTACAGTTGTAATTGGTTCAAAATTAGTGCGTTTGCAAGTACAGTAAGCGCACACTATTTTGAATACTTCTATTTCACTCAGTGAAGGGTGTGAAAAATGAGCCATTTGACTGGAACAATATCTGAAGACTCATTCATAAAATCATAATGGCGGCACGAATTCACGTGTATTCAGGAATTGTTTTCTGTCTAAGCCATCGTCGAGAACAAGCATACAGGAGCAGGTTAAATCATCGATGCCAATTTTCTGCTAATTTATTTTAAATTTAACATGAGTTTAAGCTTGCTAAGGGTTGAATAAGGGTATGAGTGTGAGTATAGTGTGCATTAACTTCTCGTTTATTTACTCTCGCCCACACCCCTAGTTCGGATAGTCATAAATATAAATTCGTAATATAATCAAGTTGTTTCATGGTATCACAATAGTTCTCTCGTATTAATTCACAATCGCACGCCCTTGTGACAGCTGTAGCTAGTCATAATTCTCATGATTAAGAGTGAGTCAACCGAAATATTATAAGAATCTAGAATGAAATCTACAAAAGATGTACACGTGGTTGGATATATCTAAATAATGAGAAACATAAAAAAATCGGTCAACCATGAATGAATAAAAAATGCTCGCCCTCTCGCAATGCACACACAAGATACACAAGTAACTATGTTGCATAACAAGAAATGTACAGCAATCATCATAGAACTAGACCGGACTAATAACCTGATTTATATTTCAAACGAAAAATGATTTGAGAAAATTTATTAATTACGCAACATGTAATATAAATCTGCAAAGAAAAGCGCGTAGATTAATAAACTTTTCCTGTCCATTTACTACCATTATATGAATGCGATAAACTCTTCATCTCAAAATTTATCTCATTCATAAATTTGAAAAGTATCACAATCTCTCGCCGATGTTGATGAAAAACAAGAATTTATGCAAAGGTACATAACGAATGGTCGGTAATAAACAGATCGTGTCAATTCTTTTATTCTTTGCTCTTTTTATTACAGTAATCTAGTCATATTTACTGGACTTACATAAAAAGTCATCGATTTTCTATAGGATGTGAGCGTATTATTGTGATTCTGTGCTTATATAATTTTGATGCAAATGGTTATTCCTATGTATCTGATTAGTTGACAATAAGATAATGAAATTATTTTAAACTTTGAACATTAAATATTAAAGATTTTCGATTAATTTCATTTCATTAAGGTAGAAAATCTCACTGCTTAATCGTATTCAAACAACGATTTCTGAATAAATTTTACTGAAGTTTCTCAATCCGAAGAATATACTATTGACTTCAATAACATGGTTTGAAATCGTGACTATTCGGATTTCAAACCATTTGACGGGGAATGTTTTTACTGTGATTTCATCCACGGAGCATCGTTCTGGTCTCTATTCATACAAAAACGACTGGAGAGAATTAGTAGGATTCAGCACTAAAGTATGAACAGAAATGTACCTCTTTTAGCGATATCGGCGATGTAAATGACAGTCTAGATCCTTCTTGGCCTCTAGTTTTATTTTGTTTTTCAAAACCTGAATTTTCTAAATTTTGTCAAGAGTTAAACAAACATATTGAATGGTGTCAAAAGAAAATATCAAAGTAAAAATACTTCTCGATGTTATTGTTGTAGATGGCGGCATTGGCGGTCTTGCTGCTGCCACGGTAAGTCTCTTAGTATAGCTACCACTGATTAAATTAATTTTGATGGCTTTATCCACTTCTGAATAGGCATGTGCCCCAGCCAGTATGAAGGTTATTGTATACGAAGTTGCTGTTCAACTTGCAGAAGCTAGTGCTTGATTTTTTCTCTTAATTTTCATGAGCAAAAATCCTAATATATCTCGACTCCTGCATCAATCGGAAATTCTAGATTTACTACGGCCTCAAGCGATGCCACTAGATGCTCTTTCTTTGCAACGATATACGGTGCCCCAAGCTGGGTTGTACACCGCGCTGATCTTCAAAGAGTTTTTAAAATTGCAGTAGAAGATTATGGTGCCCGAATTCAAATGTAATCGTATATTAAGGATATTGATTTCGCGAACACTCGAATCAAGATCAAAGGTTCCTCGGAATGGATTGATAGTGACCTGATATTAGAAGCAGATGGTGTGAAGTCAGCTATCAGAAGAAAATTGTTCACACTATCTGATCAAGTAGACAGAGTTAGAGAGAGAGAGAGGTGATTGCTGCTGCCGAAAAGATATGCGCTAGCGAAGATCCTAATTTAGTCCTATTGCATCCTAGAACAGTCCGTAAGGAAGACTCATGGACCATACAGGGTGATAAGAAGAAAATGATTTAATTTTACCAAAATTTGAACATTCATGTTAAAAAGTTAATCGAATTAGTTCCAGATGAAGAAGTTTTAGAATGGCAGCTATCTGATCATGCATCAGTGCTTCCGTATGTTGCTCAGGGTGCTGCTCAAGCTGCTGAAGATGGTTCTGTTCCAGGTGCATGTCTCTCTATGATTGACAGCCAAAGGCGTATGAGCTCGTGAGAAAAGAACGAGCCGAAACAGTACAAATGTCAGCAACCAAACCTCGCCAAGTTTTGCATCTTCACGATGGAGAACAACAACGAAAACGAGACGAGATACGTATGAACATTGATAGCGGCTATGATAATCCTGATCGTTGGTCAGATAGATTTTGTAACAGTGGTGCTGGGCGAGTATGAGTATTTTTTACATATTTTGAGGCCATCGAAATGTGGGAAGATCTTGCAAAATTAGTCACAAGTGGTCGAGAATTTGAATCGCCCTTCAGCACAAAAAATTGGCCATGGCTAAAAAAGGTTTACTAAGCACTGATATAATATTTGAGGACTCAGAATCAAAAACAGATCAATGTAACTATACGTGTATAATATAAAAATAAATCTAATGATCTCAAATCTTGTTTTTTAACAATAGAGAGTGAGTCTTGGAGTGGCAAGATCTAGGTTTCAGGTTTCTGAAAAAGACAATTATGAATTAATGTAGTTATTTCAGTTGCCTCATCGATCAGAGTTGTTGAATGTATTTTCTTGTAATTTCTTCGGACGGTTGTTCGACTTGGAGAAGTCATTTATGGATTACACTTGGTGATTGTATTCTTTTCTCTGGGTTAACGTTCATCAGTTTGATACGACGAAGCATATTATTTAAAATGGTCTCATTAAAGACAAAGCATCTGTAATATAACCATGGCCGGCAGTAGATAATGATAAACAACTATCTTGTTGAATATCAGCAGCGTGAAGAAGACTGATAGCTGGAATGTGAGATACCAGATGAACTTGCAATATTAAAATGTCGCTTAAGTCAAGAAAAAATTTGTTCTGTGAATTGAGTATTGAAATCATATTCAATTCTTAATCTAACTAACAAATAGATATTATTTTCCAATCTCGAAAGGATATTTCTTATCGTTTCCATGGATTTAACTTGTTTAACTTATAACTAAAAGTATATTGTCCAATTATTTGTTGGCGTAATTCATAATATAATGAATAATGAATTGGTATAGCATCCAAGCATTGCTCATGTAATCAACGTGTTGTTTGAATGAACATTTATTACTTGGTATATTGCAAGGACTAATAAATGTTTTGTTATAAGACGCGAGGATGTTGAAACCATCCCTAGAAATCAAGTGGATGGATTTTTCTTGAACTAAAAACATCATTACTATTCATATACGAATATGATCTGCGGAGAATGACGCATGTTCATTTGTCAGATACAATAACGATTAAGAAGAATAGAATAATCAACATGATTTTGACAGTTGTTTGGATGGAAGCATTAAATGTAATATACACTACCTATTAAAAAAATATTGTCATAAATGAAAACAACATATGGACCATGATTTTTCGCAATATCGAAAGATGAAAAGTTTTTCAGCAAATCGATATTCTATGGAAAGAAAAAGAATTTCTATATCGAAGTTAATTACATTATTGTTCACTTTATATGAGCAAAATGAAAGATCATCCTTTATTAGATTAGTCGCGAACTTTCAGGAATAAAAATGATTTATACCCACCTTTAGTCTATAGTTGCATTCTAGATGGGTAGATGGTTTACACCATGACTTTTGAGTATTGAGCTGTACAATTTCCTGAAGAATTCAGATGTTGAGCGACGATGATTGTCCCGCTTTTTTAGGATGAAATCTGCTGTGACTAACATGCCAATTTAGACATCTCGGTTAACAATAGTAGACTCTTCGCACGGCGTCAGAAATTTCTAAAACATTTTGCATTATAACTACAGGCAAAAAGATCATGATTCAAACTTTATCGGAAAGTTATTTCAGCACTTGATTGATTGATTGCTAGATTAGCGAGACATTCCAAAATAACTATTCTCGGATGAAGACCCAATGTCTACGGAACATGTCTAAAAGTAATTTACTAGAAATAGAAACTTAAGACTACTGTCGGTGTATGGATGTGGATGTCTGCAAGAGTCATATCCACATCTATTACGAGGGACTTTCAAGTATTTTACAACTAACGCTCTACAGAAAAACTAAAAAATATTAGCTTTTTTAGTCGATCATTGGGACATGATGCTAAAAATACTTAGAATATAAATCAGTGATCATATAAAGATAAATTTCTTGTAATGTATAGCTTTGGATCTCGATGGTGCAGCCTTCTTTTTTTAAAACTTTTCCCGACAATAGAAGCATTCAATCAGACAGAGACAAAACTTATTTATTTCATTCAAGTAAATTGGAAGAAAATAAGAAAAATGAAGTCTCGAATCTTTTCAATCCTTCGCTCTTCTTTACATTCTACTTGCAAGTTTCATTCACTGTGCAGAGACGAACGGAAGAAAAAGAACATGGCAAAACACATAAAACGCATTAGCTTATATTTCTTGTTCGTCACGTTTGCGCCTGCAAGAGATCAGTCACCGCGCACCGATGTTTTTTTTCGTTGTTATTTCTCCTGAAAACAAAATAGGAAGTAGTTTCTTCAGCGTCGTTATGAATTCGTAGAATGTAAGTTATTTATTTTCTGACAAAATTAATGTTTTCAACTGATAGTTTTCAGAATATCATTTGGGATAGACTTGACGATGTCGACTCTGAAACCATCACGGATCGTGATAAACAACTTCGATGAACTAACGAAGATCATGTGTAAAGTATCATCTGATTGGAATATATTTGAAGTATTTTTTTATTGAAGTGGTACAGACTAATAAGTAAGTCATGATATAGAAATATGTCCTTATAGGCATGAAAATTGAGATGTTGAAGACGCCAGGTTTATTTTATTGATACTACGTCTTCGAGTTATCCTAACGCCTAACGGTACATACATACTTGTAGTTTACGATAAAGGTTTTGTGATATTAACATCGGATGAGAACACATGCTTTTAGAAGATATGTTTTTATATGCCACGCTTGCTAAAATAAAACAAACGTTTTATCACTACCAGACCATCGTGGCTAACTGCTTTTCTTATTCATATTTGCTTAGTGCGTAGTGTTCAACTCAATTAAAGATGACAGAGACTGGTTCCCACTGGAAGTATCATATCCCAATTACTGTTACCTTGCTAAGTTGAAATAGGAGTAATGATTGATAAGGCACTTCTTGTTAGGTGACTAGAGAAACATATTATGACTAACACAGATTCATGATAAAATTCTACACCTCACCGTAATAGTATAATCCAGAGAACATACTGGTCAAAAGTATCTTATTTTATGTTTTGGTGATGGCTAGGATCTTGTTCTTGTATCTGTTCAGTTGATTTCATAAGAAATAATGAAGGTAATAATGTATAACTTTTTTTAGATTGCTAAAAACATTACGGTTGGATACAAACATTCGATTACTAAATTTAAAAAATAGCAGCGACATCTTATTCTATTTACCTTTCTTGATTATTATGGATGCCACTATAGTACCAACTGACGGTTTTAAGACAAATGACGACAGTATGCTACTGGAAATTTTCTGTCTCGTATGGCTCGATGCTAATGCAAACGGCAAAGAAACTCGAAATACAGAACAAAAGTTACGTTCTATTATTAATAACCTCAAGAAATTTCAAGATATAGAACAATGTCGAAAATTTATTGAAGAACGGTCACAAAAGGATAGACTCATAATGGTTGTCAGTGGTCGATTGGGAAGAGAAATAGTCCCTTCTATTAATCAGCTTCGACAAGTAATATCAATCTATGTATACTGCGTGGATAAGAAAAGTGTTGAAAATTGGGCTTCTAAATTTTCGAAAGTAAAACGAGACTGTGATTTTTTTACTTCATTTTATGATTTATTAATGATAGGTAAAAGCGGTAATTGTTGAACTAGATGAACTCATCGATCGCATCACAGCTGATCATAAAATTCAGAAAATCGTAGAGAAACCATTGTCAATTAATATTTTCACTATTAATGCTGGTGGAGGTTACTCAACAATCAGTTTAAATGGGCAATTTGTTTTTTCACAGGTTCTTATTGATTGTCTTCTGCGTCTAAAATATACTGAAGTAGATAAAAATGAACTTATTCATCATTGTAAACAGCAGTACGAAGGCAATGTGATAGAACTGAGCAATCTTCATGAATTTCAACAGCAATACTCACCTAACAAAGCCTTGTGGTGGTACGCACGGGAATCTTTCTTTTATAAGGCTATTAACGCCGCATTACGTCACCAAAACATTCATATCATTTTTTTGTTTTGAGCGTTTATCGTCGATATTGATCGCCAACTGAAAAAATATCAAGCTAAACATCCTCTAAAAATTTATCGAAGCCAAATGATATCCAGTGACGAATTGACAACTTTGAAACAATGCTGTGGCCAGTTTATTTCAGTCAATTCATTTTTTTCTACCAGCGTTGATAAAAATCAAGCTCTTTCGTTTCTCAGTACTTCTAATGCTACAATCAATTTAGAACCAATCCTATTTGAGATAGATGCTGATCCCACTTTGGCCAATACAAAACCATTCGCTGATATAAGTACACATAGCCATTTTTCTGGAGAATCAGAAGTTCTTTTTATGCTCGGTTCAATATTTCGTTTAAACAGTATAGATCACAGTAGCAATGATCAAGTATGGATCATCCGAATGACTTTATGTAGCGACGATGAACATGATTTAGAACAAGTGCTCATCAATATGAAACAACAATTTGGGTGTGGGGAAACAAATCTTCTAACGTTAGGAAAACTGTTATGGGAAATGAGTAAACTTGATCTGGCTGAAAAATATTTTATTCGTTTGCTAGAACAACTCCCGCCCGATGATCCTTCACTAGGAGCTTTGTATCAAGATCTTGGCAAACTGACATCACAGGCTGGTGACCTTGACAAGAGCATGAAATGGCGTAAAAAAGCTATAGCGCTTCAAAGCGAAACGAATCAATACCAAGCAAATCTACTGGTAAGTTAATTGAAAGAAAGTCTTCTATCTTGAAAAGGAGAACTTATCAAAAAATGAATTACTTACTTTGAAAAATAGAACTGTAAAACATCATAGAAGCGAAAATTTGCAATAGATTCCATCGCCAAATGCTTGTTTGTGCTTATCGAGTAACCATTTAGATGCTCGTATAATCTACTAGAGTTTCAAATTCAATTTATCTATGTTGTATAAACTTAGTGAGGGTGATCGATTCACACGAATTTCTCATTTCAGCCTCAATAGGGTTTGATTCGCGCTTCATGAACTTATTTTGGCTACTCGGAGAAATTTTTCATTTAACCGACACGAAGCATTTCTCCTTTTTGTCAGTATCTTTCACCGCTTTGACTCTCCACAATGTAATGAATAAATGCAAAGCTGAAAGTTACGAAAAATCGATAAGTACCACCCATGAATTGAATCTAGAAATACAACTAGCACAAATACTTTTATTTGTCTACAAAACAATAACCCCCCACCCCTCCCGTCCCCTCTCGGACGGCTTGCTCAATACCTTTTTTGTGTTCTCGGCAGCACAAATGAACGGAAATTTTAAAACAATCTGCACAACGGAGGGAGGGTCATTAAAACACAAAAAATGATCTGATATAACTCAATAGAGAAATATCGTAAAATGCTTCAACTCTAAACTGGAGCAACTCTCTTGAGAGGGTGGGTAATAACCTGAGGTGACGTTCTAATAGTGAGTTGAAGTGAGCCTCGATGCGGGCGTTAAACTTCAATTTATCCATACCTGAAACGATGTCCTGGTACCCACTTCCAAGCAAGTCTAATTCTTCGTTCGAACTAGTCACGACTAAATCGTGTTCAATTTGGAATGAGCAAACCGAAAAAGAGGCTCTTTTTTAACAAATCTTAAAAGCACATCAACTTAATCAATTCAAAACATTGTTTTTCAGGTCCGGCATCGTCAAAAAAATTAAACAAAGGTGAACCTATCATAGTTTATATACCAGATTTGCCTGTTAATATAGATAGTAATCAATTACTCGAAAATATGATTCGGCAATGTTTAGAAATTAAACATAAACAAAAAATAGTCGATGTTAAATGTGATGCCAAATTAGGCATTGGAATTGTCTACTTACATACTGATGAAGTTAAGCATAATTTAATTAATATTATCGAAAAAATTATAATTGAAATATCCAAAAATACAACGGTATCATTTGTCGATGAGCTGGAACTAGTATCTTATATTGTTGTTGATAACATGGATACAAAAGAGCTTCCATCAGTAGATGAGATATGTCGACGATGGGTTCATCTGTACAAGGTGCAATCCCAACCACAATGCGAACGACTATCTGCTCAATTTCCGAACATCTTTCGAATAATAACACATTCATTAGATGAACTACTCCCTGCAATGTCAACTAAGGAGTTCTCAATCAATAAACAGTTCGCAACTGTTTACTTCCGTGCTGATTGTGCTTTCTTTGAAGATTTACCACGAACGTCAACATTAGATCGATTGACCGACGCAATCAGCAGTCAAATCTCTGATAAATACATGTCCAAAGAATTAATACATATACAGTATAACAAAGCAAATGCTAATGCTATTGTGCTGACATCAGGAAAAGCTCGAATGTGGGCCCTACATAGTTCAATTCTATTAGATGGACGCTCTTTTATGAAAAAGGACAGCCTTGCTTGCCGCTTATTGATACGCACCGTACCCAAAGAGGTGTCAACTTCACTTATCCGAAATCATAAAATGTTTGGTGATGCTGTTGTTAAAATATTCCCTAGTGGTGAACATGTCGTTCTCGAACTTTCTGATCGAAGTATTTATGAGAAGTGTATTGATCAAGGTGCTGTACGCATTAATCAACACATTTTAGGAATGGAAGCTTATACATTTACAAGTAATCCTGAAAATAGTGAAATTGATGCTGAAAATTGGTATGAAACAGAGATGGTTGATCATAAGCCCGATATAATGCCATTTATTTCTAATTCTCAACATCCTATTTTTCAATATCAATGGAATCCAAGAGTGTTTTTAGAACAATTTCGTTTGTGGACATCGAGCGAACGTAAGGCTAATGAAAAAGATCAAGTTAAATTTGAAAAATTATGTAATCTGAAACGTCATCTATTACGAATGACAGTTATGTTAAATACGATCGGTGTAGTAAAAAGAGGCTTTTATCGTATAGGTGAAAAAGAAATCAACTTAAAACCAGATCGATTAAAAACAATTCTCTATGATCATAAGTCAAAATTGCAGCGTGGTAAGACAATATCATTATCGCATGCTACAGAATTCCCGTATACATCTACATCAGTCAGTGTAGTAAATGAAGACTGCTTCATTGTTTATCAGAATCTGGTAAATAGAGGCTGTCGACCAGTTGTTTTTAATGTGGCTAATGCTGCCAGTCCAGGTGGTGGCTACAAGCGAGGAGATGGAGCTCAAGAAGAAACACTTTTTCGTCGTTCGAATTATTTCCAAAGTCTCGATCTTGAGTTAGATGATGGAAAACCTACAGCACGGTTCTATTGTAATTCAAATTGTGATTTAGCACCATTAGGTAAAGGTGATCGACTGTATCCAATGGATGAATTTGGAGCAATTTACTCAGCAGGATTGACAGTTTTTCGACAGCCTGAAGATACTGGCTATGCTTTCATGGATATACCAATGTACGATGTATGTGCCATTGCAATGGCTGCCTATCGTGATCCGAAGCTTGAAAGTGACCTTCTCACTTCCCAATACTCTCTTGTAACACGAAAAAAAATTGAAAATATATTTGCTATTGCTTACCATCAAAAACATGATAGCCTTGTTCTATCTGCATTTGGTTGTGGTGCATTGAGAAATCCACCAAAACATATTGCAACAATATTCAAATCAGTTATTGAACAATATGCTGGATATTTCAAATACATCTATTTTGCTATTGCGGATGATCATAATGCAGGCCAAGACTTGAATCCAACTGGAAATTATCGTCTTTTTCATAAATTACTCGATAATTTAGAACAAGAACCAAAACAGCAACATCTTGTCGACATGATGATTGGACCTTGGCGAATTTTAAATCAAAAACCTAGTAAAGAAATAACCTTAAGTGATATTCGAATCCGCTATTCATATCCATGTTTTCATGGAGGAAAATGCAATGATTTGAACAATGAACAACATTGTCGTGAATTTTCACATCCACCGTTATGTCCTTACGCAAATGATGCAGCTACATGCAACAAGAAAAATGATAATCAGCATATGCTTTGGTTCAGACATCGTGAAAAATGTTCATATACTGAGGAAACTGATTTCATGCATTCGAACGAATTTGAACATCCTGAATTTTGTCGAGATGGTGGTCGATGTGAAAACATGGCTGCTGAACATCTTAAAGCTTATCAACACTTGCCGCTATGTAAATATCGTCGTGAATGTGTCGATTTCAATAGTGGATCAGTTGAGCACTGTCAAAGCTACCGTCATTGTGTACCGATGTGCCGCTTTGGTCATTTCTGTACCAAATTTCATGACGAAAAACATTTAAGCGAAGAAAACCATCCTTTTTTACAACCATGTTCATTTACTCCATTTCATTGCCGACAATACAACAGTTTTGGTGAGGCAGAAGATACAAAAAAATTAGGGATCGATGTTCAAAATCACTGTTTTCACTATTCGCATGTTTGCCGGTACGGCCGTCAATGTCGTGATACATCAGACATTCATTGGAAAATTACAATTCATATTGCTCGTAACATCTGTTCATTTGGTGACAAATGTAGACAAACATATGACGAAGATCATTTAAATTCGTTCTCACATCCAGGTATAGCTGATATTCGTCTTTTATGCAGTTATCCAACGTATAAATGTCGTGATAGACGAAAACCTGAACATATTATAGAATATCGACATCATGGTGGATACGACAACAGTGGAGTCATCGGCTGTTTTGGGCAGAACCACAAAATTGATTTTGTTAAAAATCAAGAAAGAATTATTCAAACAATAAATACCTATGTGAAAGATACACATTTCAGACAGCTATCTGTATCGTTAGAAGTTCAAAAATGGGTTAAGGGCCTACAGCCTATTCATCGATGTTCCAAATTAATTTTCGAATCGATACTTGTGCATGGCCATGCCATGTCTCGTGATCATAGGGAAAATTTAAAAAGATCCTATTTCGCAGCTCAAGCTGTTCAAGAACATAAACGTGTGGGTGGAATATTTGATCGATATAAAATGGCACCTATCGAAGATAATGCTAAAGAATATATTAAAGCTATTGTTTCTCTGGAATACGGTAAAAAATATGCTGCTGGCGATACAACAGCATCAGGTGGATCTGATGATAATGACGATGTAATACGTAGAAAAGAAAGAATTTTACACACTTTAATCAAGCCAGACGAACTTAATATTATAAAACAATGCGCCATTGATATTGCTGAAGCCTCGTGGAATCTTCATAATGCTCCAACTGGTATCAAATATGAAACTGATAAAGCGTTAGGTACTGATAAACATGTTTTTAGTATTCTTGGGCCACATCTCGATCATTATTATGGAGATATAATTCTTGTATTTAAAAGCGAAGTAATGCTACACCCAGACGCCAATTTCTCTCCACAAGCAGGCACATCATTTGCAAGTGGCAATACGTTTAAGCATCGGCCATGGGTTAAAGATCCTGGTACTGAACCTGAAAGAATAAAATGTTTTCATGAATCGAAATTGCATTGTGCTGTACCGGGATACGAATATGCAGCAGCAGCAGCAGAACTTATCGTTATATCAGGATTACTGAGAAATACAATAAATGCTGATGTGCAAGACATTATTACTCGTTGGAACAAAGTTGATTCACATCAAGTACTAGAGGCACATCTACCTCAATTGGTACCTCTCGATTATATTGAAGAAGTATACATAGCAAAAAATCTATTCGATTCGCTGACTCCAGCAGCACAAGAGTCAGCAAAGAAAATTTTCCGTGGTTCACTTCATATTACCAAGCATGAAATTAACTTGACTGATACCGGTGGTGGAGGTTCGCAGCCATCGGATAAGAGTCGTGCTGACTATCAAGATTATGTGATGAGTGCTTTAATAGAAAAATTTAACAAACGAAAGGACCGTACAAGACATTTGCATGGCTCTGTCCTCACTCTAGCACCAAGTGCATTTACGGATCACATTATGTTACCGCAAACAATCGGTCAAGCGCGTACTCAATATCTTCGAACTCATAAACAGAGCTCGAATTCCGACGACATATATATTTATTGGGAAACAATGTATGGTGATATGATGGTCACTCTTTCAGATGAGCGAATCGATCCTGATAAGGCTCAACCGGATATTCAATGTCTTGTTTGTTATATTGCTGAGAGACCATCAACTACAACTGCCACTTACAGTGAAACATATTCATATTAAATGCTGGCGAACCATACAGGCATAGTGTTATAAAGATTACTGGTAAATGTTCGAGTAGTTCACGTACATTTCATCGTGGTGCTAACATTGAAAATTTCCTTACCTACTGTCTTAAAATCGAGAAAAAAACGGGTCAAGCAACACTGTCACACGCTGGACCAAACAGTATTTATTGTTATGAAACGATAACGTGTAGATTTTCGAAAGCAACACTTGATTTAAGTAAATTAGACTACGTTCGCGTAAGTGCTGGTTCGCAAAAAGTACCAATCAGAAATTTAACTATTAACTTCGAAAAAATTCCCGATTTACATCCATTATTCGATAGAAATTTCAAACGAGGGGATGATCCATTTCCTAATAGGAAATCGCCTCATCAACGTAACCGCTCTCCATCTCCTCAAACTGCACAATCAACTCGCGATAAGTCTCCATCGTTTCTTCGAAAAGCTGTTGCTGTTTTTTTTGGTTATGATGCTGATGATAAAAGCCTTGATCCCTGCCCCTATTCAATCAATTGTCTGTTTCAACAAGAATCGCAACATATGAAAAAATATTCTCATCCTTGCCCATACTCTGAACTTTGCACTAATAAAGAGAAAGAGCCTAATCTAACACATGAACCGCACCGAGCAAAACAATGTCCATCTAAGAGTTCTTGTCAAAAACTTCATGATCCTGTTCATCGAGCGCAGTGTTAGGATCGCCATCTATTATAGATGGACGATCCTCCATCTTTTTCTAAGATCGATATAAAATATCGATATATATATGTTAGGACTGAAGAAGTGAGAGTGGTACCAGTAAACGTATCGGTGATTTTTGTTTTTTTGTTGATTTTTCATTTTCTTCTTTTCTTGTTCCTGTTCTTTTTGAAGAAGCTAGGTTCTCAACATTTTTTGGTAAAAATAAACATCAACCGGGAATCTCGAACCTAACAATGGTGCACTAGCCGTTGTTGCTCTCAAACAAAAATTCCGCGTGGCAGGCAAACAAAATCTCATCGAGCAACAATTTGAATGAGTCTTAAACAAACAAGGACTACAAGAAATTTAAAACAAACATCGATTAATTCTTTATTTCTACCAACTAAGAAAGAAAAACAACAATTATCAATAATGGAAGATATAGAAACCGATAATATTCAATCATTACAACAAACAACAGATTTAAAAACGGACGATACAACTTCAATTGAATTATTAAATGGTCAGCTGCTTGGTCATGATTTGCATGATCAGCGGTTATCCCAGCATAAAAAACAGCAAGATCCGTCTATTCTAACACAATTGAGAACAATCAAAAAATTTGATGGGCAAGGTGACGTCGAAGATTGGTTAGAAAAAGTTTTGGAAAAATTTAGTGAATTACAACTTACAACATCTGAACAAAATGATTTAATTCCCGAACTATTAAATGGAAAAGCATTCATCTGGTATATGAAAGCACAAGAAAAAATGTCAACATTTGCACTGTTTGCAAAAAATTTACTTCAGCATTATGAACGAAAAGAATTAAATCAAGATCAAATACCATCATTATCTATTAAACCAGAAACATTAGTCGTACAGCAAGCAGTTATTAATTCAAAAGATAATATTATTGATTCTCTTCGAAATCAAATGATGATAATGAATCTTGAAAAATTACCAAAATTCAATGGCAAATTAAAACAAAATCCATCCAATTGGCTACAAGATATTGAAGAGCAAATGAACTTATTTAAATTAACTAATGAAGAAAAATTATCTGTTATATCTTTATGTTTAGAAGCTGAAGCACGAGACTGGTTTTACGATAATAAAAATTTAATATTAACATGGACAACGTTTACTCAAAAATTAATAAAAATATTTGGTTGTACTGGAAAAGCTGATGTTGCATTTAATCGTTTACGACACTACGAACAAGGCATAAATCAAGATGTTAGGCAATATTATTTGGAAATTATGAAATTATGTAAAGAAGCAAATTCTAGTATAAATGATGACACAAGATTACAATATTTGAAAGATGGATTAAAACCATCATTAAGATTTGATGTATTACTTAAAAATCCAAGTAGTCCGGAAGAATTTTTGGAATATGCTCAAAAAGTTGAACAACTTAAATCACTAGAAAATCGACAAAGTATTAATGCATCACAAATTAATCAACAACAACAACAACCGAATTATCATGATGAACATCGTATTAATAATAATAATATTAAATATAATAATTCGACTCAACAAATGAAACCTAATACAAGTAGTACAAATCAATATTATCATCAAACACCGGCACAACCTTATCAATGTTACAAATGTGGTGCTCATGATCATTTTATTCGAAATTGTCCATCTTTTCAATAACGGAGTCATTGGTGGATGGTGATGACTCCGAGAAATTAACAACAAACCCATCACCTATATTTATAAATGCCAAGATTAATCAAATATATATGAAAATCATGTTCGATACTGGATCAACAAAATCATTTATTAACAAAACAGCATTAGCTCGTACAAAACACTTACCACTTGATAAAAACAAACAACAATATGTTATGGCAGATGGTTATACAAAATTTGAAGTTAATGGCACAGTGAAAATTTTTATTGAATTAAATCATATCAAAACAAATATTATTGTTGGTGTCGTCAATTCGTTATGCATGGATTGTATCTTGGGTATGGACTATCTTAATAAATACAAAATTAATCTTAACAATAAACATAAACAAGTGCAAATTTATACTCCTACAGATACAACTACATTACCAATGGAAAATCATGTACCAAAAACAAGAACAGTATGTCGTTTAGTTCAATTTATATATTTAGGTCCATATCAAGAAAGAAAAGTAAAAATTCGTTCATCAGTTTTTTCCGGTCAATTATTATTTTCTCCTGCTTATCGTCTTCTTAAAATTCAAGGTTTAATGATCACACATTCATTAATTTGTTTTCAAAATTATGAAACATGGATTTCAATTTATAACCCGACATATAAACCATGTTATTTATATGAAAATGCCATTGTTGGTGTTGCAACATCATTAGATTCTAGTATGAACATTTCCACTGTTCTTAATTTAAATATCAAAGAAAAAAATGATAATGATTATACACATTCGTTAACCAATAATAGTGAACATAATATCCATACGTTATCACAACATATGCAAGATCCACAACAATTAAATGATTTAATAATTATATTAAAGAAACATCATCCACTATTTGATACATCAACAATAACAATTGCTGAAACACCAACACCTCATACTATTTGTACTGGAGATAATCCTCCAACTACATCGAGACCTTATCCACAAACTATTGAAAAACAAAATGCAACATTTGATATTATCCAACAAATGCTAAAGCATAAACAAATACGTGCATCACATTCTCAATATTCAGCGCCAATATTACTAATAAAGAAACGTGATGGTGCCTATCGTTTTATTGTGGACTATCGTAAATTAAATAATATCACCATTCAAGATAATTATCCGTTACCTAATCTTGAACAAACAATACAAATGGTTGGTGGGCATCAGTATTACACCAAGTTAGACCTTCGTTCTGGCTATTTCCAAATACCTATTCTGGACAAAGATAAACATAAAACTGCATTCATCACCGTACATGGCCTTTACGAATTCAATGTATTAGCTCAAGGTCTAAAAAATAGTCCACCCTCGTTTCAACGTATCATGTCAAATTTATTATTACCGTGCAAAAACTTTTGTTTAGTCTATTTAGATGATATATTGGTTTATTCAGATTCTTTTCATCAACATCTGAATCATCTAAATCAAGTACTAGCAATTCTCAACAAACACAAATTTCAATTAAATCCACAAAAATGCGAATTAGCTAAAAGAACTATTGATTATTTGGGTCACACAATAAGTACACAAGGAGTTAAACCACTTCAAGAACGAATTGAAAAAATATTAAATATTCCACAACCAACATCATTACATCAAGCAAATGCTTTCATTGGCGCTATTGGGTGGTATAGGAAGTTCATTAAAGATTATACAAAAATAGCTGCACCAATATTAGCTGTTACTAATTTAACTAAACAAAATAAATTTAAATTTAAATGGGATACACCACAAAAAGAAGCTTTCAATCAATTAAAAATAGCTATTACATCTCAACCATTATTTTTAACTTATCCTGATCCAAATGAACCTCTGATTTTATCAACAGACGCATCAGATTACTGTATTGGTGGAGTTTTATATCAAGAGATCAATGGTGAACGTAAAAATATTTATTTTCATTCACAAATGTTACCAAAATCACAACGAAAATGGCCAACAATTGAAAAAGAAGCTTTGGGTATATATTATTCTATTACACGTATGAAGCTATATTTGTTAGGCCGTGAATTTATTGTACAAACAGATCATTGTCCACTACGTGACATACACAAAAAACCATCAAATAATCGTCGAGTTGATCGTATATCATTAGTATTACAACAATATAATATTAAAGAAATTCGTCATGTGTCCGGTAAATGTAATTGTATGGCGGATTATTTAAGTCGTTTCCCTCGTCAAGTGGAAGATGATGATGAATTTTTAGAATCAGATTTTGGGATTATACCAGCAATAAAAAATGATATTGATACAATACAAGTAGACAAAAGCAAATCAATTATTCCATCATTTATTAGTGCTGTTACAACGAGAGCTCAAGCAAGAGCACAAGCACCACATACACCATCAAATAATGATACACAATCGTTAAATCATGAATCAATAACAGATGATCTACCTCAACAAGAGGCGGGTCATGAGTTCGATATAACAACAATTGCCGAAGCTCAAAAAGGAGATAAGTTATATAAGGAAAAAATTTTAGAAATTAATAAAAATCCACTGAATTGCTTTTATGTTCTAGAAAATGATATATTATACAAAATAAATAATCGTGGTATTTTCCAACAAAAATTAATATATATACCAGCTTCAATGATACAACAAATATTAAATGCTTATCATAATAGTTCATGGGCAGGACATTTTGGAGATCGACGAACATATTCAAAATTAAAAGATAAATATTGGTGGCCAAATATGAAAATTACAATACAGAATTATATTCAAACATGCATGTTATGTCAACAATTTAATATTAATCGCAAGAAACCTGTTGGTTTATTACATCCTATAGAACCACCAAAAGGTCCATGCCAATTAATCGGAATGGATTATTCTGGACCGTTTCCAACGACTCCTGAAGGAAATAAATATGTATTGGCTATTACTGATTACTTTACTAAATGGGTTATCGCAATTCCTTTACCAAATCAAACAGCTTTGACAACCGCTGAAGTTTTATATGAACACTATATCTGCATTTACGGTGTACCACATACAATTTTATCAGATCAAGGTCCACACTTCAACAATCAATTAATAACAGCATTTACACAAATATTAGGTTATCATCATATAAAATCAACACCTTATCATCCACAAACAAACGGAGCTATCGAACGTTTTAATTCAACATTTGAACGTCAAATAGCTAAATTAACAGATCAATGTGTTAACAACTGGGATATGCATTTAAAGTCGGTAGTTTTTGCATATAATACCGGTCAACATGCTACAACAAAATTCTCGCCATACGAACTACAATTTGGACGACAACCGAAATTACCACCAGAAAAATCACCAACAAGTTATGAATTTTCAAAACCAAATGATTATTTCCAGTTCCTTCAACAGACACTAAAAATTTACCAACAACAAGCATATCACAATATGAAAAAAAATCAACAATATTATAAACAAAAATTTGATGCAAATCGCCAAGATAGTTATTACAATGTAGGAGATTTAGTGCTCAAACGTTTTTCAACATTTCCATCAAAATTAGCTGCACTCTATTCACATCCAATGATCGTCATTGAACAACAACATCCAACATACTTTATTCAAGATCAAAATGATCAACAAATATATCGTGTACATGTATCTCAATTACGTCCATGTAAAGTTTAATCAATCAACCACAACAGCACCGAGAATAAAAAAGAAGAAATATAAATATATATATATATTATTAAAATCAATTCATTTTCTATTTCTAGAACGAATATAAATTGTTGAAACATGTACATATCAACAATAAAAAAAAAAAGAAAAAAGAAAAACAATCATTACATAGGATTAATATTAGAACATCTTAATATTAATGAATTTGAAAAATCATTCTCAGCTTCGTCAATCAATTATTGATAAATTAAAATTATCAAATTATTTATTATTAATCTACAAGACCGTTTGACAATATTCAACTATTATTGCAATAAGATAACAAGACAAATAGTAATATCATATAAAAATATACACATTCTTATACGATTACGTCATCTATCTATATGTGGTTATGTTATAATTTAACAATGGTTGACAATTCAACTATTTGTCCATTTCATCTGTCCATTTATAATTGGATTATCCTATTCTGTTGTTCATGATTCATCGATTTCATCAACTTATTAATTATTCTTTACGTTATTAGTGATATTCATTAACATTACTTATTCTTACAGTTATTCATATGATTTAATACATTTGGAACTTTATCAATATAGATACTCATATATTTATATTAGTTCGTCGTTGGTTGAATCACTTTTTCTCTATCTTTATCTCATATTGAAAGTTGTTTATTGTTCAGTTACACGTTTAGTAACTTGTTTAGTTATTTTTTTTTGGTATTTATTCATGTGTTTCGTTTTCTTGGTTGTCAATTCTTGATCTATTTTTTTTCTTCTTTTCTTTTTAACTATTTGTTCAAAAATCATCTGCACAAATGGCTCCCAAAACAAATCGAAATAAACGTCAACGAGATCGCAAAGCAGAGAAAGAACGTTTATATGGCGAATTATTTGCGCCATATGAACCAAGTCATCCATATTCGCTTCATTTTGTTCATAATGCTACAACATGTGATGAATTAAAAATGTTCATTGATAATGCTCAAACAACAACAAATTTCGTCTTTGATACCGAATCGAATTACTTAACAAACTTTCCATCGATAATTCAAGTCATGTTTATGAAACAAATCCAAGAAAACTCTTTAGTATTAATCATCGAAACCGCTCATTTGCCCGTTGAATCATCATATGAATTTCTTCAACTTAAACAATTATTTTATTTAATTTTTCGACGTCAATCACATATTTATACTTGGGGAGCACTGATAGATGAATTAACACCTTTCTTGCAATTTAATCTGTTTCATCTTCCGGTGTCATCCTACATTCATAATACTCAACAAGTATTCAAGTTATGGTTTAATGATTGGTTAGCTTTCCAATCAACATTGAATGACAATGATGATCAAGATAATGATGATACATTAATAATTAATGCACCTGCATTCGACCCGATCATATTTTTACATCCACTTGCAATTAATAATATTAAACGATCAAGAAATGAATCTTGGAGCATTCAAGATGCAACAGCGTATATTTTAAATCAATATCTACCAAAAAAATGTACATTACGGCAATGGTCTATTGGATTAGATGATCGAATATTAAATCGAACTAGAACATATTCGTCAACATATCGTAAAAAAATGATCAGTTATGCTGCAAACGATTGTACGTCTTTAGCCGCAATAATAACGTTTATGTATCAATCACATATTCCAAGTGCACTACAATGTGTCCAATATCCATCAGATATAGGCGAGTATAGTTTTGATCAGGAACAAAATGGTTCGTCATTATCTTTTCAGGTTCATTTGGAAGATATTACAACATCAGATGATGAAGATATGGATTATCCAATGGCGGTTCATGATATAAATGAACGTCATTCAATGGAAATTTCTAATGCTGAACCATATCATCAACAGTTACACGACGATAATGTATTAACCATTATAAATGATTCAAATCTTTTAAATGATAATATTAACATTAAACAAAAAATTCGTCAACGTCGAACAGTACAAGCACAAAAGCGAAGAAACCAAAAAACCAGCATCAGACATCGAAAAAATCGTTATATTTATGAAATAATTAGACCGGTCAATATGTCTATCAAACTGGTGAAAAACAAATTAAAAGAGTTTGGTATTAACTATCTTAATGTTAATATAGTTCGTTCACAATTATATATTGGTTTAAAATCTCATCAAGATCAAATCGAGTACGAAAATTTATTATCAATGAACAGTTTTGTGTAGTTTTATTTGTTATCATTATTTTTTCTCTTATGTTTTCTTTTGTGTGGGGGGAGGTGTTAGGATCGCCATCTATTATAGATGGACGATCCTCCATCTTTTTCTAAGATCGATATAAAATATCGATATATATAGATTAGGAGTAGAAGTGAGAGTGGTACCAGTAAACGTATCGGTG